CAAAACATGCACATTATTAACATGAGATGTTGATAAATAGAAATATCGTTCATTGCTTCAGTTAACTAATGGAATGTAATAGACGAGTGTTGACCATCCAGGTTTTTATTTTTGACCATCTAAAACAAACTTCATTCGTACACAAGTCAGAGGTGTGCTTACATATAGTTTGGGTTGGACTTGCATCTGGATACTCTAGAATATTGACGATCATACCTTCAAACAGATCAAAACATGCACATTATTAACATGAGATGTTGATAAATAGAAATATCGTTCATTGCTTCAGTTAACTAATGGAATGTAATAGACGAGTGTTGACCATCCAGGTTTTATTTTTGACCATCTAAAACAAACTTCATTCGTACACAAGTCAGAGGTGTGCTTACATATAGTTTGGGTTGGACTTGCATCTGGATACTCTAGAATATTGACGATCATACCTTCAAACAGATCAAAACATGCACATTATTAACATGAGATGTTGATAAATAGAAATATCGTTCATTGCTTCAGTTAACTAATGGAATGTAATAGACGAGTGTTGACCATCCAGGTTTTTATTTTTGACCATCTAAAACAAACTTCATTCGTACACAAGTCAGAGGTGTGCTTACATATAGTTTGGGTTGGACTTGCATCTGGATACTCTAGAATATTGACGATCATACCTTCAAACAGATCAAAACATGCACATATTAACATGAGATGTTGATAAATAGAAATATCGTTCATTGCTTGACGCGGCAGTTGACTAATGTACCTGCTAGCTGGCCATTGAGATTAGGGTATGGGTTTCGAAATGGAAGAGGAACATTTCCAACAGGTAGCAGTCGTAAAAAGTCGTTAAAACGCGCGCAACACCAACAACAATTCTAGTAATACTTATGTACGTACACTTTTTAGGTCTGGGTCTCTGGTCAAATGGCAAAAGGCAGAAGGCGAAGTCGGCAGTTGTGGTAACGATGTCGGCATCCAGCAGGGCAATAGTTCAAATTGTTAAACTAGTTTCTCATGCCCGAAAAAATGCTGCTGGTTTTTATTTTTTCTCTGTTTATTTATTTTTTGTGTTGGTTGTGTTGTTTTTGTTTTTTTTTTTTGGCTAAGCTGCCAAAAATCATTTTTCAAAACACATTTAGATTAGGGCTGGAGTTGGAGTTCGACTGCCCTGCCGGTTGTTGTGACACATGTGAGTGTTTTAGGAGCGGGTGGGGGGAGAGGTAGAGAAAACAATTATTATTATTATTATTAATAATATAGTTAGTTGTGCTCCACGTGCAACCACTTTGCGGGGTACGCGTCTGGATGGGATGGGGGCTGGAGTTTCTAAGTATGAAAAATGTTACGAATTACTGGTAATTAATCTTCATCTGTGTGCTGCCGGGGAATTAAGCGGGACAGTGCTCCTGCAAAAGAGTTAAATAATTAGAATACACACACACACACACACACATAGATACAAACGTATGTGTGTGGATGACACATCGTAGGGGTAGTTATAATTGTCCTTGTAAGCCTGAGCTCAGCAAATAGTGTGCATACATATCCACAGCTGCGCCCCAAACCCTCACCCAAACCCAAACCCTCACCGCCTTCCACAGCTCAAACCATTCGGCTCAGAGGTAAGAGCAAGTGTTGTTGGCACAAACAAATTACTGGCAAGCAAGCATTTGCATATTGCTGACAAGATGGCCAATACCTGCGACTCTAGCAGGCAATATAGTAGATCCCGGAGAGGTCTCCCAACCTATTTATAGTTTTTGAAACAGGCGGCGAATCAAGAACGAGTGGAACGAGACGATCTTTGACTTTGTCACTCTTCTGACAGCTATATGATATAGTCAACCGATTTTAATAATTCGATGGCAGCTGTATGATACAACTTATCGATTCTGATAATGCTTTAGATTATGATGAGACAAAATGAAAAATACCCCTGTTTTTCAGATTGGCCCAAACTATCTTATTAAACAAGCAAGGTTTTGATACTAAGAATAATTTGTACATTGATCGTCCCTATGGCAGCTAAATAGTGTACCGATTTTAATAAAACTTCAGATTATCATGGGGTACTATTTAATACTCATAAATACCAGAATTGCTGACGTATTCCAAATTAAAGAGCGGTCGTATTAGGAGTCATTTTTCCACAGATCGGTGCAAATAATGATGGGCAAAATAAGGATGATTTATATGAATAATGAAAGTCTATGTATATGCCAAGTTTAGTGCCCCTAGCTTTTATAGTTTAGCAGAGCTCGACGTTCATACTGTCGAACAGAGGAACAAACGGTCGAATGGACTATTCGTCTCCCACGTTCTGATGCTTAGCTTAGACTATCCTTCGTGTACGGGGTGTATTAGTATAAATTTAGTAATGGTATACGGTTCAAAAAATAGACCCACATGGGTCACAACATTAAAACGTCTCTTCTATGAATTAATACATTTTTTAGACAAAATCCTAATTCCACGTAAAACCATTTCCGATTATTTGAAATGAGTTATTGAGTGTAGTTGTAATATCGTTAAAAACTAGAAAAAGTACACTTGAAGGGTTCATGTTTGTGGCCTTAATAATTAATTCTTAACTACTGGAGAACGTTTGCTTTCAAGGTTTAGAAGCATACTAAAATGGGGCTTTATTGAATTCTAACCCCCAAGTGGGGCAAATAGGGGTCTTAGGTAATTTGATTTCTATTCGACTGGCTTCAAAGTCGATTTTTCGAACATATCTGAAAGATGAATTGGAGTAGTGGTGTAGTTTGCGCGATTTGAGAAATTTCTAGTTAGAGAGCACCATTTGAGGTTTAAGCTCATATGTGGGGCGGAATATACCTGCCGGAGCTTGGAGATATTGGAAACCAAAAGACAATCTATAACTTAGCATACAGCGAAATCATTTACATAGGTATAGCAGAGCCCGAAATGTATTATGGAGGAACTATTTAGAAATAAATTGAAAAAGTAAACAACAGAATTAAGACTCGAATTTATAATTTTTTGTGTTGGGTCTTAGAGCGATTGAATATTCCGTTTTGCAAGATTTCCTAAAGATTAACACTTTAAGTAAACTTCAAAGGCTAAGACTGCTTATATTTCTTAATTTGTTCTCTTTAAAGTCTACACTGTAGGGTGTCTAAAATTTCTAAAAGTAGGGTTTGTCCAACAACTTTATATGGAAAGGATAAAACAAATGAAAATAAAATCTCTAAGCTGTCAAGATCAGAACCAATTTGATAAAATTACATTTTTAGTCAAATCGTGATTGAAATAATGATTACTTTACAATATTCTGAAAATATTGGGTAGCTAAAAAATCAGCTTAAATGTAATATTTACATATCTATTACTTTTGTTCAATCAAACTATGAATACAAATAATTTCCCTTAAATGTTAATGTTCTTTAAAAGTTAGAAGTAATACAATTATACTATAAATGAAAACTTCGTCGTTTGCTTAAAATTTTGATGAATTGTTTACAAGAGTATTCAAATAGAAGCTCTCTGGAGGCTGATCTCGAGGGATTCTAAGCAAAAATGTAATTTTTAACGTCAAACCGTAACAAACAATAAAATCTCTATCTAAAGATTAAAGCTTATCTGCAAACAAATCAAAATTCTGAAAAGAAAGAGATGCTATTAGTTTCAATGAAAACTTGATTAATTGAGTGAAAGCGAAGTAAAATATATAAGCTGTCTGAGCATATTTAAGCCGAGAGCTCTCTAGACAGCTAGGAAGCAGTTAATCTTATTGATGAAAATCATTTAATTAGACCGATATGCGGCTCTTAATTAAGGAATCTGGGGGAGATCTGGAGACTTCCGATAAAGCAAGCAAATGAAACCAAAGATGGGCTCAATAGAGACGTACGGATATGTAGTCTTTGTTTTTTGTTGTTGTTGGTTGTTTTATTTTATTTTTTATTAATCACTTCTTAAGCATTAGTTTAGTTTTTTTAGTTGTTGTTGTTTTTTGTTTTTCTTTCTTACTCTCTTCTGGTTTTTTTTTTTTTTTTTGCTTATACATGTTCTAGAAAATATGAATTTCATTTTTTTGTTTTTGTTTTTGCTTTTGCTTTCATCGTCGTTAGCTTTGCTATTTCATTGTACAATAGTTGAATATATATGTATGTATATATATAATATGTGTATATATAATAAATGTATATAACTCATGTCGTATGTATGTATATATACACAAGCACACAGTTATATATCAGTGTATATGCAGTGTATATATAGTATATATAATTTTTCTTTAACTATACATTGTTTCATCAATTCTTGTTTGGTTTTTGGTTTTTCTTAGTAATTTCCTTGTTTCAGCTCGGTTTTATGGGTTCTGTGAGGGGTGAGTGTTTGGGTGTTCGGATGGTGGGGGGAGGGGAGGGGTGTGTAGAGGAGAAACATAAACCATAACGTTTGCGTATAAAAAACATGTCATGTTAGTCAAATGTATGTATGTAAAGGTATATACTCGTACATAACATCTATAAATAGTAGTACATATACATATGTATGTATGTATCAGAATCAGAGATTGTTGTTTTACAATTTAGGATGCACTTGCTGTGAATCGCTAGACGATTCTGAAGGTCGCTATGTGTGTGTGTGTGTGTGTGTCTGTGCGGAGTTACTTGAAAGTAGCGCCTTTATATACAGTATATGTATGTATATACTATAGTATGTGTATCAAAAAAAAAGGGTATATTATGATCTCACTGACTTACTCAACTACGCTGGCACTTTACTATATATACTGCCCATCCATTTGCTTTGCTGCGATTATACAGTTTACAGTTTTTCATAATATTTTGTTGTTTCGCTTATTTGTTTACCACTGTGCCTGGGGCGATTCAATAACCGCCTGGGCAAGGAGAAGACCAAGTTACCGTTAAGTCGTTAGTTAGCTTTTTATATAAATAGTTTAGAACAACGCCTCGTGTGTAAATGTCTGTGTATATATATATATATATATATATATATATATATATATATATATATATATATATATATTTGTGTGTATTTGTCATATTCTATACAACAAGTTTGTTTTGATTTGGTTTGGTTGGGGTTTTCGTTTCCATCTGTTTCGATTTCTTGTTGTTTTTTTTTTTACGTGGAACTCCGGGTCTTAATTTATATAACACGAAGCTTATTATTTTTGTTTTGTGTGTATGTGTGTGTGTGGAGGAGTATCTTTGGTTGTGTTGGTGTACAAGTACTTCTGTTAAATGGTTTGCGGGTGCCTCTTAGTAGGGATACAAATTTTTGCGCTTCAACTCCATGTCCAGGTCGGCCAGCTGTTGCAGAAAACCATCGTTGGGACGAATCTCACGACGCATGCGCACCGTGCGTATCGCATCGACGGCAGACATTTTGCGACAGATCATCAGATAGGCCAGGACGCAGGTGGCCGATCGCGACATGCCCACCAGGCAATGCACCAGGATTTTGCCTGCAAGTACGAGGTAATTAGTATTTCGAGCAGACAGCGAGAGTAAGAAAGAGGAGATACCAAAAGTCAGTATTGCAATATTTCTTCGTCACTAGCTAAATCTTCATAAGCATACCATAAATAATCGTGGTATATTCTCACACAAATAGATAAAATACAATTATAGTTGGATGTTTAAACAAACATATTTCATCACTAGCTTAACAATGAAAACTATATCTCATTACAATATTTTTTCGTCAGAAGAAATTCATAGATAATCGGGTTATATAACTCATACAAGTGGATATGATATCAAATTGAATTTGTCATGAAATATAATACATTTCCTAAACATGTTTCGTCACTAACTTAATAATGAAAACTATACCTCATTATTACAATATGTTTTCGTCACTAGCTAAATCTTCATAAGCATACCATAAATAATCGACATATATAACTTATACAAACAGATAAAATATCAAATAGAATTCGAATACAATTCCTGTTGAATGCATAATCAAACATGTTTCGTCACTAGCTTGATAATGAAAACTATAGTATACCCCATGTTGCTCCATTGTTGCAGCTCATATCTCTTTCTTCTTAGAACTCAGTTCTGACTTTCCGTCACTAGTTTTCAGGTTTACGTATCAAGAGAGGAAGGCAATTACCTTCACCGTCTTTAATTAGTTAATTAATTTATTTTGCTTAAATACAGTATTCACAGCGGCATTTCGTCACTAGCTTCAATTAATATTCAATTAAATGTGTGTACTATTTGGTAACTATATCTCCAATATTAACTTAAACAATTTATATTTTAGCGTGCTCATAAAGTTCTTTTCTTGTGGCATCAACAAGTATTATCTAGCAGGATTTTAAATAGCTTTTAATATCTCCAGTTAAAAGATTAACATTAATCAGGTTAGTTTTGATACTCACCGCCGCTGCTGATGGCGCTGTCAATAAATTTGGCTGCCACATAAAAGTAACGCGAGATGTCTGTGGTGGGGGCATCGATCATCGGGAATCCCATATACCTAAAAGGGCATTCCTTATGTTTCCGTCTACACATAGTTTTTGTTTTGTTTTGTTTTGTTTTTTTTTTTCGACACAAAACACCGCACATAGCAATGCAACAACAATGCAATTGGCCAGAGTGAAATGGCGAATGGTGCACATGATGCGTAGTATGTGAGAGAGAGTGCATATTTACAGAGAGAGCGAGAGAGGGAGAGATGGCGAACGAGAGACGAGAGACGACAGCAGACAAACGATGTGCGTGAGTGTTGTTGTGTTCGTGAGAGTGTGAGAAATAAGAGATTGGAAAAAAATTTGGAATTTTGAGTGCTTAAAATAAAAGTATTTATAATCCAAAGGGAACTAATGAATACTAAAAATCAAAATGAGCCGCTCGTTTGCAATAATCATAAACGTAGATGAGCGTGGGCTGTTTTGTGACTTTTATGCTTTATTGTTGCATTCGTAATTGTTCTGGAGCTGTGTGCCTTACACACTTACCTAATGCTTGGCATATCCCGATAGTAACTGTGCCCAGTATCCACCTGGCCATAACGACAGCCCTCCGCGGCATTCAGGACGTGTGTGATGCCCATCAGACGCAAATAAGTTTTATTCTTTGCTGCCGCACTGTGAAAAAAACAATTAGGACGTTAGCAGTGGTAGAGAGTGTCATCTAAAATCTATAGAGAATAACACAACTTTTAAGGAACTGAGCACAACGAATTTTGGAGCTAGTCAATCATTTATAGTTAGAAACGTTACGCAAACAACAAAATAATCACAATGTCATAATTAAATTTTATAGAACATATATCCCAATGGCATTTCGCCACTAGTTTTGAATTAATAATTCATTTTAAACACTACTTGTATGTATCTCCAGTAAAGGTTCATAAAAAGTCAGCTTAGTCGCGTATTCCGACTAAAAGCTCATTGCATAAATGTTTAATTATCATTTCGTCACTAGTTTTGAATGAATATTTATTGAGCATGTATGACATCTTTTTAATATTTTGTATCTAAATATACTAATTGTCAGTTGAGGCATTTCCCCGCATTTTTATGTCTAAAAAGGGGAAACTGCAAACTTGATTCTCTGTAGATTTGGAAACTCTTTGCATGATGAATACTTACGCATCACCTATGTAGATGCCCGGATAAACTTCATCACAGTCAACATCGTGTATGGCACACTCGGATCGGCGTAGGCCCGGCAATGTTCGGCATGGAGCCATAGAGTAGTGCAGGACGCGCTGCAACTGACGTCCTGTGGTCTGTTCAGAATTCTCCAGGCGGCTGGGTGACTGCAAATGGAAATGTAAAGAGAACGTCAAAACATCATGATTTACAATCAGTGGCAATGTTCGAGTATGTATGTGGCGGGCCCCACGTTGGGCGCCAATGCGACAGCTTGGCTGGCACAAAGGCTATGACATTGACAGCCATTTTGTGTAGGACATGTGACTACACTTTAGTTCTCGTTGTATGTCAGGCGCGAAGCCATTGTTCTGCACTTTTCGGCATGTTTACATGCGCCCCAATGTGCAAGCAATTTGGCCAGAACGCAAATGTAAATTTTGCGCCCCTCTTCTTTCAATTTTGGCGGGTTTTTTTTTTTTTTTTTTTTGGGGGGGGGGGGGGTTTTCTGTTGGCAACAGCATTGCCTGTGGCAATTATTTATAGTCATAAAGTTCGCCTAAGGTCTAAAAGGGTAGATACATTTCCTAATAATATACATATGTAATTCAGATGGAAGAGAAAGCTTTACCCATAGATCATGGAAGGTAAGGCGAACTCACATTGGAAGTTTTGAGGACGTTAGTTTGGAGTTCCAAACATATTTGTATATAAAGTCGAATAAGGAGCATTCATGTTCTACAAATATCCTTCCAATGCTCGTATGGGTCTAAAATATTTTACAGAGACAACGTAGAAAGGTCTTATTTATGCTATAGAGACAACGGAGAGAACTTTAGCGAAAGAGTTCTGTCAGGCTAATTCTCAGAGACCATAAAAGGACCAAAGCAAAAATTCTCAGTTGTTTTTCGAAGCTTCCTCTTAAAATTGCATTGCTTTAATTTTCAGTTAATGCCAAACAATACTGTTCAATGTCTTTTCAAGTTTATTGCCTCGGCAAAAGCAAAAGTATAAACCGAATCATTTAATTTTATTTGCCCGAAAATGTATAGGTAGTTTTCACAAAGTCTCATGGCCAAGCAAATCCGCTCACATCTAACTTTATCATATCACCTAAAAGTCATCAAACTCTAGACATTATAGAGTATTTACTGGTCGCTTGGGGCCTTTGTTATTTGCAGGCTGCCAAAAACGTCGAAATTATTGTTATACAGAAAAAAGGAAAAAATAAAATGCAAGTATATAATATATATATGCATACATATATAGAAAAATTAAATTAAACTGAGCTAGGGCCGCAGATTTATGGCAAAGGCGAAGGTCGTGCCCTCATCCTTCAGTGTGCTTCATATTTACTCAGCACCGCCTCTCCTCTCCCCTCAGTGCCGGCTCCAAGGACAACATTAAACTGCGGCGCAAGTGAAAGTAAAACTTTTTTTAGTTCGTCTGCCTTGTCATAACATTCCACAGAGAGAGAGAGAGAGAGAGATTTCTTTTCCTCTTCGTTTTTCCTTTTTTTTAAATACTGCTATACTATATAATTATAAATTGTTGTTGTCAAAAAAAGAAAAAACTTTTGCTTTTCGCCTTGGCATACGACCCTGAACGAAACGAAATGAAAAGTCGTCACACAAAAGTTCTTTCACATTTTCCGCTGATCTATTGTTGGTGATCTGATCTATAGCCTATATACTTGTATATATTATATACATATTTATACATCTATCTAACATATTTTTGTGTGCCTGCATACATGGTATGGCAAATAAGTATGACATATAAAAAAGTCTTTTGTCGGGCAGCATGTGATTTGAAATCGTTTTGATCTGCGGCAAAGGCCACGAGATGCTGCCACAGTGGTTTCAAATTCGAATAAAACCACACAAATAAAATGTAACTTTTTATTTTTCTTAAATACATTTGGGATTAATTAAGCGGGTATTTCGCGTTACGTAGAAATGAGAGCTGCATGCTTTTAGGGACCAGCTTTCGGTTTACTTAAAAGAAATATTTAAAACAACAACTTCGATATAAATGACGTAAATAAATTTTATAAAACCAGCATATTGGTATAAGTTTTTAAATCCTAATAAGTCAAACATCCAAGAACTATCATGACTGGAACAAACCAAAACTCAAACTCAAACATCTTCAAATTCTGTCCATTATGTCAAATACCACGATAAATATCGAGCACAAACTAATTGAATGTCCCGTACTAGCAAGCCCACAAATGAAATACCTCTCTAATAATAACACTACCTAAAACCTCTCAAACCCAAAAAAAAAAAAAAAAACAAACAAAAAAATCTACCACAATATTTTATGAAAATAATAATAATGTAAATTGTATAAATAATATTAAAATGTATAAACCTATATGTATATCTTATACCACTGATAACTCCCTTAACTAAATAAATAAAATGAATTAAATTGATGATCTGCAAAACCCACTCATTTTAACCACTGTGCCACTCTGCAGTGCTCCTTTATCGACTGTGGATTATTGTTTAAATGATTTTTTGAAACCTTGAAGAACACGAAAGTAACAAGAATAATCCAATATTTCTGATAAAATTCTGAAAATTATCTTGATTTTTCTTTAAAGAGCACAGTCTGTAAGGACTTTGAAGCAAACATGAGATACCAAAAATATACCATAGATACTACTTATGTATGTATGGTCACCAATTATTAGCTCCAAAAAATTAAGAATGATTTAGTTCTATGTGGAATATTTTGCCATAATTTTCTATATCTAGAAATTGCCTTAAAGAGCTTTGTCTGTCATGCTAGAAAAATGTTCACAAAAATGGCGGCAATTGGCAGCCTTACTTGTTTTAGTATAATGCAATTAAATTATGCAAATTTCAACTTTTAATTGTAGTTGTTATGTCAACGAGCAAGCGGATATGTTAAACAATAAACAGGTGAGCGCACATGCTTTCTGCTTTTGAGACAATGGACCAATTAAATGGGACACAAAGCTCACAAACCTGATAGTAGTGGGGACTGTATCTATCACCAATGCTGCTGCTGTATCTGTCGGTGAGAAGCTGAAAATGAGTTTGCAATACAAATACAAATCAATAAAGAATATAACTAAGGGAAAACTTAAACATTTTATTGAATAGGATTTGACTTCACATTCAAATAGGCGTACAAATGTTGTGTATAATTTGCAAATATTGGGCTTATCTCTGCTTTAACTTTACATGTGTGAAAAAATAATAATTTGATGGAAATTCAACCCACAAATGGGATAAAATTGTAAACTAAAACAGATAAGTATTGCCTTCACTCTTAATGATATTAACAAATTTTGTCAAAGATTTTACTCAAAAGGAATATTCATCCAAATTTATTTAAAATGTATTTTACAGTTATGGTTGAAACACATTCGGTTTCTTTTTATCTTTTCTCATATGCTGATTACTCAACAAGAATTATTAATCGGTTTTTTATCAACATCAATAATTATTTTAAAAAAAATTTATTAATTTCATGCAATTCAGCCCACAAGTGGGGCGAAATTGTGGCTAAAAAGGACTACAATAAAACCACTGTTAGCTTTGAATTGTGATTCGAAAGTTCTTAGAGCAGTTATGGGAAAGCACTGAACCACAAACAGAATAAAGAAGGTAGTATCGGGCCTAACTTTCCTTTCCTTTTTACCCAAAACCTTAAACTTGTAAATACTTACGTGAGTGATAGTCAGGACTGTAATAAAAAGTATAATATCCTAACAATAAGAACTAATATTTTATTACTTTTAGAGTATTTTACAAATACAATTGATTGGTAGGGTATTCACTATTTTAAAAAAAACCGTAGACAGATACCCTTAAATCAAGAAGTTCTTCAGTGTTATCTATAAGCTGACAAATTTGCTTAAAGAGCGTGCTACTGACTAGAAATCTAAAGTTATAAATACTCGTGCGGTGGCACTTAAATCGGAAGAATAAATAATGCGAAAAATCAGAAGAGATGCCCTGTGATTGCTGCCTAGTAATTGCCGTATTTTTAGCCCATTTCAGAATTCCTGAGTCAAAGCTATGGGTAACATAATATTGAAATTCTTCTCTTTGCTCTTAGAAAAAAAAAAAAGAAACAAAACTTGAAATTCTTTGGTTGCCGTGCGCTCAGGTGGGCAGAAGGCGTTGGCGTTGGCGTCGGCGTTTGACGTTCGGTGTTGGCTATTGGCGATGCCTTGACCTTGTCTCAAATACATATGTGTTGGCCAAATATATGTACATACCCGTATCTATATATAGTACATAATACACATGTCTCTAAAAATACGCATGCAGTGAAAATACTGCAAGTAAGCAAAAATGAATATTTTTTGAAAAAAAAAAACAAGAAATGGGAAAACAATTTACTGAAAATTTTTTAAGGCAATCTTGTTGTTGTTTTTGGAAAAACTTTAAGCTGACCCATTAGGCATTTAGCTTATGAGTCAGCCCGCATGCCACACAAATGCTGGCGATCTCCCCCCTCCCCCATCAGCACCATCGCTTTCCCGACGACAAAAGCAGTCGTGTATATTTTTCTCTCTATGATTAAATGTTAATCACATCGCACTTTGGGGCGCAGGTGGGCGCGGGTCTACACACACACACACATGCTACATACTATATGTACATATGTATATATAGTATGTGGGCCTGAACTCAATCATTAGCGTTTGGCAGAAACCGACACACTACTAAGGTGTGTGTCTAAATTTGTTTCAACAAACGAACGAACGAACGAACCTATACAACGTGCTCTGCCTTCAGCAGATAGAATAGAATAGAACCGAATAGAACAGAGCGTTCAATGGCTGGCAATGTATCTATTAGTTTGCTCACCTGCCCCCCAGCCAGCCAGGCGGCCAGCCTGCATTGTGCTCGACTGTACAACCAGAGTGCGTCATTAGGTCAGCTTATGCGATGCAACTCAGCTATAGTATTACTTTACTTTGTTTATTAACTTAGTACATATGTCCACCAAAATGTCTGAAAATGAATCACGCACATTTTGTCACGACAAGCTATATTTGTATTTCATTGACAAATATAGACTACAACGAGATACGAAACATCCAAAATAAAAGTACAATAATGTCTATTATATATTTTATATTTTCAAAAATATCATGAGTCCATTAAATTGGCCGAAAAGATCTTTCAAAGCGAACAAAAACCAATCTTTGTATATACAAGTATATGGGCTCTAAAATTTAACTCGATATGCCTAAATACCAAAAGAATCGTCACACAAAATTTAAGTAAACTAAGTTTGTGATAGATCTGAGATTAAAGCGTTCAGACAGTCAAACCAATAAGCAGACAGTTCTTTATAATAATGTTAGTAAAAAAGTTTCTGCAAATTGGCAAAACAGATGATTATAACTGCATTTAAAAAAAATTTGATGTATTAGATCTCAGAAGAATGTATACCCAAAAATTGGGACCAAAGTTTATAATAGTTTATCGAATCAAAGCGTTCAGACAGTCAAACAAACTGACTGAGAAGCAGGGGAAAAAGTATAAATACAAACAGACAACTGATTGCTTTAGATATATACATATTTTGTCCAAGTAGAATCAAACTTGATATGCCTAGAACATAACGTTTGGTAAGAAAACCGCCCATAGTTTTTGAAATCAAGACGGTCAGACATTCAAATAAAATTGTGAGTAACTGTGAGACTTTTAATCAAACTCATTCGAATGTTCGCAAATTCAGATTCAGGAACAACCCCTAGGCATAAACGAGAAGCCTTGCCATATAGTATACACGAGTAGACTCGTATAAGTTGTATGCATTTCATTATCCTTTGTTTTATTTGCAACTTCATTTTGCTGGCAAAGCGCTTCCTGCACTTCCTGCCATCGACCGTGTGGCCAAAACTGTGTCAGCTGAGGTCGAGCGGCAAACTGTTGCAGGCAAAGAGCAGAGCACGCAACGTACAACAGGGCGTATGCGATTATGCATAAAGAAATTATAGGGTAATCAAAAGGGCATTACATTCTGAATTCTTTAAATATACATATATTTGCCAACGAATTTGCTCAGCGATGGAAAAGTGAATTAATTATGATAATAACTCCTTTTAGTATAGCTAAAAATTTGGGATGAAAATTCAACTTAAGAGCACGCGAATTTCGCATTTCTTTCACTCTAATTAACTATTTAGCTTATTTTGCAGTCAGCTTCCCGCTTATTCGAAACAAAGTGAAATTCTTAGTGATTCAAGGCTCACTTGAAAATTCGTAAATTCTTGATTTGGATTATATGGCTAATGTCTGTCTAACTGTCAACTCTTCATCATTCAATTATTGTTGCTTTTTGTGATTAATTCAATGTTCGTGTCTCTACTCGGCTACAATGCCAAACATTTTCGACTATCAACAGAAACATTCTTTCACAAATCATTTGAGTCATACTTGTATTTGTGGACTGTCTGCTGTAAAGCCTCATACATATGTACATACTTGTATGTATGTAATTAGCATTGCATTTCGATCAAAACAAACAGACAGCTGGTCACCCTAGATTTGTGCGCATATCTGAGTTGTGTCAATCAGATTTTGTGTGCCAAGTGTTTGTCAAGCCGGCCAAAAGTAGTTCAAACATCAATCAAGAAGGTGGCAACAAACTCTTGTTGTCCTGCGCTCATCCAAACAGAGACAAAAACAACAATAATTTCTTTTCAAAAAAAGAGGCAATAAAAACAACTAGACCGAGTACGAAGAAGAAGAAGACCAACAACAACAACAACAACAACACATGTGCACATGTGCTATGTAAATTCTTAGAAATAAAAATTTGCTTGCTATTTTCCAAGGCCTTGAAGCGAAACATGAAATTTTTCAAAAACGGAAAAACAATTTTCAATGAAAATGTTTTTACATTTCTAGCACACCACACCACACAGCACTCAAGTGTGAGCATATGGGTGGAGAAAAGAGCAACAACAACACCAAGAAGTAGAAGAAGAAGAAGAACAGCATGCCTATATACGACTATGTAATTAATTTCGTTGCACACTTTGGCTAATGGCGGCCACTTTTCACATCAAATTTATCGCACATACTACTACATATGCACATATATATGTGTCCATCGGGGCTACTCATAGTGGCATTGGCACACTTGTGGCAAGGCCTCCAAAAAAAAAAAAAAAAATACCCCCAACATGCAACAAACAACAACTGGAAAGGAAAGGCAAAGTTCAGCGACAATTCCAACCTACAATTACATTCAAATTGCTGTTGAAACTAGGCTCTACTATATATTTAAATTTATAAACAAAAGAGTTCTGCACACCAGTTTTTTTAATGCAAATCTTTCACTAGCAACTATATGATATAGTTTAGTTATCCGATTTGGTTCAAATCGAAGGAAACAGTACAATACTATAAGTTACCAACACACATTCGATTTTGTTGAGATAGCTTTAACAAAAAGATGATTAAAATTCATAAAAAAAAAAAATTAGAGAATTGCCGTAAGAAAATGTTAAAAAAAAATGTGTTAATATTTTTATTTTCCGCCATAAACTACGAATTTAAATATGTACTCGTATATAATTTTCGATGGCAGTAATAGCTATATTGTTCTAATATCCATATAGTCTAACATTTTTGTTATCAAATTAAAGTAGAAACTATGTCAGTGTGAATCAAAATTTTATAAAATTGTTGCATGTCGAAAATGTCGTTTACTTAATTGATAACCAAGTTATTCAAATTGACTTAATTGATGAACATAAATCCAAAGTTTGATCCATTTATAGTAACAGCTGGATAGCTACTAAGACTACTATGTTTCGATAATTTATGATAATCTCCAACATATACTTGTACGACTACATATTTGTCATGAGCTTTTATAAGATTAAAAAGAAAAATTGATTGATGACATGGTTAATAAAATGTTAAATCCATTTAAGTCCATAGCTATCAATCCAGATTATGTTTGAATGATTTGTTTTCACATAACTCACAATTTTTATCATAATATAAAATTGACTTACAAATAATTATTTGATAGAATTTTGTATGAAAAATATTAGGTTAAATTATTCCTTTGAAGTAAAATTTATTTTTGTCCTCCAGCTGATGCGCGATAGTCCTTCCTGTTTCTTCCTATCAGTCTTTATTTTTTTGCCATTTAGGTTAATATTACTTGATTGTCTTCTATTAATGTCTTGGTTTTTATGTTCAAAGTTTTTTCGGGGCTCTCTAACATTTACGTGGCTGGCTAGACGGGCATATAAAGTTCATCACACGACAAGTCGGAGCTATTAAATAAATAAATTACACTAAATAGCTCTAGCTCACACCCAAATAAAGACACCTATGAATAGACGGGGAGCTATGTCGCTCGCTTTTCCTTCCTTTCCTTTCAACGATACATATCCGCTTCAAATATTACCATATAGTACAGGCTATAAAACAAAACGGCAAACGCATTTCGACATACGAGGTTGGAATGTTCAAAAAATGCATTGACATGCAAAGAAAAGAGTTGATGTTGACGCAGCAGACAAGTTTATTGATTAAACAGACAGTCGTGTGCGACTTAAAAACAACAACAAGCAAACAAACAACAACAATAATAGTGTTGTGGTAGAAATGGAAACAATTATTAAAATTGTTCAATGGTTATGCGCCGCATTGGACATCACGTGCAGATTCCCCATAAACATGCTGCATGGACGCCCAACAGGGGGCCCCTTCCCCCCCACACCCATTCAACTATTCACAATAACAACAACGCAAAATATTGGCAACGGAAAACTGTCGCCGTAAGTCATTTGCACGAAAAGTCAACAAATTAAATTTGAAAAACAAATTTTAATGCGCAGTAGTTTTTAATTTGCCTTTTATGGCATGCACAGCGGTCTGGGACTATGTGTTTGTACGAGTAAGTAGCTTGCTTGGGCGCAAGGTTGCAACGAAAGGTTGTTGTGATGCCAAGATAAATAGCGATTTCATAAGGTACGGGCGCAAATTAATCAAATTGATTACATTATTAAACAAGTTACTCTGCCCATTTCACAATTTGTACAGTTTATAGTGCTGCCAGCTGGTGGCCGATGGCGCCCAACGGGGGGCACAGCAACTCATACTGTTAGCTAAATTGTGGCAAACGATATTGTGGAGCACGGCTTGTTTATAGAAGATCTCAAATAAAACGTTTCTCTTGTCAAGTAAATCAGAGGAAGGATTTTGAGCTGGAATATAGTGTACATTTTTGAAAGCCTTTGAAGACTCCATTTGGTTGGTTTACACAATGCCGCTCAATATGGGGCTACATGTAAATGCTTTAACTACGCAACAAAACAAAAATGGAAAGATTTCCAGCAGAAAATTACATTTTTTAAAGGGTTGCTTACTTTTTTCTATGTAATATAAGTTATTTTTATGCATCATTAAATATTGTTTGGGAGCTTGTTTCAAATCGCAGTAATGTTAGAAAACGGCGCCCAACATGGGGCCAAGTATCTTGGTCCAACATGGGACATCAATCGTATTAATTCCAACTCAACTACCCCACTGTCACAGCTTCTTACTTGATCGATTTTTGATATACGCTCTCTGCTCATATCTGTCACATCTTTTTTGGGCATAATTGTTTGAAAAACAATTTCAAAAATAGAACATCGCAAACACTTTCAAGTGGCCGCAAAGCTTATGCTTTTTGTTTAATCAAGCGCAACAGCTGCCAGCACCGACGCGCGCGCCCACAACGTCAAAATATACATAAACTATATACTTGTATGTAGAGAGAGGTACATCTATATATGCATACTCGTATACATACATACTCGTATAAGTTTATATGGATTGGCCTTATATGTAAGAGTATATACTTGTATGTATGTTTGCTATATCTATAGACAGCTGGCTGGGAGATGTACAAATGCTGGCCAGTCAGCCTGTCCTTCTATCGATCGTTCAATTAGCGCTCTGGGCTTGACACTGAACAGAATATACAACAACAACAACAACAACTACAACTACAACAAAGCACGACATTGACATTTCAGCTAAGCTTCTGTGCTTTGTAATTCGCTTTGTTATTGTTGTACATAGTTTGTTTGTTTTATGTAGTTGTGAGTGTGTGTGGTTTTTTTATACATACATACATATATGTATGCCTTTTGAAACGCAAAACATTTTTTAATTTTAATGCACGTAACACGGAAGCAGCGCAGCGAGCCAATTACTCTGCCCACTCCCCCCTAACGCCACTGGGGCCCTAATGGCAAAGAAGCGCAAGAAGAACTCACTCGCTTGACTGCCCCCAACGACATCAACAATACAGGCCAGGAAAAATCTGAAAGCCAGCCAGCTATTTAATTAATTTTCCATTCATTCCCCTGCCACCTCCCACCATCCACCTCCTCGCTCACTTTTCTTTCATTTTTTTTTTTTTTCAAGTTCAATTGATGCGACATCGCCAAGTCGCTGCAAAAATGCCAAACGCTTGACTCATAAGAGGGTGACGTTGCCTGGATGGATAGGCGGGGTTGAGGGGAGGAGAGGTAGGGGGGGGAGTGTAAAATGGAATGAATTGAGGCGTAATATTATTGACCCTCTTCATCTTCTCTCGCTCTGATTTGAAGGTGCTGTGCTTTCCATTGACCGTGTTACAACGAAATTAGTTTATAATTAAGTTAATTGGCCACGCTGGCGTATGAGTAATCTGCTTTAACTGGAAAGCCTATTACAATGAGCTGGCCAGCGGCGGTGGCCCACAATAGGTTTGACCACCACAATGTGTGTGTGTGTGAGAAACAATTCGTTGAGGATTATTTGAGTTTAAGACATTTAAGCTGACCTACAATGGACGTCGCAATGCTAATTAAACGTATTTGCAGTAACTGTAAACATATCTCTGTGTATGTCCAGTCCAAATTATGAAACTCTCTTGGGGCTAAACCTGGGGCTGAGGGGGCATATTTTTAAGAAAAGTCACTCGAAATTTAAATTCTGTTTGAGACATTTTAGATGTTCCAAATATAGCCTACAGTTATGCCTACCCGTGTGTGGGTTTAAAAAATGTCTTTAGAACAGCATTAAAAATTGTGAAACTCCACCACATCTCTTGGGGCTAAATAGCCCCAGGTTAGGCGACATTTTTAAAGAAAAGTCACTTGAATTTAATTTCAGTTTGACACAGTTTAACATATCCGTATGTGTTTTAAAATGTGTTTGAAAATAGAACAGCATTACAAATTCGGATACTTCAAGACACTTCTTGGACTTAACAGCCCCACATTAGGCGCCATATATTTGAGATGTCCCCTGAACTTTACGTTGGCCACAACAAATTTGCATTGAGAATCAAATTTTTATCTACTTGTATATGAGTTGCACTGAAAACAAATTTACAAGAAGCGGGCTACACTTTTTAGCATATTTTCTTCTAGTTTCTGGTCTCCATACTCATTTTATCTTGTTTGGAGTTGTTTGATGTCTGATGTAGCTCCGTCATTCCGTTTTTGATCATTTCCAGCGATTTCAGGTCCTTATCGATCATTGCTTTCAAAGTCTCTATGCCTTGCTGTTGAATGGTCAGCAATTCTTTGATCTGATCTTCCTCATCATCATCGTGTTCGACGCATTCATCTTCATCAGAGCCACTACTTTCGCTACATAGCTTGTCATATATTTCTATCTCATCATCAACGTGTTCGAGGAGTTCATGTTCGTCACAGCTACTACACTCATTAGATAGCTCTTCTTCGATTTCTGTGGGCTCAGCAATAATATCTTTAATTTGGGGAACCAGCGTCTTCAGTTCGGGCGACACCGATGCTGTCACCTTTAGAAAGTGGATCTGTTTGATCATAATTTGCAATATGCGATGGTCGATTTCGGCCCATTTACCTTTTTGATTCAGTAACTTTGTTACGACCTCATCAAGTTTTGCCTGCACATTTTCCAGATCACTGCTAAAATTGTCGACTTGATGCGCCTGATCTTCGTGCTCACGTTTCAAGAATTGCAGACGTCGTTTTAAATCGTGGAAATTGATCTTTGGAGTGAGTATTCTTTTATGGCCCCTAAGCTTATTCTGCCCGCTCTCCAGATAATTCTTTACTTGCGTCTCATCCGGTTGCGTCAACTCGAAAACTTTCACAATACCCAAGTTCCTGAGATGTGCCTCAAGTGTTGTCTGAGTTAGGAAATGGGCCAGCGTAGTGGACAATAAACGCTTGCCATCCGTCATCTCTACATAGATAATCATCTGGCACCCTTCGTTCTCCAGCTCCCTCATCGTGTCCACACTCACGGTATATTGGGGCTTGTTGCCAATCAAAATATACAGGGTCTGCACCAGCTCCTGCTGCCTTTGTGCGATGACAGCGAGCCTTTCATTGAAATTCAGTGCAACCAGACCCATATTATCAGGGTTCGCTTGGATTATTTCGACGGGTGGTGCGCAGGAAGAGTAGAAGAGCTTACCAACGCCCCAGAGAGCTTGCAAATAGTTCCACTTGGTCACAATATTGTCACGCTCATCCCCATAGATGGTGACATTCGAAATAGCATGCGCGATCTTTTCGTCATTCAGTGCAGGCATCTGCATGTTAGGCTGTGCCAGCATAGTGGGTATATTTTCGGCAAATCGGGCCCCTACTTTTGGAGCAACTGGATTGCCCAAGGTGGGGCTTGGCCCGAAAATACGAGAAGCCGCTTCCACAGAGGTAGAAGACGACGATGTCCCTGCCTCTTCAAGGTCGCCAAAGAAGAGCTCTCGCTTTGTCCGCATGCTCGTTTCATACTCAGATGTCTTGTCTCGAGTAGAGGACATGATTGATAATTTAATTTATAGGTACTATAGGACAAAAAGAATTCTTCTTCCACCAACAAATTTTGCAACGATTGTAGATGAACAAATAAAATAATAACAATTTTTGCGACAATGAACTAATTGTGTTCAAATTTAAGAAAAAAAACTATATAAAATGTAACATACATATGTATTAATAAATGAGGAATGACATAAGAAAACTAGTTGCCTATTCACACATGAATCTAATAAGGTAGCGATGCGATATAATCGAGTATTTTTTATAAAATATTTATTTGACTATAAAACTGTTACTCCCTGACATTGCCTTATTTTTTATTTTCCTTTTGCTCTTTAAAAACGGACAATTTGTTCGCCCTTCTATGAATGAATACTTGTACATATACTCCTTAAGCGGGCTGAATTAAAAAAAAAAAAAAAACATAGCTTAATGGCTTTTAAAGGTAATACTAAATGTTAACTTTAAAATTTAAGATGTTTTCTATTTGAAAACAGGTGGTGCTGGCCTTTAAAAATTGAACTTTGATCTCTAAGTTTACACCATTGGCGGGTTAAGAATCCCGTTTAAAACAATCTTGAAAGATGCACACGATTACTTTTTCAAATGTAATTTTCTTAAACTTTGCAATTATTTAAAGCTACACATATTCCCGCATGTTCCCGACTTTTAAAACCGGTACTCAAAAGTAAAAAACAGTGTCACCGAATAAGGTTTGTTGAAAAAAATATATAAAGCTTCCCAGCTCGTGTTCTTTTCAGTGTAGCACTTGAAGTTGAGTGTTTGTGAGTGTAAGCCAAGGCTCAAATGCAAGGTAGAGCTTGGCTATGCAGCTGAAAAATGGCGCACAACCTCTCCACACACACACACACACACACACACACACACACACTCGCTGCTTTGCACATTGAAGTGGGCGGCGCATTTAAATGTGAAGTGAAGGCCCTGTCTTTAACGTTTCTGTACACACATTTGGTCCGCGTCATGTGTGAGTGTTTTTGTTTTTGGCATCTAACCTAACCAACGGCAAAATTTGGGTCAGCAGCACAGTTGCACGTGTGTAAGCCCCCAAGGTCAAAGGACATGGACATGAACATGCCCATGAAGGTGGAATTTGATGTAGACGTGGATAGGGATGTGGATGTGAGAAAATGTCGAGCGGCTCTCACTGCCAGCCTACTGCATCAATGGCCCGGGGCTGCATAGCTAATGTGGTTGAGGTCAGGGTAGTGTGTCAAAACTTGTTAGCTGATTGCTTTAATCAGCTCTTTTGTGGTATTCCCAAATGCTGCAGAATATTGCATTTAGCGTAAAAAACATACGAGTTTTAAGATTATATTTTGCCGTACAGCTCGTTTTTGCTGATCCGGAAAATCAAATCCTGAATCTGAATCTCTAGACAAATCAATGCATTTTTTCTTTCACAAACATGTAGCAACGGTGAAAGCTGATTGACACAAGAAAATCTTTAAATAGTAAAGTCCTGATTATCCCTTTTACTATACTGCAAGTAAAATGGTCACCAAATCAATTGTGTGTGGCCGTGTTTTCACACAGCTACGAACAGCTGATCGGCCAAATTAAAAACAAATCTTAACAAATCTTTACAGATTACTCTAATCTATAATGCCCTTATTGATAAGAATTTGTGCTCGAAAGGAGGTTATAGGGCGACGCATTCACACTTACCGCATATCTCCATGACATCTTTGTAGTACTGCGGCGCCTCCTTCTTCTTCTACTACTTAGCACAAACTCTTCGGCTCCCTCTCACTCAATTACCAGCCCACGTGTGCGTCTCTCTCTATCTCGCTTTCACTCACTCGCCAGCGCCTCTTCCTTGCACACTTGATTGATGGGTTTGCTCCTTGGTCTCGTTTGCTTCGTTCGTTGCTCCCGTTACCGTTACGCGTTGCTTTCCTGTTATTGTTGTTGTTGTTGTTGTTGTTTGGTTACCTTGCATTTGGGTGTTGAGTAAATATAAATAATAGATGAAAGACAATAGCAGCAGCCAGCAGCAACAAAAAAAAACTCTTCCTCTATACACATACTCGTACATATACATATATATGTACCTATATATGTATGTAAATAAGTACGTAGTATGTACGCCCACGCACAGGTGGCGCCTCTGTTCGGTTCCTTCCTTATTCGCACACACGCACACACACACACACTGACAGACACATACGCTTTAACGCCTCTATCAAAACAACAATTCAGAAGCAACAAAAACATCTCATTAAAGTTTGCCACACATTCACCAACACTTGCAACATCATATTAAATGATTCTATTTAAAAAATAAAAAAAATTGTATTTGCATATTTTCACAAATAATTTCAAATTTTGCACTACCTATGCATATACATATACTTGAGAGATCTTGCACGGGCTTTATAATTACTTTTTAACAGCTCCGACTATTTATTAGCAACAAAATGGAAATTCAAAATTTTGCTTGCGTTTTATTTTTTTCCTCTTTAATAGAATTTTTTTGATCTGGTCTGTCCGTTTTATTTGCTTTGCTTCGCCCAAGTTTGTGTTTTTTTGCGTTCTGGCGACGTACTTTTTGCGACTGATTTGCAAAGCCGCTTTGGGGTTGTTTTGTAGGCGTCCGAAAGCTCTTTTTGGCCACCTCGCTCGCATCGGCAGCGACGTCGGAGTCGGCGTCGGCATCGGCATCGGCGGCACCTAGACGGCGGGTATTATTTGTGACGTGTTTAGTGTTTGGCAAAAGCTTTTGTCGTTTAGCTTTCATTTCAAACGGCACGTGTTTAAGCTTTGCCTTTGGTATTCGAGGGCCACACACCCACTGAAAAGAATGTAAATATTTTTGTATTCATACGTAATACTTGTAGAGAGGGAGGATGTCAAGAATTGCAGAGAATGGCTGTTCAGTGTGCGATTGAGAGAAAAGAGAGCAGACATGGCCATCGAGGTTGCAATTTATTAACTTCATAATATGAATCGCGTAGGTCATGTACAGAGCAGAGGCTCTCCCTCTCGGTTCGGTTGAGAATAAAACCTAGGATTGGTCAAAATTTGATAACAAACGTCTGCTGTATATTTTACTTCTTTACGGCTCACTACGCTACGAGTGGTATAAAGCTAAGCTTTTTAATATTTAAGAAATTAAAATTCCTATTAAATGTATTTTTATCGAAATCGGCAAGTTTGTGTTCAATAATTTGAAAATGTGTTAGATTGATTTGGTCTTAATATTGTGCCTTCGCTGGAATGCGGTTACTCCCTGATTTGTCAAAGAGAAGAACAAGGTCTACAAGTATGTTGGCAACATCGCCGGGAATTGTTATTGTTACGTCACGCGATGAGAGCACCAGTTAACAAAACCTGTATTACGCCATACATTTTAACTTTATTCTAACATGGTGCTTACCCCCACATTTTTCTGTTCTAAGAAAATAAGAAAAGTAATGAAAAACACACTCTCTTTTGTCCTAAATTTCCTTCACTCGTTTACACACACTTTAAATATGGAACTATTCTTCATGCAACGATTTATTTATGTTTTTATAAGAGCATCGACAATGAATCAGCTTACGGTTTAGCTATACCTTGCTAGTCATTATAGTACGCAGCAGCAAAGAGCGCAGTTGCTGAATAAGCTTTGTGCTTTGACGCCTCTACGCCCTACGAAAAAGTTCGAGCGTCCATAAAAGGAAGCTCCATTGATGTAAGCAATGATTCAGTCATTCATTTCGTTTCAGTTGGCGGATGACTCGAATCGTTAAAGCGAATCGTATGAATCATTACCAACATGCTATTAGGGTGTTTCGAAATCGACTCCCCCCGCTAGTTGCCGATCTTTTTGAGGTCAAAAACATAAACATCGTTTTATATATATTATAGTAATATCTATTTTCCTATTGAATCATTCATTTATTCAATTATATTGTTTGCTAATTAATTTCGAATCGAATATGCGTATATGTTAAACACAAGATCATTTTTCTATTTCACGTTGAACAATTTTAATATGTTTGCTAAATACATTTGAGGAATGATCAAAAAGAAAACGAAAAGGTACAAATATTTAACAATCGAATATTTAGGCGTATTGTGCGTGAGTTGTGATTTATCTGCCACGTGTGTATTTTTTGTTTGTTTTAGTGTTCTCAACAAATGGGAATTGCTTATTCTTGTTGTTGTTCTTGCTGTACATATATCGCAGGTGCGTGTTTTTTGCATTATGATCAAATGTTCGTATTAGGGAGGTTGTGCGCAACAAATTGGCCAAAAAATTGAGAATTGGTTATACATAAGTATAGATTGTTTGATGATTGATTGTGCCAGTTGCGATTACAATCGAAGCGAAACACTCAAGTCCATTGAGAATTGGTTATACATATTAATCTTAATAATAATAATGGGCGTTGATTCTTCCGCCATTATTATGTGTGTAAGTCAGGGAAATTGGTGTGAATCGTGTGATTCGATCAGATCAGATCAGTCCAGAACCGTTCAAGTTCAAGGGTAGAAGTGTAGATGTGAGTGTGTCAGTGTCAAGAACTCAAGACGTGCCGTGTAGATCAGTCCAACCCATTAGACATGCAATTTTACAATAAAACCATAACTAATCGGACAATAAGGTCTGATATGATAACTCTTCAGATCGAACTGTGTTTGTGTCTATGTTTTGTGTTGTTAAGTCATAACTATTTTAGGTCAGATTTGTTTTCCAAATCTGCGTGTGTGTGTCTGTGTGTGTTACGCACTTTGGAGGACATTATCATGAGATAATAGATGGGAGGGAGCTCCAGTCAAAGAATGGGGGTGGAGTGTCAATCCGTCAGTGTTCCTGGGCTTGCTTGAAGATGTTGTGTCTGTGTAAAGTCGTAGAAGACGCTCCAAAAAATAGTGGGCCGCCCATTTTTGTGGAATGTAGTAGGGGTGGTGTCTATTGGAGGGCCCCCTCCACTTTAGCCACATGGGGATTGTTACATCCCAGACGTTATGCCAAACTTCAAATTTTGCCTGTTAACTTCACAATTCAAAAACGAAGGCAAAACATTGATGATGTGTAATAAACAAATCTTGATCTTGGACTTCTCCTCTTTGTTCTTCTTCTTCTATCTATTTCATTCTAGTACCGGACCAGCAACTGTCTCTAGCCGGGCTTCAATTAGGTGTTGGGTTAGATGTTTTGTTTCTGGTGTTTCTTTGTGTGGTTGTGGTGTTAGCCGCCTCCTTAGCATTTGTTGGCCTGGAACATGGTGTCAGTTTTGATCTTCGGATTCGGCTTCTTTTTGGCGCCGGCCAGCAACTGCTTCAGCTGTACAATGGCCCGGGCCGGGTTGAGGCCCTTCGGACAGGTGTTGGTGCAGTTGAGAATGGTGTGGCAGCGATAGAGCTTCCAGGGATCCTGCAGATAGCACAACCTCTTCTCGGTAGCCTCGTCGCGTGAATCGATGACCCAACGGAAGGCCTGCATGAGAACTGCCGGTCCCAAATATTTATCGCTGTTCCACCAGTAGGAGGGACAGGCGGTCTGACAACAGGCACACAGTATGCACTCGTAGAGTCCGTCGAGCTTGTCGCGATCCTCAATCGCCTGCAGGTACTGTGCCTTACCCAGCTCCTTGGCCAAGTTCGGACGCTGCAGCCAGGGCTCTATGGAGGCGTACTGCTCGTAGAACTGCGTCAGATCGGGCACCAAATCACGCACCACATACAGATGCGGCAACGGATAGATTTTGCAAGGTGCGCTCAGTCCGGTATCGATGGCTGTGACGCAGGCCAGGGTGTTCGTACCATTGATGTTCATGGCACAGGAACCGCAAATGCCTTCGCGACAGGAACGACGAAACGTTAGGGTCGGATCCACCTCATTCTTGATCTTGATTAAGGCATCTAGCACCATGGCGCCGGTTTCATTTAGATCCAGCTTGTAGGTTTGTATTTGTGGCTTCTCACCGGGCTTCCAGCGATAGATCTCGAAGTTCTTCATGCGTTTCTCCTTCTTCGGTTCCGGTTTCTTAGCATCATCACCACCCTTGTTATCTGCTTTCTTACACTTGTCGGGCGGCTGCTTGCCCGCTGCCTTGGCATCGCCCCCAGCTCCACCTTTGTCCTTGTCCTTGCCCTTGCCCTTGTTCTTGTCGGCATCCTTTGACTTCTCCTTGCAGTGCACCACAACATCAAACTGCTGCCTCTTTGGGTCCCCAACTAAAAGGCCAGTCTGCACGCTTGGCTGAACCAGCTGCTCAGCCATTAGGCGATCCATTCGAACGGGCAGTGCGGGACGCACAGTCCGGCTAGGCTCCACCGACTGCGGCTCCAACTGAACGGACACACTTACCATGCAGCGACGTAGCAACGAGGGTCGCAGATGGCTCCTTAGCATAAGCATGGTGGTTGCTTTACTTGGTGCTGCTGCAGCTGCAGCGCCAAGATTTCTGAGGACGAAATCAAGACCAAAATCAAAAAATTTTGAATTTCTACAAATTATTTATTTTTTTTTTTTTTGTTGCCAGACGACATGCGAATGGTTGAAGCTACAAATTTATACTGAGTCCCCAGGTGTGTGGAATGAAAAGTTCACTGACAAGCAGACACAAGGCTAACTAGATGTAACAAGGCTATAATTATGTACTGGTATATGTACTTGTATGTTCCTAATCGTTCACAAACCAAGGAAATACACGCTGTTAAGAAGTGGTTCCCCACATTTTTTGCATCCCTGAATATCAGGGGTGCCACAGAAATCTCTTCCGCCCCAGTTTCGTCTCAAAACCAATTCTCGGTGCCACAGAACTCTTGTGTGTTTTGCCAGGAGTTTTAATTAAAAACACTAACAAAGACATTTTTCCTCATAAAAAAAATTCATTGGAATATAAACCTTATAGTTTTTCTGAAAAATCTGCATCAAAAATATTTTGCATATCCCAAGTAAATATTATTAAATTAGCAAATTACTAAATGTATACACAAACCACCAAAACAACCGCACAATAAAGATGCCCCATTGGCCGAAATAGAACATTACATTTTAGGAAAATCACCAAAAAATTAAAATGCATTTAAAAAATAATTTATGCATATGATCAATGAAAAAACTTCAACAAATCCAAATCCAACTCGGTTCCGTTTTAAGGCGAAATAGTGCGACTTTATATGGCAACATTTTTTTTAGGGGGGCAACGCTCCCCCCCTGCGTACGCCCTTGAACATACATAAGTGGAATTCTTTAGTGGGATCAGATGCGCTGTATTTTGCCAACAATTAATTGGCGTTTCCGCAAATGCTCGCGAGCTAGTATTAATGCAAATGGCATATTTGTTTTTTATTTAACTTAGTACGTTACAGAATTTAAAAACAATTACTCAGTCAAATGTGAGCTTCGACAGTCAGCTGTTGCGGACAGCTGGATGGGAGGGGACGTTCGAAAAAATGAAATCTTTCGAAGTTCTCTAGCACCGACAGAATTTTTTGGAGATTTGAAAAACAACTGTTGCCGTGACCTCCGCATGATAGAATTCTTGTACATTTCCCAGCATTATAAAGCATTGAAACATTCTTCTATTTTCTTCAATTATTTTTACTTCATAATTTAGACGGCTTTTATTTATCTTTCGTGTAAAATTAGCCAATTTGTAGAAGCATTGGCAAACATGGCAGGCTGGCACTGAAAAGAATTAAGAAAAACCTAACCTCAAACGGCGTGGTATCGATTGCCGCAGGGACCCCGGCCCTGGCACTGGTACTGGCCCTGGCCCTGGCCGTGGACGTGCTTGACAGCCGCTGAGACATCACACTCGTGTACATCTACTAATTGTCATTGCCGGCAAAATATTTGTCTAGTTTGTCTGCAATTAAAGGAACATATAATGTCTCGTCTGCGTGTGTGTCTGCCTGTGTGTGTGCATGTGTGTGTGTGTGTCTGTGTGTGTGTGGGGCGTCACGGCACATGCGAAAGATCAGGCGAGAAATTTGTGACTTGAAAGCCTCAACTCCTAAACGAATGGAAACCAACTGTGAAAACAGAGACGCGACGCTATAAATATCCGACTAATGCGAACGATTGTTCTGGAATTTGTGTTCTGATTTTTTTTCCAATTCCAAACAGAAGCACAGTCGCCGTGAAATGTTTTCACTTGTCGCACAAACTTGCACTTTTAATTTATTTGAATTTTTCTATTCGAAAACTCACCCAAATCCGATTAGTTCTGAACTGTGGTTTTATTTTTTCGGAGCGCTACGTGTTGTCCGGAAACTGTGTGATTATGAAATGGAAAATATGCCCAACTGCCTGCTCTGACTGACAGCCAAACGAACGCTTGAAAGCAAACGTAAAGCCCACTAGATTAACCAAATGTGGCGGGCCTGTCTGTCACGAGCCAGCAGCCGCCCAGGGATGGCCCAACTTCAAAGTGGACTGACAACTAAAAAGGAGATCTGCTGTGTCTGCACCTGCCGGCTGGCTATCAAGCTAATGCCGCCTGATACTGCTGATACTGCTGATGATGATGATGACGGCGATTATTAAAAATAAATGCATCACACACATGGGAAGCAGTAATAGAACTTGCAACAAATTAAGTTGTAAGTTTGAGTAGACTTTGTCGCGAGCTCTTGTGTGTTGGCTGCCTGTCTGCTGCTGCTGTTAAGCAATCAGTGCTGCCAACTCTTAATCATCAAAAAGGCTAGATCAGAAAAGCAATGGCTAAATAAATGAGAAAGCATCAAAAACAAACTTTTTTGTTCACTAACGGGAAATTTTAATTCGAAATTCCAAGAACTACGGGAGTTATGAAAAAAAAAACACGAATTGCGGGGGAGTGGGGGGGTGTATCAGAATAAAAAAAAATTAACTTGACCTGTCTAGGACTTAGGGGAACCTGGATACCAAGTTTGGACACTCTAGCTCTTGTACCTTCTGAGATCCTTGCCCTCATACAGACAGACGGACGGACGGACAGACCGACATGGCTATATCGACTCGTCTTGTCATGAGTATCTATGTATGTATGTATGTATGTTGATGCCGCAATGCTGTTCTACATTTGTCTTAATGTTAACTAACAGACGACTCTCTTTCTCCCTCTCGCGCTCTGTAATTGAATTCCTATTTAAGGCGGAATGTAAGTGAAATTAAATTTGGACATTCGTCCCTCTATTTAAATGCAAAACTATATATTTCAAACGATTTGTATCCTAAGCTTTTATGTACAAATTATGTTAAATCTGGTCAGGGTATTGCGGTATCGTATAACCGTTAATATAGTAGAGGAATTATGATCTAATAGGTATGGGGCAGGGAACTAATGTTTCAATGTAAATCGATCAATATTTCTTATACCGTTTTTTGAACATCCCTAGATCAATGGTATACTTAACTGCTCATTTGTAATCTCTTACTTTACGTTCCAACTATTCTTGTAGCTTGTATTAAGATATGTATGAACCAAAATTTGCAAAAATTAAACAATATCTCTAAACAAAATCTCTATATAACAAATAATAAAAAAAACCAAAACCATTTCATCAATTTTGGATAAACAAAATCGATACTTTAATTTGTATTTGATGAGCAGCTTAATAAAAGAATGGAATATTTTTTCATCGCCCTTTCCCTCTCAGCAATTACGATTCGTCATAGACATAATATAGGGATTCGTGAAACTTATTCTGTTTTGTAAAGAGATTTGTCGAACCTATTTCTGACTCACTTGACTCATTCCTCCAAAGTTTAAACTCTAATTATGTACTTTTTGCGCTATGTTATATTATTTCTTGTTCATTTGCATTTCACAAGAATCGAGGAATCAAAGTATACCGATATCGTAATCTACAAGTAGGTATGGGTTATTCCGAAATTAAGAGTGTTGTCAGCATTACTCATAAAAATAAATCCAAATAAGAGATGGAATCCATTGAGGTCAAAGATTCCCATTTCATTACATTTTATTATTATAGTTGGGCAGTAAGAGACCAAATGCGATTTAGACTAACTATAGTAATAGCCTAATTAGAATACATGTAGCTTGTGTTTTGTGTTTCGTGTATTAGGACACACTAAAAATTGCATTTGAAATTATTTTTAATAACAGCGGAAGCCACGACTATAGAGGCTACGGCCAAGTCCGCGACCGCGACCACGACCACGACCACGAGCAGCTCCCCCACCGCCGCGACCAGCACAACGTTGTTTCATTGCATTGAAACGCTCCGCCATTTTTCGCAATTCCTCCGGCACTTCCTGCTTGGCTTCCTCCATGATTTTAATCAGATCATTGGCCATGGCCCAGTCTTCGCGCGTTATAAAGCTAATCGAGGTGCCCATGCGCCCGGCGCGGCCTGTTCGTCCAACACGATGCACATAGTCCTCGATATTTTTGGGCAAATCGTAGTTTAAAACATAGCTGAAACAACAAATGAATTGAACAAATAATAGTAATAATAATAGTAATATTAGTTTTTGGAGCTCACGTTATGTCCTCAATATCCAGACCACGCGAAGCCACATCGGTGGCAATCAAAATTTGAACTACGCCGGACTTGATATCGCCAATAGCCACCTCGCGATCACCTTGATCAATACCGCCGTGAATGCTCCGGTTGTAAAAGTGATTTACCATGAGATCATATGCCAAATCATCAACACGTCCCTTGCGGCCGCAAAAAATGATTACTTTGTCGCTTCGTTTCATGCTTTTGATAAACGACAAGAGCTTGGAGTCTTTTTCTTTGTCGTCCTCGACCATTTCGATTAGCTGCTTCACCGAATGCGTGGCAGCCGGATCTAGTGATCCCACGCACACCTGTATGGGATTTGTCATGTACCTTTGGGCGAGACGGTGCACGCCTGGCGGCCAGGTGGCCGAGGTCATAATCGTCTGTCGATCTGGACGTATATCCATAAGCACGTTTCGAATCTGTCGCTCAAAGCCCAAATCGAGCATGCGATCGGCCTCATCCAACACTAGATACGTAACGGATGATATGTCGATAACATTTGCCCTAATCAAATCGTTCAGGCGTCCCGGTGTACAAACTATTACTTCCGCACCTCGTTCTACATCCGAAATTTGTAGCTGACGATCTCCTCCACCGTAGACGCAAACGCTGACAAAATTAGACGAATTACAATAAAGTCAGAACAAGAGAGAAAGCTACAGTCGAGCAAGCCCGACAGTGAAATACCCTGTACCCAGACAAACTTCCGTCACTGAGTTATATGCGTCCATAGCAGAAGCAAAAAGAGGAAGAAGAAGAGCGAACTTGTAGCTGCAGTTTGGGGGGTTGTACTGGCGAGAATTTGTTTCGCTAATAACTTTTCTTAGAATTAACCGACATCGATGAAATTTGAAACAAAAGTATGTATAAATTATGTGTGCAAAGTTTGGTTAGTGTAGCTTTTGAAATGTGGACGGTATTGACGAAATTCTGTAGCGGGGGAAGGGGGGGGGAAATTCAAAAAAATAAAATAAACTCGTCCTTTCTCGGACCTAGAAGAATCTTGGTACCAACTTTGGTTATTCTAGCTTTTATAGTTTCTGACATCCTTGCGTTCATCCAGACAGACAGACGGACAGACAGACAGACAGATGGACGGACGGACGGACATGTCTAGATCGATTTCTCTCGCCATTCTTTATGGGGTCGCAGATGCTTCCTTCTGCCGTTTTTACACTACGGGTACAGGGTATAATAATGTAGGGCATGACAACAAAGTTACTCACGTTTTCATGCCGCGGAAGGAATATTTCTTCGCCTCCATTTCAATCTGCAAGGCTAACTCACGAGTGGGCACCATTACTAGCACATTTGCCCCGCCCCTTTGGCCACGCGGGGTGCTCTGACATTCCGTGTGTATCAGGCCCGGCAGCAAGAACGCCAGCGTTTTGCCCGTGCCCGTCTGAGCAATGCCAATTAGGTCATGACCCTTGAGGAGTATGGGCCAAGCCTGTGACTGTATTGGGCTTGGCTTGGGAAAACGCTGCTTTTCAATCTCATGTAATAGGTCAGGGTACTCGGAAAAGCATTGATCAAACCGCCAAACAGGGTTGGGAATCAATTCCGACGATTGTTTCTCAAAAACATGAGATACTGTTATCTTGTTTTCCCGTCGAAGCCACTCCACCTCTGCCTGGAGCAAATTTGCCACCTCCGGCCATTCTTTATAAAAGTCCTTAGTTAACGGCGGCAATTTGGCCAAACGTGCCGCCCGCGCAGCTGCCTAAGGAATTTAATGATAAAAAACAATTATTTTCGTTTCATTATGATTTGATTTTTAAATTGCTTGACGAACCGCTTTGTATAAGTCATCCTCTTTCCGTGGTGGATTGCCACCATTGTTTTCATAAGATTCTCTCATCAAGCTAAAAAGCGCCCCACTGGGTCGTCCATCTGCAAGGGCGCGTATCTCCCTACCAACATCGCCTATATTGCCAATGGAAGAGCCCAAAACTTTCACCTCAATTTTAATGCGTACACAGAAGACGTTTTCTAAACAGGTTAGGTTCGATCCCCCGGTCCCAACCACACGGTCCACCATGTCATTGCTGATATGAATTGTCTCGCAAAAGTCTTCGCGAACACGATTATCTCCAAAGCGTCCAGATCCTCCTCTGTTCGACCCCCCATCATTTCTTACAGGACCATGGCCGTTACGATTGCCTCGTGAGTCACCATCGCCCCCACGCAAGCTAAGTTTATTGTACTTCTCGTTGAAAAGGTCATAAGGACATTTCTTGGGCGGCTCCGGGTCAACATAATTGGGATCATCCCAATTTAAAGTCGTCATGCTCACTCCGGTCTCTGCGACTGATTTCCAATAGCTTCTTCTTGAATGTGTTATCAAGTTCCAGCACGTTCTCGTCTACTTTTGCTGACGTAAGCGAAAGACGGCAAATGTCGAGAAAAATTTCTTCCAAAATGGCTGGCTCGAGTCACAAATAAATTTTGGAGAATTAACGCTGCTGTTTCAAAAATGATTATCGTTTTAAACTGGCATGTGAATTAAGCACTCTTTTATTTCAAATCAATTCCAAAGAAAACCGCACAAGTTGAACTCACAATATACAATGACAGTGGCAATTTTAATTTTTTGAAACATACAAGTCATAACAATGACAGAAGCTCTGGACAAAATGTCAAAGGATGAGAGTGCATTGAAGAAAAAAACCAGGGCTGTAATCACTATAAGTGTTATTATACAAATTACAAAACAATGAAATAATCATTTAATCTTATGCATTCATTCACAATATAATGATTAATTTTGAACTTTACTTTTCATCTTAACTAATAATCATTATTTTTTTGACCCAAAAAATAAAACTCATTAAATAATGATTATTCTTCAAGTTTTATTTTGTTAATCACCAAAAAATTACAAATTTGATTAAATAATGCACGATGCATTTAAAAAATAACTTATGCATATAACTTATCAATGACAAAACTTCAACAAATCCAACTCAGATCCATTTTAAGGCGAAATAGTGTGTCATAATAATGAACGTGTGGTCGACTTTATATGGCAAAAATTGTTGCCCTCTGCCCCCCCTGCCTACACCCTTGGTAGTTGTTGATGGCAAGGTTTAGATAGGACTAGCAGAGTAGTGGCAAACAATTCCGTCTTTTGCCGTCAAATCTGGCTGTTTGCGGGAAAATTTTGGGAATTGCGGGATGTGGAAATGATGGAAATTCTGGATATTTTAGAAATGTGTTTGGTTCTTTTCACGTCTTTTTCTCAGTGATGATCGCAAATCGCTACGACCTGCTGAACGCGCCCACTGACAAGACTTTTACGCTCTTCTTACGTATTTCAAAGCTGGCGGGAGAAACAGCCAAATGGGCAGCACTGCTGCCGGTGGCAAGGTGTTGATGCTGATGACAATGTGGAGCAGGAAAAGCAGCAGCTTCAAGCCATTTAAGCTATTAAGCTGCGAAGACGGCAGGACAGACACAACACTAGAAGTCCGCCGTTGACGGCTGACAGGTGCCATCAGACATTTGTTGCACATTTCGTCATAGACGCGTGCTGAAAATGTTTTTTTTTTATTATTGTTGCAACGTCATGGGATGCGATGCGATGCGATGCCACGAATTGTTCCATTGTTGGATATGGGGAGGCAAAGACATAATAAATACTCGAGTAATAGTCTGTATTACAACGAGCTTGTCTGTCTTCCTGTTCTTTCTGCTCAGTTAATTTGATTGCCACGCCGAGCACACTACTATGCTATACTTGTACGAGTATGCTCAAATAAAAACGTAAGATTTATGGCTTTTAAATTTCATTCATGCTGCATTTGGTGGCATGCAACAACAACGACAGCAGCAGCAGCAGCAGCACCAACAACTGTTGATTATTGTTATCAATTTCCAGCACCGGATACACAAATCAATTGCATATGCAAGAAGTACATACTTGTATGTATAGTATGTATATAGGAATTACTTATGTACAGTAAGTTTGTCCAAACAATAACATAAATAAATTCTTACTCGCCTGGGAATTTGAATGTTTAATGCGAGTAGTTTGAGCTTTCGAATCTTCTTTCTAACAACTGGCTAAATATTAAGTCTTTCCAGTAACTTGTTTTATAACTTATCTGTACAAAAAGGGTGTTATGTCGAATACTCTATACCCACCCTATCCCCGCTATAGCCTAACAACTAAAATAAACAATCCTGCGGCAGCTAAATATATGATATGTAGTAGAGCACCGATGTTAATAAAACTTCAAGAGTTGTAATGAAGCATTAAATATTTGATTCAAATATCTTTATAAGCAACACCGTTTTTGGTGCTAAGCTCAATGATCGTTCCTATGGCATCTCTATATCATCTACGCATTCATTTTAATGAAACTTGAGAATATCATAAGGCAGTACACAAAACGTAATATTCATACCATATTTCCAAAAGATGTCTTTTAAAACAAAAATTTTCTCCCATGAGGCACAGTCACGAATTCAATTTCAGGCCTAGGCCCATGGGTCCAAGACAAGCAGCACAGTAAAAAAAAATAATAATAATAAGTAAATAAAACAGGTCTTCGGTCAGCAGACGACGGGAAAATCAAGCAAAAATCACCTGATTGAGGAATGTAGGAAAGAATGCATAGCATTTAATATAAATTTGTGTTATCTTTGAACAACAAATAAAACATAAAACGAATATACATATTATTTTATATTATAAATAAATGAAGAGAAACCGAAACCATCCTATAGGAAATCCAATTAATCATTTAAAATACGTTTAGTTATTAAACACAAAAAATACCTGAAGCGTACTCAAAATAAATAACAGTCTATACGTTTGTTCATTCGGCTGTATGAAGTGCGAGAACTTATAAGCCCTAACAGCTAAGGACACCAAACTTGGTCTGACCCATACGCCAAGCAAATTTATTTTAAATATGTATTGATAGTAACAACATTATAGTATAATAAATAAACCAACAAAGCCAACCATTTATTAGTTACTTGATTGCCAAAGGATTTAAAGAAGTAGGTACAGGTATAGGTGCTAAATTTTGCTTCTCCCAGCAACTTAATAATAATATTTTTTGCTTAAGTCAGAAAGAAATTAAGGCATCAAAAAGCAAGTTACTTTATTACATTTTTCTATATGATAAATTCATTTCCATTTAAACTTTTTCTTAATACTGTTTTTTAGTTTATTGCAATACACATTTCATAACATGTCATTTAGCTTCGCAACTAACATCTTTATTTGTTGAACTATTTAAAAATGCGATTTAAAATTAGCGGCATGTTCCTTGCACTGCTATCGAGTACGTGGCAATATATATCGATAGTGTGCTATCGTCACAGCTCTATCGGTTTTGTGACCAACCACTTGCGCATTGTGTTGTTTTTGTTTTGTTGTGCTATGCCAAGTAAATAATTCAATTGCCAATGAACAATCGTGTTCGCATCGTAATAGTTGGCGATTCAGGTAGATATTTGGTTTCCAACCCACAAATAACGTCACTGCAAATGTTTCCATTCTCCGTTTTATATTGAAGGCGTCGGCAAGACCTGCCTGACACATCTGATTGCCCACAATGAGTCGCTAACGCGACCCGGCTGGACAGTTGGCTGCAATATCCAGGTGAAAATCCACGAATTTAAGGAAGGCACTGCACGCCAGAGTCCCTACTTTGTGGAACTATTCGATATTGGCGGCTCGCTGAGTCACAAAAACACACGCAGCATTTTCTACACAGGCGTACACGGCATTATTCTCGTGCACGATCTCACCAATGTGAAGTCGCAGGAGCAGCTCCTCGAATGGCTGTTCGAGATTGTGAACAAGGAGGGCAAGGACACGTACAAGTGTCGTGCGACATCGCGACCAACAACACCATTGCCTAACTATGGGCAGGCAGATGCGCACTTGCGCTTCGACTTGGAGGAGTTTTTGGGCGCCACACAGACGCCTATTCTGGTGATTGGCACCAAACTGGATTTGGTTGATGAGCGACGACAGCCCAAGACGGCAGTGAAGAAGGCGGGCGGCATTGGTTGGTATTATTAACTCAAACCTTTGGTCTCAAAGCATTTTTAAAAATAGTTTGAACAAATTCCTTTCAAGAGTGCTATATTAAAGGTCTATTGCACATTCATTACATGCAATCTATTCTAATTATGTTATTCTATACAATTTTAGCTGACAAATGTGGGGCCGAGGAGATATGGCTGAATTGCCGAGACACTCGCAGCCTGGCCGCTGGTACCACAGATGCTGTAAAATTGTCGCGCTTCTTCGACTGTGTTATTGAGAAAAGAGAGAGCATTGGCTCTACCGCCTCCCATGTGTACGGAGGCATGACACAACAAGCAGACAGGCGGCGGGGCCCATCTACCTCAGCATCATTGCCAAATAGTCCAGAGTTTTCGTTATATGCGCCTACAAGTAAAATCGGTTTAGAGAGCAATGGCCCGCTATTAGAGACAGGAGATCTCAAATGACATTCAATATCTAACAATGTATATAGCTTAAGTAAATGTACCGTACATATTTTTGTTAACGTCTTATAATACACATATATTTATTGGTGTAAAGTTGAATTTTTGTTGTTAGCAAATAAACTAGTAGCAGTATTATTGTCGCAACCGGCACTTGTAACCAGGTGGACTATGACTTGAAGTGAAAGTACACGTAAAGTTAGGTACTAATCGTGTCTATATTGGTTATATGATATTTCTACAACTGATTTGCTTAAAGAGAATTACGCTATTTATATCTAATCGGAGTTGGTTAGATTGGTTGCAGTGGCTGATAGCGGTGTGCCATTCAGAAGGTTCCTATACGAATCAGGAATAAACCGATGTACTTTGTTCAGCTCGTTATGCCCATTAGGAGTACGCTGAGGTTCATCCGATCTCCTTATAATAGTATACTTAATGCCGGAATATCCTGGCTTATAGTCCAACTGCACGACAGCATAGGGATCGTTGATAATATCCATGAGCATTTTCAGCTCCTGCAGAACATGTTGCAGGAATAGCATCATGGAAGCAGGGCTCCAATACTTATTCCTGGGTAAATCACTTACTATAAATTCACGAATATTATGCACAATGCCATTGTTATCGCGCAATCCCGCAAAAATGCTCTCGATGCCCACTAGGAATGATTGAGCCCACCAATTGAGCGATTTATAACGATCGAAAGTACGCAACTGTTTGGGTGTCATATTTACGGACGTGGTTTTCAGTTCAACAAACTTTAAGTTAGCCAGCACCTTCGGATCATTGAGATCTCTGCAAGAAGTTAATGGAAATGAAATTAATATTCCCAGAACGATGTTGCTTTATGAGTTACTTACACGCTTTTGTCGCTTTTTATGCCATCCATTTCGGCTCCAAATATTACGCGCAGTCCGCCCAATTTAGTGCGAAAGAAGCAATTAAATTCATCGTTCTCATTAACTGGAACACTCGTAGTCGGCTCCACATTTGGCTCGGCTATTTAGAAAATATACCCATAAATAAGCGTACCTCTGTAATATATAAATTGATTGCTTTATATCCTACCGGACAGACAGTATTGCTCAAATTTATACCCCCACGAGCACATATTCAAATGGTGCTGCGTCATCTTCGCACGGTCCTCACGATCAGCGTCCGTTTCCAACTTGGACAGATAAATGGTGCCATTCAGCTGTGTAGCTCGCAAACAGAGCTCTTTATTATCATATGGCAGGCACATAATTAGACGCAAAATGCCGCGGAAAGTGACAAAATCGGCGTCCAATTTCAAAGCTCCAGACTCAGTTGGATGCAGCAACTCTCGATGATTTTGTATGAACTTACAAAACATGTGTATATCGAAGTACTCCGGATCAACGGCTTTACGATGCACCTGGTCGATGCCTGCCGATAAATCAAGCGGTGGTTCGGGTATTCGCCAAAAATACCCCAGATGACCTGCATCATTCCCATACTCGCGTGCATCTCCATTTATGCTCATGAAGCCGATCGGTTCCGGTTTTGTGAACTGAGGGAACGGCGGCGCCGATCTTCCCTGCCCACACTTATATTTATCGAGGGGCACTTTCAGATAAGTGCTCATGATTAATTCAAAATGGAAAACCCTACCGCACAATATTTAAGCAGTTCTGTCACCTAAATTACACCAAACATTACAAAAATTTAATGGTAAACCACCGGCTTTTCCGCCGAATAATAACGCTGGCAGTGTAGTTAGGGCATCGATAAAAGGTCTTCCAAAACAATCGAAAACGCCGATGGCCGCGGACTACCTGCCATCTGTTGAGCATAAATTTATCGAGATGTCTACTACAGCTATAACTACGATTTAATAGTAAACAAAAGCAGAAGCAATTAAAAGCAGTCCGCTTGGATTTTTAAAATGACTGTGAAAATGCATATGTATATACATATACATATATGCATACTATATGTGTATGTATGTATATATGGTGTGAATTAACGCTCAAGTTCCTTAATTAAAACCGATACAGTTTTGCTATCGGCTGTGCTTGCGCGCATTGATTGCTAAGAAAGAAACAAATAAGAAGAAGAAACAACAACAAAACAACTGTAGCTTATGCTTGATTTGGGCAAATATTGCAATTATGAGACGACAACAACGTAAATGCATTGTTGTCAATATGCGCTCGGCCGTAGCACTAATTGTGCTATTCGTGTCGACGGGCATTAGGAACAGCGAGACTGCAACGGGTGGCAACCAGATGGATTTGGCGGATGCAAAGAGTGATCAGCAACTGCATCCGCGCAAGGACAACAGCAACAATAACAACAACAACAATAATAATAATAACAATGACAACGAAGCCTTCATACCCAATCCCAGCAACATGCTCAGCAAATCGACAACGAACAGCAACGAGAACAGCACCAACTTCCTGTGTCCACTGGACAAGGACACGCCATGTGCTCGCCTGCACTTCCCCTGCATACGCTGTGCCTACGACCATTCCTGTCTCTATGGCCGCGATGTGAACATCACCTGCGAGGTGGCCAACAATGTCCAATGCCAGGGCGAACGTTCGTTCCAGCGCCAAATGGTCTGTCGCTACTGCTATCAGGCGGAGATGTGGCAGCAGAATTGCGTCCAACGCGCCAATTGTAACTCGGCAGCGGACAAATACTATCGCACCAATTGCACCGTCTATCCGGATGTTCTGTGCCTGGGCAATCGCTCATTTACGCGCAACCTAAAATGCAATTGGACGCAGGGCTATAGTTGGAGTACGGCGCTCCTAATTAGTCTAACTCTGGGCGGCTTTGGAGCGGACCGATTCTATTTAGGCCACTGGCAAGAGGGCATTGGCAAGCTGTTCAGTTTTGGCGGCCTCGGCGTTTGGACAATTATCGATGTACTGCTCATATCCATGCATTATCTGGGACCCGCCGATGGCTCCCTTTATATTTAAGTATCGTTTAGATTAAAGACTGTAAAGCCTAATCCCTAGGCAAAATTTAATTGTATATTTATGTTTTGTAAATAAAAAGTTTGACGTTTGTGTATTTCAATTCCAAAAAACGTTATTTCTATTTCAAATTTCATGCAGTGCATGGCTGCTATAAAAATAATTGTTGCTAGGTTTTTAGAGCTATGTACTACATACATACATATAGATCAATAATTGTCTGTGTATCTAGAAATTGTGTTTTAAATTGTTCGCCTATAATGTTTAATTCCCCATCACCAAGTGTTCTAAGAAGATTCTTTATTTATTATCGTTGTTTTTGTATGTCTGGAGTGGTGCTGATACCAATCAGTCCTCAAACTGAAAGATAAATAAATACTATATTGGTATATTGTACATATTATTTATTTTTCATAATATCTCAGTTGTTTGTACGTTTGTGTATGTATATGTGTCATACTCAGGCTTAACATTCTGCAGGAGCAGGGAATTTAGTTAAAATGGAGTTTTCCCTTTCCCGCCCCGGTTGTTGGATAAATAAATAAAGCTCTGCTTTACTCCTCCCCTCGGGAATCAATTCGGTAGCCTCATTTTCAGGCATCGCCGCTACCGACGCCCGCATCGTTGGCTTCCTCTTCGTTATCATCGAACTTGATGTGCTTGGCCAGCAATTTGGCGACTTTTTCGCGTCCACGCTTCTGCTTCACACGCACCTGCTTGCTAAGCTTCGCCTCCCGATCCTCTTCGATTTTGCGCCAATATTTGGACTCCGGCTGTCCGCGCAACACCTTCAGCTTCATTTCAGCGCAGCTCAGTTTGCGTACCAGCTCCTCGGCTGCCTGGGGCGTGGAGAGACGCAAATGGGCCACCTCTGCGCCTTCCTTAATGTCTGTATACTTGATGTCCGTGTACTGACGCATGTCAGCTTTGAACTCCTTGACGCTGGTACAGGGTTCGTGTAAGATACATTCAACAATTAAGCCCGGCTCGTATTTGAAGAGTGGCGTACGCTCCTGCTCTTGATTCTCAGACTTGGGCATGGATTTGTTGTCATCGGCTTCGTTGCCGCCCGCACCGTAGAAGTTCATATTCATTTTATGGACGCCGCCACCGCCGCCGCTATTGCCCCCCTGTTTGTTGCGTTTGCGACGCTTGGGCGGTATAGGCGCGGCAGGATCACCGTTATCGCTGAGCGGCTCGTTCTCTTCATGGCCTTCACTGCTGGCACCGCTGTTGTTGGCTTTCGATTCGGCCAATTGCTGAACATGATCCTTGGGCGTGCGCTTCTGTTGCGGCTGTGGATTGTGTTGCTGTTGGCCTTGCAACCATAACTTAGTCTTCGCCTCGTTGACCATGCGACGCTGCAAATTAAGATATTTGTTGCGCAAGCCGCTCCAGATGGGTTTGGGCATCACTTTCAGCTCAAATGCAGTGGGATCTATATTAGGTATGCCTTGGGCTGCCTTCTTCTTGCGTTTGCGACGACGTTTCTTGGAATTTTCTCCGCCAGACTCGGCTCCACCTTCTTCAGCCGCACCGTCACCTGCAGTTTTAGCTTCGGCCTCGCCGTCCTCCTCATCTTCGTTCTCATCGTCATTATCCGATTCCGGTTCGGAGCCGGTTTGCTCCGATGGACTATCACTGCTATTATCAGCCTCATCAACGGCCACCTCACTCGTATCTAGCTTAATACGCTTTGTCGGCACAGCCTCGACCTCGGGCTCGTTCTCTTCGCCGCTTCCTTCACGCTTCACAGCGCCTTTGCGTTGTGGCTCTGCTGGAGTAGTTGTCGCAGTTGGCTCGGATTCGTCGCCGCTCTTACTCTGCTGCTGCTGTTCTTGTTGCTGTTGTTTTTGAAAGGAACGCACGCTGGCCAGATTGGCAGGATCCGTGTGCTCCATGGAGAGCACACCCTGGATTTGAGTAAACGCCTTTATGGCCTTCTCCACAGACGCCTTGCGTTCGAACTCAATGAAGGCAAATTCTTTTATCTTGCGCGACAATGGAAAATGGGGCAAGGAGACATAAGCAACCGGTCCATAGCGACTGAATACTTTTTTTAGCCATTCGTGGCTGGCAGTTGCGGGCAGCGCCTCCACATACAGTGTTCTGTCGGCCACGTCAAAATTCTCGGGCAGCGCTGTCTTGCGACGCACTTTCTGGCCGCTCTCATCGAGTTGCAGCAGCTGGGAATTGGACAACGCTTTGGCAATCTGCTCCACATCCTGTGTAAGTGCCTTAATTTTGTTGAACGATAGAAATACGTCCAGTGGCACGTCTAACATGAAGGGGTACTCATAACATTAATAGCAATAATATAATTAAGATAATTGTTTTAACTTACATGGATCCTGATCCACATAGCGACGCAGAAAGCGGTCCTTGCTTAGATTCGAGTCACCAAAATAGAACTCCATTTGAGCGCGTATCGAATTGTAAATATGACGCTTTCTTTTGCGTCCACCACCACCACCCTCCCGTTTGCCTTTTCCCGGCGAACTCTGCTCGGCATTGGTATTAGCCTCGGAGCCGGTTCCGCTGACAATGGCGGCAACATTGGCATTGGCAGCAGGAACTGTTGGTGGTTGTGCGGCGTCCAGCTGCTCGGCCGGGTTGGAAGCCTGCATCTTGCTTAGCTCCGGCAACTTGGCAGCAGACACTTTGGCAGCCATAATACGAAAAATTCTTTAATAGCACCCAAAAGCCAATTTGCAAACAGACAGTCAATTAGGGATGAAAGAAAACATCGATACATTGAGCATTCAACAATTTTTGAGTAGGATGCATCGATACCTTTTTGATTTTTTTTATGTTTGCGATGAATTGGTGTTTCTTGAAAGCAGTGAAAATTTATGTACTAATGTTGCTGTTGAAGAACATTTGAATAATACCACAAATATATGAATTATATCAAAATATGTGGACATTTGTAATATGCAAGGGCATTGATATTTTATTAGACGATATATTTAATTTTCTTATTTATAAGTGCTTTGCTACGAGTTTGAGATAATGAAATGTGTTTATTAATTTTTGAATTTCGCAGAATATTATTAATGCGAGAGAAATCATTTTTTTGCAAACATCGACGGTCTGGCAGCTCTGTTCACTTACGTTTTAATGCTTCGCTATTGACGCGAATCAATACAGTGGCAGCCTTGCTTACAGAATTGTTTACCAGAGGCTGCCATATATGAATAAAAATGTTAACAGCGGACATTTCAAGAGATTGACATTTTGGCGGCAAACAAATGCTGTTCATATTAGATGTGTACAGTAGAACTCAGAAAATTTATTTACGTTTTTCAGATATACAATTAACCAAGTGGACTAAATAAAACGAAGAATTCTAATCACTGTAATAAAAAGGCATACAACTGGCGACAAATATACTTTTAATCGCGCTCTCTGTGTTACACACCTTAGTTTGCGGCGCAAGCGAAAACACACGCGAATAGACAGACAGAAGAAGAACGAAAGAAAAAAAAAACCGAGTAAGTAGAGTCCAGTGTGTAAGAACGAAGGCATCGCTTGCCATCGAGAGAACAGAACGAAACTTAATTTGCGTTTATTTTCATTGTTGTTGTTTTCTTTAAGGAATATTTTGCCAAGCAGTGTAAATATGTAATTTGTACGAGCAATTAATATATCTAAACACAACAACGATAACAAATCGTTGAGTTGTTGCATTCTAAAGAATACGAAGCCTCGCCAAATGCTGCGTGCGCCGCAAATCTAACGCTACGCCAATTTCGTTATTTTTTTTTAAACGGAAAACGCAACGCTTCCAAAGGAAGCGACGGAATTTTTTTTTTTGGTTGGAAATGGAGTCCATTGTGCTGCACTCAGATCTAGCGCGTCTGGTGCTGGGTAAGTTGGCTAAAAATGCAAGCCAAATAGCGTCCACTAAAATATAATTGAATAGGCTATCTGAACAATCAACACCTGACGCGGGCGGCGAACACTTTCTGCCGCACTTCGCCACATCTGAAGCACGAATTCATTGCCCTGAAACAGGGACTGGTGACGCACAATTTTCTCAATGGCGGACTGGAGGAGATCATCAGGGAGCATGTGAAGATCACTAGCATAGTGGAGCATGCTGTGCGCCATAAGCCGCTGGATGCACGCCAACAGCTACAGCAGCTAAAACTGTCTGAGCGCGTCGAGGAGCTGCTAAAGCTGGAACAGCGCAACACCAGTACGGGCAGCGGCTCGGCAGCGACAAAGCATAGCACAGTCAATGGCAGCTGTGCGCCGGCAATAGCAGTGGGCTTGTCCTCACGCTTGAAGCGTAAAAGACGACGAAGGTGTGTAAATATTGTGCCCATTGTCACATTGTATATTAACGTTTAATGCTCTGTTCTTGCAGCAAATGCAATGAACAGCAGGACTCGTTATCTCCTGATGCCTCCCTGGAGGAAAATGAGCTGCTTACCGCCCGCGCCAGCAAGCGTCTGACGCTGCCGCATTTCTTTTGCAATACGGAGCGGCACAAAGTTAACTTGACAGCCGCCAGTGGGAATGCCGGCGACGCAGAGCAGCACAGCAGCGATGATCGCAGCAGTGAGGCGTCTACCAGCAGCAGTAGTCTGCCGAATGTCAATGCCAGTACCATTAGCACCATAGATGGCGAGGATTATGGCGCCGAGCAGCCGGATCCGCTTGTACATAGACCGCGGAATTCCACGCCGCGCAATTCAGCCAACAAACTTCATGTTGTGCCCGCCCCGCAAACAATGCCGGTGAGTTCAGAGAGTAAGGATGAAGGGAGAGATAGAGAGAGAGAGAGAGAGAGAGGAAAGAGTGAGACAAAGAGATGACTCTTATTTATTCCCAGGTGCTTAGTCAGGCCATATTATCCAATAAGGATTTCCAGGATAAGTTTGTGAACAACATAAATTTAGCTTTAACCTCATATGTTGCACCCGACACCGTTGATCCCGAGACGCTGCTGAATGGTTTAGTAAAGAACGTCATGCAGGCAACCGAGAACGATCCCTCTTTTGACAGAGTACTGCAGGAGGTCGTGGGCGGGGAGTCGTCCAAGACAACAATTGATGACCCATCAGGTAAGTGGGGCCACAAGAAACACAATTAAAAATACATCATAACAATTTCCAATTTCCAGAGCCCAGTCCGTCAACCGACTTAGCCGCTGCAGTGGTGCCGGAAAAAGAGCCAACGCCGCCACAAACTCCACTCATCATACGCACGGCAATGGCCTCAGCAGTTGCGGATACTGCAGATCTCAATGTTGGCACACTGGTGGATCCAAATTTTTCCATATCGAAACTGATTGTATTGAACTCGAATGAGAGCGCGCAGAAGCAACAGGCAGCCAGCACGGACTCGACGAACATCAGTCTAAGCAGCGAGCAGCTCATTAATTTTGGCGACGGCATGCTAACGGATGCAAACACCGGCCAGGTGTGCATTGATACCACCACCGGCCAATTGACGTTTCCCATGTATTTATCAAACGATGGTCTGCTCTCCCAATTCCCGTTCTTCATCAACAATGAGTGGCTGGCACAGCAGCTGCGCGGCGATGTTTTTGCCAATGGCTGTGTCTCCCACGTCGAGATTCCACTGCCAGAACCCATCACAATGACGGCTGATCAGCTGCCACCGAACTCCATTATCATCAACAGCGCTCAGAAACAGCCGCCACCGCCGCCGCTGTCGCTATCAATGGACGCGCAATCCACAGTCAACGCTCCAGCGTCAGTGCCACCTGTCGTCCTGCTTGCTGCGGCAGCGGAGGAGCAGCCAACGATCAACAATGGCCAACAACTACGCACGACGAACAAAACAACGGAAGACAATTCATTGATCGCCCCTGTAGGCGAACTGTGCAGTGCAGTGCCCGCCTCTTTGGACTCCTCGCGCATACAAATCGAACGCATCACACCCTCCACATCAGGCATTAACAATTTGAAGGCCTTTCGCAGCCTCTCCACGCCACGCAGACGTACCTCCCATGTGCGTACGCTCGACTTCTCCCCGAAGGCGAATGGGAATGGCGAAACAACTACGCCGTTGTCCACACGTCGCGATCAGCAGCAAAAGCGTTCCAAGGAAAGGGAAAAGTTGAGTCTTGTAAATGGAAAAGAATCGTCTAGCCAGCAAAAGCTAGAAAAGCCGATCATAAGCAATGTGGAGGTATTGTCTGGCTTTGCCGCAACATCCAGCGGCGATGTAAGCGCCAATGAGAGCAACGGCTGTGTGCCACCGCTCTTTGCCATGGAGGAGAGCAGCAATCAGACGGTTATAAAGGCAGTCATTGGCAACAAGACGCAGACGACGGCAACAAAGGGAACAAAGGGAACTACAACCACCATGCCACAAACGCCGAAACGAAAACAGAAGCGACAGGCCGCTGTCAAGGCCTGCAAGCGCATTATTTCCCAATCGACAACGGAGGACGATGCCGGAACCCACCAAGACCCCAAGGTGGAGCCAAAAGCCATAAAGTCTACAACGAAAAGGGATAAGAGCAAAGAGAAGCCAATGGCTAATGAGAATCAAGCACACGATGATAGCGCAGAGGCCTCCAAAGAGAATCAGGGAACAGTAAAAGCCGCATCGCGTAACAACGAAGATCTAATGGCTGCCTGGCAACGTGAGATGCACGCCTCCAAGCACGATCTAGAAATGCGTCTGCGGGAAATTAATTCAAAGCGCTTGGAAACCGTTAAGACCGTTTCACGTTCACGCAAGTCGCGTCAGACAAATATGAATAGCAAGAAGGCGAAGCTCTCCACATCTTTGCGCAGAAAACAAAAGCTGGCCAAAGCATTTGTGAATAGCATGCTAGAGGATGACGAAGATGTTGAAGATGAGGACGATGATGCTGATGAGGTGGCTGAGAAAAAGCCAGAGTCCAAGACACCACAGGAAAAGGTAAAGAAGGAGGCGCAGGACGCAAAAGTAACGCAAACAACGCTTAAAACTGTCAAAAGTCCGAGTGCAAAAAAGAGCAAATCCAGCCCACTTGTGGAGAAGAAAAAGAAGTCCAAAACCGCTGCCGCTGCTGGTGAGTTCAACATTAAAATAACGACACCACAAAAGGTGTGCAAGATATTGCCAAGGCCAGCACCAGGCGCCACAACCACCACCACAACTATCACTGAGACTATAACTGCGTCGTCTTCATCCAAAGAAACGGCGGCAGAGCTCGTTGTGGTGGCGCATACGGCAACTATAACAGCCACTGAGAAGACAACTATAATAGCCACTGCGACGGCAACTACAACAGCCACTGATACGGCAACTATAAAAGCCACCGAGGCGGCAACTACAATAGCCGACGAGGCGGCAGAGAAGCCAACCACAGCAGCAGCCACAGCACAGCCACAACCGCAACCATCGACCAGTCGCTCCCTAAAGGATTTAAGTGCCGAGCAGGAGAAGCGCACCGCAAATATAGCTTTGCTGCTGGATACGCCCTTCAAGGAGCCGCATTTGTTGGGCGCCCATGTGCCACCGACGCCGGGCGCCACACACATGTTACTAACAATGGATACACCCTACGCCAAATTCATGCCCTCCACTTCATTTCTATTTGGCTCGGATACGAAGAGCATCATCGATACGCCCCTCTCAAGTGTTATAACGCCGGGCATCCGTGGTACACCCTTTGGGTTATTGCAAGGCACACCCCGCAGCGCCGCCAAGACGGACTACAGCTCGGGCAGCTCCTATTACCGGCCCGATGAGGTGGACAACATGGACACCAATGCCCAATATGCGTTGCAGCCACCAGAGTCGGTGGTGGCAACGACGGGTCCGTCGTCGTCCTCACATTTCGAGCAAATCAGCGGCCGCTTCGAGCTGACGGCCGAGCGTGTGCCGGTGGAGCCGACTGTGTTGCGTCGTGTTCGCTCCTTCGGCAGCGAAGCGGTGGACAGCATGGAGAGCGCCGCCGCCTTTGCTGCCTCCACAGAAGTGCCCATCGATCCGCATTACAAATTGGTTGCTGGTTTGCCCGATGCAATAGCGCAAGTGGAAGAAAGTTCCTCCTCATCATCGTCATCGAGTTCCTCGTCATCTTCATCTTCATCCTCCTCGAGTTCCTCATCCTCCAGCTCCTCATCCAATTCGGACTCAAGCAGCAAGACGGAGAAGCCGGCAGCCGTACTCTTAGATCCACAAATTCTTTCGGACATCAGTAGCGCTGAGGATGAGGAATGGCTTCGAGTCGGTGCACTCGATGAGCGCCTCCACCCCACGCCCCTCTCCATTGATCAGCAGCCCGCGCAGCTGGTGAGTCAGGACGGCGAAGTACGCTATCCGCTGCGCAATTGGCTGACACCCAACAAGGAGGCGAAGGCCAGCGATACCAGTGGCGAATCAATAGGTGCGCCACCAGCTGTACCTACAGTCGTACCAGCTGCCGATCCCATACCCGAACCCGTTCCTGTTCCTGCCAGCATCAAATCAGCAAAATCTGCGAGCATGCAACGTAAAAATCTAGCCGAGGTACGCGATCGGGTGATGCACAAAGTCAAGGAGGAGAACTCGGAGGTGAAGGGCAAAAAGAAACAACTGGCGCAGCCAACCGCAGCCGCCTTGGCACGCAAAAAAATGAGCGCAATACGTGAGGTCGCCAAGCTGAGTAAACAGCCAACTGCAATGATGCCACCGGTCTCAGCTGCACCATCAGCTCAGCCGACTTTAATGCCCACAGCCAGTGATGGAGCTGCTTTACTAACCGCCTTAAATCTGGCTGCCACCAAAAATACAGGCAAGCAGCAACTGGATGCGAAAAAGGCCAAAGAGAAGCTCGAAAAGTGCACCAAAATAATGGCACAATCATCAACGCAAGCTCCCACCGCACGCAAAGTTGTGGAGATTGCAGCGCAACCGGGTCCATCTACGAAACGTCCATCTAAAACGCAGCCGGCGCCAAAAGATCAAGTCACCACTGTGGCACCAGCGGCTCTGCCACCAGAGCCCATCACCGAAAGTGCTGTGGAGGGAACTAACGAGAAAGTGAAGCGCCGTGGCCGCCCGAAGAAGCTAGTGGGAGTGTGTGCCATTAGCACGCGTCGCTCGTCGCGCATCATCGACAATCAGAGTAAGTAGAGTTGCCCCACATCCTATCCATCATAAGGCCATAGAAAACTACATATATAATAAGCTATAAATCTCAAGTACAGTTGAATGCAATCAAAAATCCAAAACCCAATCCATTCTGAAAAGAGACGGAAATTCAGCAATGTATGATTATTGCTTACTATAAGTCAACATTTGTATTGCACTCGATTTTGAATCAAAATTTAAACCATCAAGAAATCAAAAAACCATGGTACCTAGGTTTATGAGAAGAAACTCGGCCCAAACAGTGGGGGAACCTAATCTAAAAAAAATGAAATAACTCGTGCTGTCTGGATATGAGAAGAGTCTGCATACGAAGTTTATAGAATCTGGACTCAACCGTCTCCGAAATGCAGGCGTTCATCCAGACGGACGGACATGACCTTATCGATTCATCTTGTCACGCTGATTAAGAATATATGCATGTACTTTATGAGGTCGGATCTGCGGGTACAGGATATGACAACATATTTCCCTCGGAAATGGTTACATTGCCCTTGGGCGGATCTATAATGGTACATAAATCTGCATAGTCGGAAGATTCTATATTAATATAAAGCTATATATAATACGGTTATCCTGCTGTCTGTCTGTTTCTTTGGCTTCACATTCGGAGTATGGTACCAAGGTCTATCAGAAGCAACTGATCTAGTTGAGAAACATATTGCCCTCGGGCGTTTGGGCCGATCTTTCTAAAAGCAAGAAGGAGGCGTGACAGACGCTATATAGGTACTAGGATGATTCTATAAAGATATAAGGCTATACACATCTATCCGACTGTCTGTCTGGCTTCCCATTTGTAGTCAGTGAGAATTCTTGGAAAAACGATATTGTTTCAGATCGAAATACTTTGAAGAGGCATTATTACTCAATACTAAGTACAAGTATATCCCTGACAAATCTGTACTTTGCTTTTTGTAGCGCCCTTGCTAGATGATGCGAGACAGGCGGAGTCAAAGGCCAATACAGTGACTTCCAAGCGAAACGACGGTGGAACGCAGCAGAGCCTTGAGCAGCAGCAGCAGGAGATGAAATCCTTGGACGAAGCCACAACAGCAACAACAACAGCAGCAGCAACAGCAGCAGCAACAAAATCTAGTGCGAAAGTGACCAAAAAACCTGCCAAAAAACGCGCCGAGGCACGCATTGAGCCTCAGCCGTCACATTTAGTGGCGACTCCACCCCCACTCGTTGCCGTGGCGGAGGCGCAGACCACGCAGCCATCGCCGGAGCTGACAAACGAAGCAGAATCTGCGGTTGCTCCAGCGACCAACAGTAGCAGCAGCAGCAACAACAACAACAATAAAAACAATAGCGACACCAAAAACAACAGCATTATGAACAACAATAGCGATGACAACAATATGGATGGTGGTGGCAGCAACGAATACGAGCTGGGCATGAGTCTGGCCGCCAGTCAAGAGTCCAAAATCCTAAATATTGCTTATGCCGACGATGGACCCAAGCCATCCAATCCAATGCCCCGCATGCCACCCGCCTATTTCAAGCATTACCAAATGCGCGTCATGATGGACAATGAGGTCCATACGATGAGCATTATACAGGCCCAAACGCTTCACGAGGCGCAGCCGGCTAGCGCCGCCAAAAGCATTATACGCAATATACCCAAGAAGCGAATTATACGATTCAGCAGCAATAGCGCCTCACTGGAGAAGGCCTGCAATCCCTCAGCCACTTCGACACCACTGGCCAAAACGGCGACGCAGAGCGATGGTGACGAGGCCGATATGGAAGTGGCTGCCATGTAAGTTCATCCCAAAGTATTACTACCTTTTCTTATAACTCGTATTACTGTGTGATCATCGAGAACAAAGCATTCCGACTGATAATAATCAGGCATTCTCCTTCAACGACTTTTGCGTTTTTCCTAGAGGGCTTAAGAGCTAATTAGATGAAGTAAGGAGCAGAGGGAGAGAGAGAGAGAGAGAGAAATATAAAAGAAATAGAAAGATAAAAGGAAAATCTCTCTGGGGGAAAACTTGATTGCCACTCACAGCTGTAAGTGGTCAGACTCTTCCCCGGAGATAAATATAAAGGGCATCTTTTATCGAATAGAGAAAGAGAAGGAGAGAGAGGGAGAGAAATAGTTATGTCGAAAGTAAATGTGTCAGATCATTATAGGAGGAATGACCCGAAAACAATTGGACCGAGGAGTCTACCTCAGCAATAACCAGCTTGTGGAGAAAAACTACTCTAAGAACAGTCCTACGAATTGTTAATGAAGGAAGGGTTTATAACCAACAGTCTGCTAGAATACGATCGCAATCGAAGATTAGGATCGAAGCATAAATGCTTAAATATTAATAATATTTTAATCAAATAAAGCGGCCTAATGATTAATTTACGTTTGAATATACTTGTAGTACTAGTTGAAAACATTTTCGGCAAAAAATGCACTTCTAACTTTTAATTGTTTTTAAAATATTTTATCTTTAATGTGTCACAACGAACGAGTTCAGTGTCAGAAACTTTAATTACATCAAGCAATTAATGTTGTTTCTGAACGTAAATATTTTAATCTTTACGCAATTAATCAGGTTTTCTTTTAGATCCGCAATATTAATTCCAGCTCCAGCTCAAGACTTGATTGTGTTCTCAAAAATTTAATTTAAAAAAAAAAAACACTTAACATAAATGTTTTTATCTTTAAACAGTTAAACAGTTAATCAGTCTTTCGTTTAGATCCTCAATTCTAATTCCAGCTCGAGCACAGAAAACTTGATTAAAACAAACGCCATTTATTTACGTTAAGTTCCATTCCTCATTTCAAAATAAATTAAATATAAAATAAATGATTAACCAACTAACATATTATATTCAAAAATGCAGCTTTAATATCTGTCTGCCTCTTTTTCTCTCTGCAGCAATGCGCCTGCGAAAAAAGGTGATGGCGTCGAGCAAGCCGGTGAAGATGAGATGATGGTGGACGTCGAAATCGAATCTATACTCTCACATCTACATGGAACGTAAAGCGTAGTCGAGTAAACTCCCCCACTCCGCCTCCCAATCCCAGTCAACACTCACACACTCACAAAAATATAATCGGGAATCGTTTACACGTGTAACGTTTCCTATTCGCTGTCTATTAAAGAAGAGAATTTTCAATTTGCAGTCAATAGCCATCATTTCAAGGTTCTCTAGCATTTTCCTCAGAAATTTAACAGTTCCACATCGAACTCGACCCATTTACTAATAAGTAGTTTGTATTTAGTTTTTATTAATTAGTAGAGAACAGGAGCTTGGTTTTAATGCACATTTCGACTGCCATCAGCGCTATCTCTTTTATAACACGTTCGTTATAATCATCTATAATCGAAATATTAGAAACAGTCGGTTTTCTTTTTCTTCCTTTTTTTTGGCAATTCAGTTAATCGAGTTCCACCCTGTACTATATACGTATATACTTGTATATACATATATATATATTTATTTAGAGCCTTGTGTCTCGCAACTATGCAATACACTTCTGATATACATACATACTTCTCATATTGTACAATTGTAATGGTCTTGTAAAAAAGTGGAGCGTATTGTAGGTACGTATTAATGTATATTGGTTAAACAAAATAAAAGTTAAGTTCAATAAAGTATAGGCGAGGAAATGTCACTGTTTTTCTCGCAAAATATTTATTACCTTATCTGTATTGTATCTTTATTAATCCGGAACTCCTGTCGAAATTAATAAGCAGTGATTTAACTCTAACTAATAAGTTATGTACACGTCTATATAACGTGGCTTATTCCACACTGTCTATGGGGGTTATAGGCTTGTAATTTGCTGCAACCTCAAGATGACAAAGATGCTTTAAATTCCCTCGAAACCAGGGTTCGTCAAATGTGCTCACTACCCGCTGCTACCCATAAGCAATGCTGGCGCGGGTATTAGTGAGCCGCTGCCAGCAGAGCCCGTGGGTCGTACGCGCCGGCCTGCAGAAGCCGCGAGTCCGAATGGGTCGTGCTCGCATTTTACGAACCCTGCGCAAAACAGATACAGTGGTTCGCTCAAGGGGAGTGTCCGCCTAATTATTTTATGCACCGATCGAAAAAGTTGCCCGTTAAAGGCGTTCTCACTTTTTATACTTATTATAATACCGCCTGAAGGTAGGACTCATGCTATCCCTGATGGATAGAGTGCGACGTGGATACAAGTATCACACCCTTTGCTGTTATACCTAAAGGTGAAATCGTAACAAAATTACGAATAATCAAATGGAGATAATGCAGAAACGCACATATTAGCTCAGGGAATAGAGGCAACTTGTAAAAAAACCTACAAACTAATGAGTTTTTAAATGTAATCGAAGAGAAAAAACAGACGAATCTTGTAAATAATTGAACATATAACAAATGGGAAATTATACATAGGTATATTTTCGATTCGATAGTAAATCTGTTGATTGGTGGATTAAAAGCTATCTTTTAATCGAGTCCCTCAATGAGTCATCACTTGTTATTGTGATATGCTTATTGTTTCAGAATCATATCTCTATTCGGAACTAGGCTCGGTTGTAGTCTACCTTTCCGCATCCCACCTGATTTCTTCCGAGCTATCCAAGTCTCTGTTGTTGTCGCAAGGATTGATCTTTTAATCGAGTCCCTCAATGAGACTTCTCATGTTATTGTGATTTCGCTACTGTCTCCGGATCATATCTCTATTCAGCACTAGGCTGTTGCGTAGCCTACCTTTTCAGATTCAGCTATCCTACGAAACTCAATTTTATTTAATTTTCATTGCCAATTAGTTTCGGTTCTCTTCAAGCCCCTTAGCATTTTAACGGATCGTCCGAACCTTAACCCTTCCCCAGCATCAACAAATCGCCATTCAAATCATTAATTATTTGAAATCTGAATATAAATTCGGCAAGGTATGTAGAAGAATTTTAAAACTTCGTAAATGCGACGATTGTGAAGGCATTTTCTGTCTTTAGTATGATTCGATTCTATGAATAATGAGACAGCTGATTGGTATCTATATATACATATGTATGTATATATATTTCTTTCAGTCGCGACCGACTATTACTTTAAAACTTGGGCTGCGTGACTGAGCCAAGTTGTGGGGGGTACTTAAAATATTCATAACTCTTTGATGGACGGACGCGCGCAATCATTGACATTCGTGAATTATGCTCAATTATATTCATATGTGTATATATCTATACGTCTATATGATGGGGCGGTCTAAATTATCGACGGTCTCTGCGTAATGTCTAGGCCAGCGTGGGGCCAATTGTTGTGCAGCCGTCAATACAATCGCGTGGAGGAATGCTGTTCGGTCCACACATTTTGCTGTGCCTGTTCCTGGGTCTGGAACCGACACTGAGCAGCGCCGAGGACCTTCAAATAAGTGGGTTATAACACTTTGGCTTCAGGCCTGCGCCATACAAGTATATATATGCATATATTTGTAGCTTTCTGGATAGAGCCCGTGCAGAAACCCGAATTCGATGTGGATGTTATGGCCGTCATGAAAGAACTGGATGCACTGCAGCTGGACATGGGCATAAGTGATGCTGTGGTGGAGCTATCGCCCAATAACGAGGATAAAAATATGGCAGAATGTGAGTCTTAAGAATAAATACAATCTCTTTTGGGAAATCGAGCTAGGGGATACTAAGTGGTAGTGTCAAAAACCAAAAATAATCTAAGCAATAGCTCTCAAAATTTAGCATCATTTGCAAAAATGGAGTTAGTTTTCTACTATACTTTAGAGGGTATACAAAGAGGTCGGAATGTACAATATGTGCTAGGCAGAAGCATACTTTGAAGGTTACATATATGTATTCAGAAGTTGGAATGTACAATATGTGCTAGGCAGAATCTTTTTTTTACGAAGAATCGCTTTCAGTTTGACGAGAGAAATCGATATAGAATTATTCCACCGTCCGTCTGTTCGACTGTATGAACAATGAGAACTTTTGAGCCGCAATAGCTAGGGCTACTCGCTTTCTAATTTTTTACACATCAACTCAACCCTCATTATTTTAAATAGTTAGCTGTCAAAGGGACGATCGATTGAGCAATCATTTTTGGGTTTCGTAACCAATTGCGTGTTGATATGTTTTGTATAATGCTCCACAATTCTGAGTACCAAAAACGTGCTTACGTTATTAAGATACCGTAACCAAAATTGGTGTGCCCCAAGTTTTAATAAAATAAACTGATCTGTTTGTATAGAAACATATTAAAGAACGTCTGAAGAATTTAAGAAATAGATAAGTCACAGTACAATTTATGAAGTAGGGCAGTTTTTTAAAGCTTACCCCTTATTGAAGCTATATAATTTGTAGATCAAAGCTTTCACACGTTGCGACGGACTTTGGAGAACATGAAAACTAAGTTTGGTGACCCTATGTCCTATGTTCTCGACTATCCTTGCGTTCATACAGACAGACTGACGAACAAATGGGCAGATGGACATGTCTATAACTCGCCTTTTTATGATTATCAATAATAGGATATTGGATCTATCAGAATAACCTTTGACCCTTCCAGTACGGGGTATATAATTAAAGCTTCGTTGGGAATCCATGGCATATATGTACGACTTCGCATTGATTAGGGGTCGCAACTAATAGGGTATATAGACTTCTTTTTTTTTTTAAAGTAAAAATGTCCTCAAACGTTTTCAAGTTCTCAGAAATTATACGAATTTTAGATGCAATCTTTCAATTCGGTCTCAAAAGCACGAGTTTTAAGTATATATGTAATCTATATTGCTACTATGGGCTCTTCCAAAACCTTAAAGCGATTTTACAAATAGTGTTATCCAAGAACAATTCAATTGTTATTCGGAATTAAGAAAATTTTCAGATTCCGCTCAGCTTAAGCAAATTCGAAAACGTGAAATGGGCTGAATACATACATATGTATATTTAGTATTGACAGTAATTCCCCCCTGAACTCTATAAACCAACTAAGCAAAGTTTTTCGCCTCTCTTAACCCTTCTGAATGGTCATCTTTTTTTTTTGTGATATCAGTTTGTGAAATTCTCAGCAATAGGGGCAGCTCTGTGATTATAGATCTAAGCTATAGTCGCTGGCTTGAGGGCTACAAACTGGTGCGTAGCCAAGGCATACCATATGTGCGAATCGGTCGAATGCTGCGCCCATTTCTGGAAATGTTCAGCGACTTTATGCGGAAGAAGGTGGCGAACAATGTTGCGATGATCTTTCAGAATGCGCGCGACACCGAGGAGGCAGTGCGTCACATGATGCAGGGCTATACCTTTCGTACGCTGATCCTGGATGCCAGCGCGCCGGCCGATACGAACAAGGCGGGCGATTTTGTGGGCAGACTTCTCTCGCTGCGTCCCAGACCCACGTACTATGCCGTCTTTGGACGCGGCTCAGCCATGAACTCCATATTCGAGCGTGTGAGTAGAGAGTGGGAGGAGTTGCCGTTGCCCCTATAGATAATGCCTGGTATTTGCAGCTGCAACAGGCTGACGCCTTTCTGCGGCCCACCGAATGGCATTTTGTGTTTCTGGACACACGCGATCGCGTCTTCAAGTACAAGCGGCAGGTTGAGCTCGCTACCAGGTTCACTCTGAATGGCCGTGCGCTGTGCCGCTCTATGCAGATGCGGGATCAGTACTGCACGAGCGGCTTTACGGTGAGTTTGGAGTCCTTTTCTGCCTCACCCTAAGGCCACTTCCTTGCAGATTCAACGCGCCGTTCTGTTGGATCTTCTGCGCACTCTGATCTTTGCGGCCCAGTTAAGTCCTCAGTTTCCCAAGCCCATTTTTTTGGAGTGCAATGCGACCGATGCGACTACCCGTTCAGCGGATGAGCGCGCCGCCTCCCAAGAGTTTCTGGAACATGTCCAGCTGAGCAATTTCCTAAGCTATACGACAGTTGAAGATGATGAGGTGGTGGATGAGGAGCCGTTGGAGGCCCAACCAGATGCCATTGAGTTGCCGCTCGTGAGCTTTGTGGCGAACATTTCGGCTTCCTTCTATTCGAATGAGCATGAGGCCAAGACCGATCTGGCCATCTGGAGTGCCGGCGAGTTGCGTTTGCTTAACGATACCATCAGTCCGGCGAAGCGGTTTTTTCGCATAGGTACAGCAGTGTCCGTTCCTTGGAGCTATTATCGTCGCCATCCAAACACGAACGAGCTGGTGCTCGACGCTCACGGTCAGCCGATTTGGGAAGGCTACTGCATCGATTTCATGGAGACGCTGGCCCGCAAACTGAACTTTGAATACGAAATTGTGGGACCAACAAGAGGTCACATGGGAGAGCGCGATGGGCATGGTGGCTGGGATGGTGTGGTGGGTGATCTGATAGCCGGCGAGACGCACTTCGTCATTGCCGCCCTCAAGATGTACTCGGATCGGGAGGAGGTGGTCGACTTCCTGCCACCATACTACGAGCAGACGGGCATTTCGATTGTGATGCGTAAACCCGTGCGTCGCACCTCGCTCTTTAAGTTCATGACCGTGCTGCGTCTGGAGGTGTGGCTGAGCATTGTGGCGGCTCTCATTGGCACGGCATTAATGCTCTGGTTCATGGATCGATATTCGCCGTACAGTTCGCGCAACAACCGCGATGCCTATCCCTATCCGTGCCGGGAGTTTACGCTGCGCGAGAGTTTCTGGTTCGCTTTAACATCCTTTACCCCACAGGGTGGTGGCGAGGCGCCCAAAGCCATTTCTGGCCGCATTCTCGTCGCCGCCTACTGGCTGTTTGTGGTGCTTATGTTGGCCACGTTCACAGCCAATCTGGCCGCCTTTCTCACGGTGGAGCGTATGCAGACGCCAGTGCAGTCCTTGGAGCAATTGGCTCGGCAGTCGCGCATCAATTATACAGTCGTGGAGGGTTCGGATACGCATCAGTACTTCATGAACATGAAGTTTGCCGAAGACACCTTGTATCGCATGTGGAAGGAGCTGGCGTTGAATGCCTCTGACGACTATCACAAGTTTCGCATCTGGGACTATCCGATTAAGGAGCAGTATGGACACATTCTGCTGGCCATCAATGGCTCCGACCCGGTCAGTAATGCGTCTGAAGGCTTTCGCAAAGTTGACGAGCACTTGAATGCCGACTACGCCTTCATACACGATGCGGCCGAAATCAAATACGAGCTCACCCGTAACTGCAATTTCACGGAGGTGGGTGAGGTATTCGCCGAGCAGCCGTACGCCGTTGCCGTGCAGCAGGGCAGTCATCTGGGGGTGAGTTTAATCGCGACACAGTTTCTAGTCTAACTTTTCTTTTTATCTCAACCGCAGGATGAGCTGAGCTACGCCATATTGGAGCTACAGAAGGATCGGTTCTTTGAAGACCTGAAGGCCAAGTATTGGAATCTATCGAACCAACGCAACTGTCCCGCCTCCGAGGACCAGGAGGGCATTACCCTAGAGAGTTTGGGTGGCGTTTTCATAGCCACGCTCTTCGGCCTCGTCCTTGCCATGATTACCCTAGGCGTTGAGGTAATGTACTATCAAAAACGCATGGAGCAATTGTCTCTTACGCAGGTCAAGCCACTGGGCACGAATACTGCGCCTGCCATCAAGCGTGCCTGGCATACCGAAGGGGACAAACGCAAGCCTAAGCATCTAACGCCGCCGCCCAGCTTCGAGGCTGCCACATTTCGTGGCAAGAAGTTGCCGACGAAAATAACTTTGGGTGACGGGAAATTCAAGCCGCGCTTGCGCGAACATGGCTTACAATCGCGTCGAGAACTGGACACTGCAGAGCCAGATATGCACTCCGGCTACATGGAATAGTTCTAGGGCCAAAAAACAAAAAGAACCACAACAATATTTTCTTTAATTTTGCTCATCAGTTTGTTTAATTGAGTATAGCACCAGTTGTTTGCATTTTTTTTTGCTTTTGCTTTTGCCATGCACGTGCTTGCAAATAAACGTTATCCAAAATATGTACATATGTATTTTTTAAGGGGGGGCGAATTGGAACTGTGGTGTTTGTAACGGTTTCTTTGGTTGTGTTAATGGATGGCCAAAGACTTGGCTCTAATCGTAGAATTTTAGTCATTTTGTTTAGTGAGTGGACGAATCACTCTCTTCATTCTCGGATGTGTCGGTGGATAGGAAGGTAGAGGCGCCATCAGCGTCATCGCTGCGTTCAGCGATGGGAATTATATCAATGCCCTCGTCTTCGTCCTCGTCCTCCTCATCCTCATCATCGTACTCGTAGTCATCGAATAGGGTCCCGGCGACTAGCTGGCCCCTCTGGAAGCTCATGTCCACCTGCACGCGCATGTCCAGTGCAAAAAAACTAGCTGCCACCATCAGAGGCAGCGTAAAGCGGCTGCGCCAGGCCAAATCAACAAGAAAAAGGAATACTTTGGCCATTGTCTGCAACGATGAACAAAAACAATTGATGAGAGAATTATTTTCGTAAACTAGACTTTCGTATTTTCAAGATAAACTAATAATAATACTTATGTACAGCTGCTCATGAGAAAGTTGAACTTCTAAATAACAGAGATCTATGAAAGAAAGATAAATTTTATTTTCAAATCTGACAGTTAGGCTTTTGGCTTTGTTATCGATAACAATAAGCTGACTATCGTTGCTCGTTAAATAACAGCCAGCAATTGTCAGCCTACTCGTGTACCAGTGTGTATCGATGTGTGTGCCCTGTGGACGAAATAAAGTTGATTGAAGCTGCTTCAACTGGAAAAGCGATAAAAATTCAGGTGTGAATGTGAATAATAGCAAAATAAACGGTAAGCATAGCGAATTATATGCAATCGGTCGTAGCAGGCGTATATACGAATACTACAATATCTGTTATTTCTGTTGATAGCATCGCTGACAAAAGTCCAACAACGGAGCAAAGTGAACGAGCGCCTCGCGCACTAAACACAATGTGTGCACAATTGTTGTTGCCGCCACCGCTGCCGCTGCCACTGTCGCTGTCTCTGCCGCCTGTGGCACATACATCATTAAATATTAAATCAATATTCATAGTCTTACTGGCCACACTACTGCTGAGCCCCGATGCGGTGCTGTCGCGCAAACATCACTTGGAAGTTCGCGTAAGTCGCCAACATCGCAAAAAGCGAACAAGATTGAAGAAACGAATGCGTGTGCCAGTAACGGCTCATCACTCACACACACACACACACACACACACGCATATGCAAACACCTGACTCATATGTGTGTTTACTTTAATTATCGCCCTTACAGAATGATATGCGTCCATATATTGCGCTGAGCACCTTTGGTTTCTACATAAATGGCCACTTGGATGTGCAGCTCAGTAAATTTACAATAGATGAGGAGCGTTCAACAGATTTGGTATGTCTAGAGGGGATTGGAAATCGTATTCCACGTTGCTAACTTATTGTAATTTCCAGTTCGGACTCTCGCTGGACAAAACAACAATAGATCAACTGAATCCGTACTTGGACTCGCATCAAAACAAATGTATATTGGAGGAGCCGCCAGCAAAGCAAACCAGCGGTCCCATACTATTCTTTCTGCTGGACCTGAAGGAATTGAAGTAAGTTAAAAAGTGGGCTATCTTGCTCTTCACAACTAATAATATTTCGGCGTTTTTAGGGTGCGCGTGCAATGCTCACCAGAATGGTCGAATTTGCACATTTATCGCGGAAAGCGTCACTCGCATGTGACCCAAGTCAGTGATTCGGCTTTATTCATGCAAAGCCGCCGACGTCGTGATCTTGATTCGGAGGATATGGCTGACGATCTTGAGGAACACTTCAACGAGGAGCCTCTCGAAGCGGATGATGCCAAAAGCCCAGATTATAAGCCATCATCGCCACTTGTGGCGGGCAAAATTGCCATCACGCCCTCAGCTAAACCTGGCTCTTTGGAGGCACAGGCAGCGGAAGCAGTACCCATCATAGTTTCATCGTCTAATGAGGAGTCACCTGATAAACCAGCAGCTTCCATAAAGGCTTCTGATGCGGCACCCATCAAAGAAGCACCGGCAGCAAATGCTCCGTTGGCTGCACCTCAACAGTCTCCCAATGTGCCACCAATTGCTGCCGGTTCTGCTGCCATATCAAGTAGCATCCTAAGCGCCACTCCGTCAAGCGCCAAAAGCAATGAACCTGCACCTGTTGCAGCTTCAGCTCCTGCGCCCGCTCCAGTTCCTGCACAGCCTTCGTTTAAAACCATCATGAATAGCAAATCCTCCGCGGAACTCAACTTTGATGAGATCAATTCGTACAAGCCCGAGCAAGGTGATCTGTGCCACGATTTTACTCTGCCCCTGGAGAAAGAGACCATCGATGGGGTCAGCTATTATAATTTCAGCTTTAATATGTTTGTGACTACGCTGCATGAGGAAGGCCTCTATAATCTCTATTTCCATGCCTGTCCCAACTATCGGAATCCCAAAATTGTTTCATTCAATGTAAGTGTCACCGAAACCATTGAGTAATTATTATATTTATTTTAATAATATTTATTTAATATAATTCTTCAGCATTTATTGAACTAGAATAGCAATTGAATATATTGTATTCCAAAAACTTATAATTCGTTTCCGAAGTTTATGAAAAGATATATCCTTTAAAAGTTCGTAGTGTTTGTTCAACCATTCGTTTGTCCGTCTGTATGAACGTCAATAACTCTTGAACCCACAACGTCATATGCTAACGCAGCTCGAGTTTATTGCAAATGAAATATGCTCGGCTTAATTATGTAATATAGCTGCCATAGAAACAAACGGTGTGGTGAAAAAATTTGCTTGTTTATAACCATTTCGTAAATAAGCTTGGGACCTGAACGCTTTTTTGTAATGCTTTAAAATCGGCTCACTATATCATATAGCTGCCTTCAAAGTTAGAATTGTTTAATCACCAATTTATTTATACATTTAATTTGTTTTCAGGTGGACATTGAGGAGAATAACAATGGCAATTATTTATCGGCTGGCGAAATGCCGCTACCTGCTTTATATTTTATGATGAGTCTACTATTCTTCTTGTCTGGACTCTTCTGGGTGTTTATTCTGAAGAAGAGCAAGTATGTAGACTTTTAATAGCTATTCAAAAATATTTCAATTGATAATTTATTTCGTTACAGGCACACTGTTTACAAAATACATTACCTAATGGCTGTGTTGGTCTTCCTTAAGTCGCTTTCGCTGATGTTCCATTCAATTAATTATCATTTTATTGAGAAGCGTGGCGAGCATGTCGAGACTTGGGCCATACTCTATTACATAGCCCATTTGCTGAAGGGGGCTGTGCTCTTCATTACCATTGTACTAATCGGCACTGGATGGACATTTATTAAGCACATATTATCAGACAAAGATAAGAAGATATTTATGATTGTAATACCGCTGCAGGTGCTGGCGAATGTCGCACAAATTATTACCGACGAATCGGACCAGAGCGATGCCGAATTCCGCACCTGGCGCAACATTTTCTTCTTTGTGGACTTGCTTTGTTGTGGAGCCATATTGTTTCCCATTGTTTGGTCGATACGACATTTGCACGAGGCCTCCGCCACCGATGGCAAGGCGGCAATTAACTTGCGGAAGCTGAAGCTCTTCCGCCAGTTCTACATCATGATTGTCTGTTACATTTACTTCACGCGCATCATTGTGGATCTGCTGCAGATGACAGTGGTGTTCCAATATGCCTGGCTGGATGAGATGTTCCGTGAGATGGCCACCTATGTGTTCTTTGTGCTGACTGGCTACAAATTCCGGCCCGTCTCCTCACATCCCTACTTCACCGTGCCCGACGACGATGACGATGAGGAGGTCGAGGTGCTCACCGCATCCGGCCTCACCGAGACGTTGCATCGCACCAAAACGCTCAATCGTGTACCCCAACCGACCACAACCATTATCGAGGGCAACGATGATGAGCGTGAGAATCTGATTGCTAAACGAGAATCAAGTCATGAATACGATTAGATATACATATACACATATATATATATATTTAACAAAGATGTGCTGCACATTCGACACGTACTTTAAGCGGCCCCCCAAAGCCGAACAATAATGCCTAGTTTGTAATTCCCTCTCGTGTGCAATGCAAAAGCAATAGAGCCAACAATCGGGAATTGGACACGGGATCGAGAGTGCCACGATCAGCCATTCACACACCCACACACACACACACACACATAGGTGTATATACATATAGTTGCATGATCACCGACGCCCAATCACTGCAAAATTTGCTCATCATTGGCCAATTGGTTGTCCGCAGCGCAGCGCAGCGTGTGGCATCGCGTGGCGCTCCCTAGACCGTGTTATTTTAATGCTAAACTTTTTCCGTTTGTTTAGGACATTTATAATATAATTTCAAGAGTATAACAAAGCTTTAATATATGTATCTACATTAGACGAAATTTCCTCCAACGTTGTTGTTCTTCCAAGTGAGAGAGAGAGAGAAGAGAGCAGGCTGGCAGGATCCTGAGGTTCTACAACTGTGGGTACATGAAGTCTATTTGTAAAATGTTTTTATTTGTTAAGTATGAATAGACCGTATAAGTGATAAACAGGTCATTCATTTAAATTCAAACACTTTCTAGAGTTCTCAATTCCAGAAAAAGATCGTGCAAATAGCGATGGAGTTGGCTATAAAATAAATAAACCTGCGTGGGATATCTAGGATCATGGAAATAGAGCAGGAAGGGAGAGTTGAATATAAAGGATATTAGATATCAAAGGTGAGCACATAAGATCGTGGAAGAGAGTTGGATATAATTGTAGATAGAATTTTGGATATCAAAGGTGAGATCAGAAGATCAAGAAGTCAGGTATGTTAATAATATGATAGGTATAGTTTACAAAGTGGCATATAAATATAACATAAAATGGGGTTTAAATATAAAATGTATAAATGAAATGTTAAGGGAGAACCTGATAGCTTTTTACATTTTATAGAGCTTAAAAAAATTAAAAAAATAGGTGGGGATGTTTGGTTAGTCCCTGAAAGCTATTTTACATGCTCATTGAAATCTTAAGCGACGATAACGTCCATTGTCCGTCCGAAATATTAACCCAGCGCTAGTTACTGAAGTTCGTCAACTTGGGCATGAACTGTACGAAGAACACCATGTAAGTGGAAATTGCGCAGACAATCTGAAAGGAAGGGTAATCGAGTGAGAATCGTATAGAGAGAGAGAGAGGGGGGTGGCGGGAACACACCCGTGTTAGTAGATAGCCGTCTATGGTGGCTATGCCCAGACAATGTATGCGAATATTCTGATGCAATATTTGTAGTGAGAAGTTTTGTATCTAAAATAGCGAGGGAGAGAGAGAGAGAAGAAGAAAGCCATGAATGCCACATAGGTGCTCTCAGATAGAAACTCACCTGCAAGGACAGAGGTGAGGAGCCGATGGAGTTTCTGGCGACAATGCTGTGCAGTCGATAGGCAATGCGTTTCACCAAATACATGCAGCTCTGGGAGACCTGAATGAAGGCCGGTATTTGGAGAAAGCCCGGTAGCAGCATGTAGTAGTCTGTTAAGCAGATCCAATGAAGGTAGCGAAATCGGCAAGAGGTTAACACACCTTTTTCATTGATGCCCTGATACAGAGTGTAGTACATGAAGTAGCAGTCGACCAGCACCCGCACATAGATCGTCAGCAGAACGAAGAGAATTGAGTAGCCGAATGCCTCCTGAAAACATCTGGACATCTCATAGATGCGTCCGAACTGCAACTGCTTCTGGCGCAATCGTCTGCGCACATAGTCCTCGAAGCCCACAAAAGTGGCCGACGTGCTGGCGAACAGCGAATAGTCGGCCAAGAGGGCCAGCTCCTGTTCCATCTGCACCAACTGTTGGCGCAACAGCTCCAGATGGAGCACGAATTGCATGTTCCGCAGATGTACGGCACAGATAAACGGCTGGAAGGTGGTCCAGAACAACAGCAGATGTTTGGTCATAATCTGTTGATCCCAGAAGAGCGCCAACAGCGACAAGTCCGTTACGGCCAACACATAGAAGACGATGAGGTAGCGTGCATGTTGCCGCCACTGCTGCCACAGACCCAACGCAGGACCATGGTGCAGTGACGCATACAGCGAGAAGAAGCGGGCAAGCTGTCTATGTCGGCACAAGGACTCAGCATAAATGCTCACCACCGCCAGTTCGGCAAAACAAAACTTCAGGCCATCATTTACCTGACCAAACCGATCGCCCTGATACAGATACTCCTCATTGCTGGTGAAGACCAACAGTGTGACAGCACTAAAGGCAACCAGCAGGCACACAGCCCATCCGCGCAGCAACCAGGACTTCTCCCCACCCCGCTGCCAATCCTTCAGCGGCAGCGAGAGCGTATGGAAGCCACAAAGCTGATAGAACCTCAAATGGCATTGCAGCACGCCTCCGAATCGACCGCTCATCATGCCTCAGCCTGCGAACTGAGAACTGAGTCAGCAAGTCTGCGGACTTATCGATGGATCTGAGGTCATGCGCATAATTCATGGTACACTCCCACCCATCTAATCGCTGATGGCGACGGGTTAAGCACGCGCTATGCGATTGTCATCTTTAAGAATTATGAATACGAGAGAGGATTCAATTTAATTTTATGAACGGCTAAGGAATGCAGACCCACAGTCTACACAGCGACAACAGCAAGGCAGGAACGCCCAGATCGTTGACGGGATAAAGCACCTTGTCTCTTTCTTTGTGCTGTACGTGATGGACGGGAATGTATTGGTTGAGTCAGTCGAGGTAAGGTAAGTCGAACTGGAAACAAAAATATCAACGATTATTATTATAATTATTGAATGGGATTCTTGTGCCAGAAGTTAAGTCAGTCTCCGGGGGTGATGACGTAAGAGTGTCATTTCATTTACTTCAATTTATTGTTGTAAATTATAAGGCTCTTATGAAAATCTAGGGTTAATCGGAAAAATCCACATTCTCCCAACAGACACAGGAGCTGCTTCTCCTCCCCTTGACCGAAGAGCTGTGTTTTTATCGAAGAATACACTATTTTGCCTATCGGCAGGTCCTTCAGTTCCTCTGACTTACTTTCCTTATTAAGAAGAGCAGTTTCCTCCTCGACGAATCCATTAACTTTTTAGAATTGGTCTCTTTTCTTTATATTGCCTTGATCTTCCATTCAAAAAGGTGCCCCGAAACATCATCTTACTTTTCAAGATGAGCATCGAAGGCAGTCGTAATATACTACCTCTACTATGTTCTAAATATCTCTAAAAATGAAATCTCTTCTGGGGCTTCGTTTTGAATTTTAAAAAGGGTGCGAAAAATCAGTACCAAATAATTCTGAGAATCCACCCCAACTCCTCTAGTCTCGGAAATATAAACACATAGCGGTGGTAACTTCTTCGGTAGTTTTAATCACTTAGAATTAATAAAAAAAAAGGTCAATAAATAACATTACAAGTATAAACTAGGCTTAGTGAGCGTAGGGCCCCGCATATTTGTAACCACTGCTGCCCAGACCCTGGACGTGGCCCGCACTGTAACTATCGATGCCGCTATAGCTCTCTGCAGCTGCCCTATTGTAGCCGTTCAACTCGGACCAATCTAGCTCCGGTCGACGTCGTCTGGGCGTCAAAGGTGTCACATAACTATCCGGCTCATCATCATAGGCATCCAGTTCTGGGTGCAGCTGTGGCGAGGGTCGAAAATCAGAGCCACCTCCGCCGCCATAGCCGTACTGACTGGAAGCCGACTCTTCGGGTGCCTCGAGGGTGTGGGCTGGAAACCGTGCGGCTTTCAGACCACGCGCTGCTTGCATATAGGAAGCATAGTCAGGGGCTGGCTGGTAGTCCTGCTCCAGATCCTGTGGCTCTTCTACGGGAGCTGGCTCCGCATACGAACCATGATACGAGGAAGAGGAGGAGGAGGAGGGTTTGCCTCGATGATAGCGACTGACAGGCGCCGGATATTGATAGCCCTCCTCACTGTCCATTTGCGAATACTTGTAGTCTGTGTGCTTGTGGTGCTGAGGGCGCTGATCAATTACGCGGTACGTTTCGACACTATGGGGCGAGCCCTCGCCCAAGTCGTCGTATTCGTAACTGCTGCTTGGAACCGGGCGGTGTTTCTCTTCAATAACCGTGTAGGTGTTGACCTTCTTTTTGGGCGGCGCTGGCGGTGGCGGCAGCGGCAGCGGCTTCTTCGCCGCATAGCTTTCACTCAAATGATCGGCCAGCTCCTTGGCATGGTTCAGGTACTCGGCATGCTCGCTCATGTGCAGCGGATTGTCCAAGTCCGAAAGGATAACGCTCTCCAGTACGGGACTGCTCTTCGGTTTGGGTGGTCCACGCCCACGGGCCCGTGGATGATGATGATAGTGATGTATTACCTTGTGCGGCTCCGGTTCGATTAGCACAGGCACCGTCTCCTTCGGCACATGAACCTTTATGTGCACATACTCGTTGCCAAAGGTGGCGTCTGTGAGGGACAGCCACTGGGCAAGGATCAATAATAGCAGGGATGCTGAGGAACACAGCTGCAAAGAGACACAGTTGTAAGCATGTATCTAGTCAGATCTGAATTTCTTCACTTAGCGAACGAAATTCTAATAAATGAAGATACGATAACTAAAGATAGGAAAATGCACCCGAAATTTGTCAGAAATATAGATCTTTGAAAGTACCAAACTAATCTTGGGAACCTTTTAAATGCTTTTTTCAAAGATATACAATATTTCATATTTCAGAAACTTTTTTCGATCCATTTTGAGAAGGTATTTCCTATGCATCTAAAGAGAATTCTGTCTTGAATTGTTTTGATTCTAAACTAAAATCCAAAAATAGAAATTTCTACCTTTTATTTATATGTTGAAGAGTATTTTTTAATTATCTTTAAGGAAAATCGTTATTTACATTTTTAAATTGAAGTTGTCTTACAATTTAGATATCAAACTAAGCCAAGGATTAAAATTAAGACTAAAAGAACGTCATTTATCCTTTACCAACACGACAGGAGAGAATTAATTGAGCCATGCCTGTTTGTTGGAACGCAAGAATTTCGAAAGTTTCCTCCATCTATTAAAGAGTAGTTTTAGCCTTCTGAGGTTTCAAATTGCACACATTTCGTATACTCCCATATTCAAAAAATATAGCCCCTGCTAATGGACAATATAGAGGTTATTGTTCGACTATTTATTTATTTCTGACAAATCGCCGTCAATATCATAACATAAAAACATATTGCTTGAATGACAAGCATTTGGAGAATACATGGTTCTCTACAAGAGCTAACAAAATGTGGTCTATCTTAAAAAAATTTAATAAAAACAAATACATACATAGTGATGTAGTAGAGAAGTTTTGAAACAAACCTATTTTTTACTAAAAAACTAAATATTGTGTTTGAAAACGTCCCATTTTATCACGAATAATGTCTATTAAACATTATAGCACACTTCTTCGACTGATCATACGCTTTAGTACTCTGATTAAAACTAATCATTTAATCTATGTATTCTAAATCAATGCTCGAATTTTCTTCAATATTCAATGAATAAACTTTGTTGTACGAATCACTCCATATCAAATATTAAGGCTATATAGGTTTGAGGTTAAATAGGGGTTGCAATCTATTGTATCTATTATCTAGAGATCAGGTTCACGGTTCAAAAGTTCTTGAAGTTCATGCAGTCAAACAGACGAACAAGTATGCGGACGGACTTAAGGATACGTCCAGATCGATTCTTCCCGATCATAAGTGCCTATAGCATGGGGTCTGCTACGGCTCCTTCTGTAACAACATACATATGCCGATTAGACTTTCTAATAATAGTTCCGGTATGGTAAAAGGTTTTATAACAATTATATTTTAATATCGAAATTCACAATTTAAAAACTGAGAAACATAATTGAAAATATATTTTTATTTTATTTATAAATACTATTTATTTGAATATGAGGATTTAATTCACGATTTACTGATTTATAAAAATAACTTTCCATCATTAAAAATTTCCTTAAAAATTGTAGAGTGAAGAATTCATTATCTGGTGCTTGAATTATTTTGTATATCCAAACTCGCGATTAGAAACACAATTTTGAGTTGTAAACAACATCTTATAAACTATATAGATATAGAACTATTTTTCCTTTTTAATTATTCACTTTTTAAAAAATCCGTTTTCTGACTTTTTCCAAATGTTTTTCCGTTTCGCGTCTTACCTTTAACTTTCCAGGAAGCATCTCTGAAAACTTTTGTCACTTTTCTGCCTATGGCTAGTATTTCCAATTGAAAAAGGCCTTTTGGTCTGGATTGAATTTTTTTAAACTAAAGCGCGTGTTTTAATTCCTTTTGTGTGTCCGCTACTTAGGGCCGCCGCATTGCCAATATTCGTTTAAACCGAAATCTTGATTTTGTCAAAATTTATATAGCAGCCGCGCTCGACGCTCGCTCTTGACCTACGTCCGAAAAGCAACTGTAGTTGGAAGCCGCTGTAATCGCTGCCATCATCTGCCCAGTTATCTATTGTGGCCACCATCTGTTGCTCTCTCCCGCGCGCGCACTCTCTCTCTCCCTCTCTCTCTCTCTCTCATCTCATCATTCCTAACTGCGCGGCAGGCTAGCGGTAGTTTTATTGTTGCTGTCATTGGTTTTGTTTTAAGTTAACTTTTAGTTTCATTATTATTAAAATATGTTGTGCTACACACGCATACAAATACAAGTATCTATGTATGTATGTACATATGTGTTTCCAGCCAAGAGGCAAAAGACCGAAATCTTGGCCTGAAGCCGAAGTCGCAGCTTCTTTTCGGACCAGTTGGCGGCGGCATTTACATACAAACACTTTGTAGCATAGAAAGAAATCCCACACACATACATAAAATCACACATAAATACAAATGTATATACATATGTATGTATGTATGTGGTATGCATTTTGTCAAACGAAAGTTGTGGATGGGATGGAAAGCACATCCAAGGCGGCTGCTTCTTCTCATCGCTGTCCGCTCTCTTAGTTCTTTCTCAATAGATGATGGATTCTCATTCATTCATACATATTTGTGAGCATGCATTGCCGTTGTCCTGCAATTGCTATCGATAGGCATTTCTGCGCACTTACATAATAGTTAATCGATATTTGTTTCACTCATTGTTGGACAATGGTAACAGAAGAAGTGGTAACATAAACTATTAATTGTTATGCTAATCGCGAGACACTGAGAAAGTTTGAACAACAACATCATTAAGTTCAGCATCATCATCATTATTATGATATTTACACTCTCCACACGCTTTACATTATTTGCATAAATAAAACATTCGCGTTGACATTAATTGGAAGTAAACAAAAGTTTTTTCTCCCCTCTATTTCAACCAAAAATTGTATTTTGTCAACTTGCCACCAATTGATTTAGATTCTCAACTACAAGTAATACGAGTAACTGACAATATTTGCCGATTTTATGATAAAAGCGAATCACAAAATATTTGATAATACGCCAACTAAAGGATAATTCAAAAATCGAAGGTCATAAGCAAAATTAATATTGAAAGCAATACAAATAAATTATTTTTGCAAATGAAATTTTAGATTTTGTTTTGTGATCTCTTTAGAGCGTAACGAATACTTTCGAAACATTAAGTTTGTAGTATTTAGCCGATAAGTCGACAAAACACTCCGCACTAGGCCCTCGATTGTTCTGATGAACTTACTTGAATTATTTTCCCGCAAATCGCTCTTGGAACCCACTAATACAATGGCAGCATTTTGCGAATAGCGTCGAATACTTCCGGTATTGAATATTTTTATATATATTTTTAATATTAAATAAACATACATTGGAATAGTATAGGGCTCTTTAAGTATCATAACCCTTCTCTCCTGCCTCATTGTCATCTACAACTATCCGGGTCTTAAAGTTCTCAAAATGTGTACGTCATAATCCTCGGAGAATGCATTATTAATTAATATATGAGTTTAGCAAGCACATCTTGCCCGTAGTTCGATCGCCAGCGACAACTATTTTGTGTGGCTCTGGTGATGTCATTTTGATAGACTAGAATACGCCTTTAATGAATGTCTATATTTACAAAGATTGCTTACGCTTTTCAATACAATATTTTCGTCCGATTTAATGCTTTCAACTTGAGCTCCAATATACATACATACAAGTACAACTAATTAAGCAAGCGAATTAAATGCGAATTAAATGCACATACGCTCAGGTACTTGTACATGAGTAGCCGATTTGTCAATACACACCCACCACAATCCTAGAATACTATATTAATATATTTTATGCGAGTATTTCCTGGATAATGAAAAATATTCCCATTGCACACAACTCAAATAAAAAGTGAGAATACAAGTATATCAAGTACGCCCAGTACTGCTCATATTTTATTTGTGTTTTGCATAAACGAGAGCTGCGTGGCAACATAATTACGCACTTTCACAAAAATAATAATTCTCTCTCTTTTAATACTATATTTCAAATCTATTTACAGTTTTTGTTCCTATTACATTGATATTTGTTCTTATGATCTACAACTTTTGGTTCCGTTATGAATGAATATCCAAAATTAATAGTACAGACACTTTACAAATTATACTCTCATATACTTAGGCTTTGCAAACGAGATATTAAAAAATATCCAGTTGAAGCCATTTACTCTATGTACTTAAGGAGTGTCTTTTGATAAAGAAGAGCTTGCCTCAACCGTATTCGTCTGTCCGTCTGTCTGTCTGGATGAGCGCCTGGGCTTTGGAAACGGCTGACCCCGCGTTGACCAAGTTTGGTAAGTAGACTTTCCTAGTCCTCAGCCAACACGAGTGGTACAAAATTGGAATTCCATTATTTAATATTCGAATCTTCCGGCTATTTTGCATAAACTTGTAATATCATATATAATATCCTCCACACCGTTGCTTGTCTGTTCGACTGTATGAACTGTATGAACTGCGACAGATATTGAATCATAGCAGCTAGGGACATCAAACTTGGTACGTTTTGACATCTTAAAAGGCTTTCAATTGTGGGCGAAATTTGTATTCTCTGCCTTATACCTTATTTCTGATCAAATAATGGCCTGTCGAATAAAAATTAATGCAGATCGTGGAAACTTTTAAGCGCTCTCTCGGGTCGTATGAGTAATTTATTCATGCAAAGCCTATACTTCGATAAAACAATGGAAAATACATTAAGAATTTGTTTGGGCCTGTAACAACAAAAGCAACAACAAAGACAACCAAACGTGTTTGCATGAAAGCGTCGGCGGCCACAGCTTGTCATTGTCATTGGAAAGATATTCATGGTCAGTAGGAAATAACGTCAATAAGAAGAGGGGAACACAACAATCATTATATTGCGTATACGTAACAACAATACTCGTATAACCATCCGTGCAATATGTCCCACAATGGACGGAAGGCAAAAAGCCGACGACGCTTCCGAAAAAAACAACAACAAAAAATGGCAAATAATGCACAATTTGATTGTGGCCAGAAGCCCATTAAGCGCATGGCGTTTGCTTGTTGGCTAATTAACTTAACCCTCTGTTGCCGTTGCAATTTCCCTACCCCCCTCTCTCTCTCTCTCTCTTTTTCTCTCACAACCCAACCACTGTTGCAGTGTGGCACGCAGCTAAGAATAGGCCACGAACTGAGCGATTGACCAGCAACGAACCCAACCGCCCAACCACCCAACCACCCACAGCACGCACAGACCGCAGAACAACAACAACGGGCAATAACGATAACCGCAATGCGAATGACGTTGGTGACAAGAACAACAACAACAGCAGCAACAGCGGCGAACGTCGCACAGTGGCTCAGCTTGCATTTTCAGCGGCCGAAAATTCTGTTATTTCCGAATCAGAAATTAAAATTAAAACAGGAGAGAATGTTGAAGGCGTGCAAGTCCGACTGTACCTAAACGAATTTCCGCATAGCAGGAGCAAACAGGGTGGGCGCAATACTGGAGGAAAGTTATGGGTGTAAGGTTTCTCCAGTATTTCTCAGCTTAATGAGGAAACTAAGAAAATTTCAATACAGGGTGCGCCATCTTTTATGTCGGTATGTAGATATTGAATAACTTTGTCATTAGTGAACCGATTGACTTGAGTAGACCAGTGTTGAAAACCTCAGTTCAAGAAATTGTACAGAACCAAATTAAATAATAAAAATATCCCATACTTGAAAATCGGTTGTTTATTTTCAAGGATATTCAATGTTTGCATACCGACATAAAAGATGGCTCACCCTGTAGTTTCAATACTTTACTTCATATTGATTTATGGACCGCTTGTCGTGAGATGAATGAACTATTAATGATACATGGGGATGATAAGCGAATATTAATATTTATTCAACAAAATGAAAATTCAAAAATATGTATATTAAAAGCTCAAAATTTATTAAATACCATGCGTTGGTATACTTCCTTAACCGCCCGAAAGGTACGAACACATAAATCCTGATAAGAATATATGCAAAGATTTCTTTCTACATACGGGTCTAAAAGGTGCCAACCTATTCGAAAATCAGTCCAACATTTGCATAAAATTTTTTCAAGTCTGCAAGTCTTCAAGTCAGAAAACAAGTCTTTGGTAACATTGGTCTCTAACTCCTAATATCCCAACCAGCCCGCCAAAATATTGAATTAATATTAAAGTTCTTAAAACTCCAAATTAGAGTCCATACCATTAAAGCTCTTTTTCTCTAGCGCTCACACATGACATTATTATTCTTTATTAAAAGTCGAATAATAAAAAATGTAGTGTTAAATGGTTTGAAAATATTGCTTCGTTAAATTTTAAGTTAGCATTTAATTTGTAATTATATGCTACCTTTAGTAAACTAATAAATAAATAAATAATTATTTGTATAATATTTTCATAAAATCTTGCTTAATTAACACTTTGCAGAAAAACTCCAATCTGTCCGCTCCAATTATTCTATGTCCAAAAATGTATTCTTTATTAAAAAAATATTTATTATTAATTATTTTCAATATCCTTAAATACTGAAATAATTGCTGCGCTGCCTTTTCCCACTGTGCGCTGCAGCGTCGCGAACCGTCAACCGCTACGCTGTTGCGATAGCAACCAAGACGGCATGAGCGACAGCGACGTCAACGACTTTCGATTGCTGCGCCGCACAGTGGTTCAAAGTTGCGTTTTCAAAACAGTAGCAACTATTTCGGGGACAGTAATTATTATTCACGCAAAAACTGTCAATTGTTTTCCTTCCGAAATGTATTTCGTTACAGCGTTAGATAGTTTATGTATTTAAAGGAAATACGTTCTGGTGCAGTAAGATAGCTAAATATTTGTTAGCGATCCCCTAGGTGTAGTGGCATGTCGAACTTACTTGACATCCTTATGAAAAATTTTGCATTGTGATGCATTTAATTGCAGAGTCTTTTTACATGAAAATCTGTGATCGTCTTATCCATACGTAGTGCCATTAGAATGATAGGTGAAAAAATTACTTTTTTTAAATTTTAGTGTACTACAATATCGTAACCAAAATTACTAGCTAGGAGTTTTTTTTATAGTGCCTCACAATCACGCACGCACTCACGCACAGATGTAGGCATTGAAAAAAGTCGAGGCAAGTAAATCGCTTAAAAGCACGGTTTTTTCTCATTCCTTTCCTTCACGATTTGAACGTTGATTCTCGGCAATTCGTACGATTTTCGTAAGGATTTCGGTACACATTCACGCACGCTCACGCACAGCATAAAAAGGTGACCGAATCGCAAAAAATCGAGTCAAGTAAATCGCTTAAAAGCGCTGGAATTACTCATTCATTTACTTCACGAATTAAACGATAATTTTTGGCAATTCGTAGGACTCGCTTAAGGTCTTACATAATCACGCACGCTCTTGCACGCACTCACGCACAGCTGTAGCGCTAGGAGGGCAGCCGAATCGAATAAAAAATAAAAAAAATAAAAATCTAATCGGAAAAAAGTGCGGTAATTAGTCATTTATTTTCGAGTAATGCTTTGATGGTTGTGGCCCATGGTGCGGCGTCTAAGACGGCGACGTTCTGCTACTGTTGTTGCTTTTGTTGTTGTAGTTGTTGTTGTTGGCTTGGCCGCCGCTGGTGTCGAGCACCTCACTGTTGGTTGCGGCTCCAAAACAAAGCAAATTCAGTTTGAATTCTGCCTTCAAGCGCTCTAGAACAAAAGTCGGCCATAGAAGTAGAAGCGACCGTTCAAATTTTGAGAAAACCACACAACAATAATAACAACAATAACAACAACAATAGCAACAACAAATTATTGTAAACTTAGAATTCAGAATTCGATGTGCATTTATTAATTAAATTACTATTACATGAGTTTTCAATAATTTTGCAAAATTTCAATTTTCTGTGCACACATTATTTTTTTGTTTTTTGTTACATTTGCAATTTTAATTCAATTCGCATAACTAATTTTTTTTTCGATATTGAACGTGTGTTTGTTTTTTTTTTCGTATAGTTTTGATTTGTGCAAATTAGCTTTTGTTTATTGTTTTACGAGGTGGCAACCGGCTTGCTGTTGATAAGACCTGACTGTGCCCGCCCGCCCGCACATCAGATAGTGCCGTGAACATAAAAGCAAACAATCTGATTAAACATAGAGCTATCTGTCAATCTGTTTGTATGTCGTCTGTCTGTCTATCTGTCTGAAATAAACAAATACAATATTATCAAAAACGTTCCAACAAACCGAACCACATTATTCCGCCAGCAATCGCAATCATGTCGTTGGGTTCCGGCAAAATACTTCCGCGTCGCCAGGCCGTGCCCGTTCTCTACACCCGAGGCACCCACTATGAGGTCGGCTTCGATATGGTAAGTGGTGAGGGTCCTTCGACCCCTGACCTCTCTCTCTCCCTCTCTCTCTCTCTCTATAGCACTGTCGCTGTGGCAGTGCCGCCCCCTCCCCCCACATATCACAAACCACACGCTCGAAAAGGCACGCAAAGTGCTAGCCTACTGTTTAATTATAGAATCGATTGTACCTATTCTTTATATACATATGTATATACTTAAAAAACCATGCTTCGATTTATCACAATTTTACCTCAAACATGTCAGCAGCAATAGAGATAAAGGCGTATTTGTTTTATGGCATTAAAACAGTTTAAAAATAGAGCTCATTAAACTAGATATTGTGATTAGGTGGCTAGCTTTTATGGATCATAGTTCCTTTTTTTGGTGGGGGGTAGTAGCGGAAATGCTTTAGGTATCTCTTAATCTTCAAGTATCTCTTAATCTTCAAGTATCTCTTCATCTTTAAGTATCTCTTAATCTTTAAGTTTCTCGTAATCTTTAAGTATCTCTTAATCTGCTCCTTGCACTGTTTTCCATTCCGGAACTCCTTTGATACTGCTGCAGAGTGGAGTCCAACTTCTCTAATTTCGAGCTAATTTTTGGTGGGAGGGAGTAGCGGAAATGCTCTAAGTATCTCTTAATCTTTAGGTATCTCTTAATCTTCAAGTATCTCTTAATCTTTAAGAATCTCTTAATCTTCAAGTATCTCTTAAACTTTAAGTTTCTCGTAATCTTTAAGTATCTCTTAATCCTCAAGTATCTCTTAATCTGCTCCTTACACTGTTTTCCATTCCGGAACTCCTTTGATACTGCTGCAGAGTGGAGTCCAACTTCTCTAATTTCGAGCTAATTTTTTGGTGGGAGGGAGTAGCGGAAATGTTCTATGTATCTCTTAATCTTCAAGTATCTCTTAATCTTTAAGAATCTCTTAATCTTCAAGTATCTCTTAAACTTTAAGTATCTCTTCATATTCAAATATCTCTTAATCTTTAAGTATCTCTTAATCTTCAAGTATCTCTTAATCTTCAAGTCTCTCTTAATCTGCTCCTTGCACGGTTTTCCATTCCGGAACTCCTTTGATATTGCTGCAGAGTGGAGTCCAACTTCTCTAATTTCGAGCTAATTTTTTGGTGGGAGGGAGTAGCGGAAATGTTCTAAGTATCTTTTAATCTTCAAGTATCTCTTAATCTTCAAGTCTCTCTTAATCTTTAAGTATCTCTTAATCTTCAAGTATCTGTTAATCTTCAAGTATCTCTTAATCTGCTCCATTCCGGAGCTCCTTTGGCATTGCTGCGGAGTGGAGTCCAACTTCTCTAATGTCGAGCTAATCCGTGCAGTGCCTCGGTCGCATCGAGTGCGACCTTCTATCGTCCCTTAGGGTATAAGGATGTCGGCAATCAATTCTCTTCAGTTTCGAGCGTGGTCAACTTTTTCCACTTCTCACTCCGTTTAGAACACTTCGATATTGCGTGTTCAGCATCGCTGCATTTTCCCATTCTGTTCAGTTACTTCGGAAAGTATTCATTTACATCCCTAACTTTTTTATTTGACGCTGCGCCCCGTCGGGGACTAGTCTCCCTGTAAATCTCCCTGACTGTTGCTGTCTCGCTCTTGCTATGGTCATCGGTCATCCATAGTCGTCTTCTTTCCATAGCTATATACTCTATCGGCATCGAGCTGCTTCTAACTATAACACGAGTGAATTTAATTTTTTTGATTGCCTACAGAGTATTTCACAGTCGAGGATACTGCTCCGCCTTTTCCAAGGAGAGGTAATTTGTTGAAGTTTTTTCATTGATCATACGCAGAAGTTATTTTTTAAATGCATCGTGCACTATTTAATCAAAATTTTAATTTAAATTTAAAAATCTCCCAAGAGGCTTTCTTCCGCCTTGAAGATCCTGAGGTAGTCTTGCAAGTATATTGCCGTTCCAGTTTCCCTAGAAAGCAGCTCTAGTCTCGTATTTAGAATTCGATTGTTGTCCTCGCTGGATCCGTAAATCTAATCGCTTTTCAAAAAGATATTGTTCGAATCCTACAAACCATCAGGTTTTTTCAAATCTTTGCACTCCATTTCGAATAAAATCTTCACAAGTCTAAGAATTCTCGAAACGTAAGACATCAAAGCATTCCTGATAACATTTTTGGAATAGTTTTGGGGTTCTGTGGTGATATCTTATCACCAAGACGTGCCACCGAAACATAAAAAAATTATGCTACAGCGCTACCAAATATTTATGCTCACCACAAAAGTAAACCTGTTATCGGTGTGGTTCATGCTCAGCTTGCAGATAAGACCGATTCTAATTAGGTAGCTGCTAATGGGGTTGGCCGGGCTTAGAACTTATGTGTGTAATATGCCAACAATATATGGTATTTCGTTACGTTTGCCAAAGCAGAGCTACAGCTTAACCTGGTTTGGACCAAGGGCGCAGTTACAATCTCCATCTCCGTCCCCCGATCGATCATGTGTGCGGAATCAAAACTGCAAATGCTCAGGTCCATTATCAAGGGCAAGCAATTAGCGTGCGGTTCGGTTCGATTTGGTCCCACCCCAAAATATTATTTAAGGCAGCACACTCGGATTTACAAGGAGAAATTTTTTCCTTTTGTTTTTGTTGTCACCGACATTCGAATACACTATAGAAAGAACTTTCAATAAAGAACGAAGCTTATGTTATGGTCAGAGGGGCAAATAATTTGCACACAACATTGTCGAATTACACAATCATAGCATGAATTCGAATAAATATCAATATCACATATAATAAGCCCATATCCCTATGGTTTATACCACACGACCTAACTTTCCAATTATATATTGGCTGCTTTTTCAAAAAAACAACGACATCAGTTCCTAAAGTCCGGTTCTCAAAGTTCCTTACCTTGGTGGAGGTTTGGCGAAGCCTTAAGCATTTTACTCAGCACCTACTTAATAAAACCTTAAATCTGAGTGTTATATGATTCGATTCAATTTGAATAGCTCTGGCATAATAACTGCTTCCATTGCGCAGTTCTTGTAATAGAGAGTTTGATCTATGCTGTCTACCAAGGAGAAACCAGCGCTATCCTACCGATCATCCGTTTTGGGATTCTTTTTAAAAATTTAAAACAATTTTGAAATCATATGATCAGATAATTATAAATACTTACTATATTTATATATAATTGACACTTTGTGAAGAAAGTGTGAAGGAGGTAATGATCGAACCATACTATACAGTAACTGATGATCCCATGACATTAAAGCGGTTCGGTCAAGGGAAGAGGATCCAGAAAATATACATGAGCGCCACACTATGTGAAGGAAGTGAAGGTTGTACCATACTGATATGTATGTTTATAAAACACGTAGTACGACCATTTTGAACTTGAGAAAACTACGTTACGAAACTATATGGATATACTATGGAGAAAACAGATTCTAAATACGTTATATATTATTATTAATTGGCACTTTGTGAAGAAAGTGTGAAGGTAAACCATGCTATACAATAACTGATGATACCATAATATAAAAGCGGTTCGGTCAAGGGAAGAGGATCCAGAAAATATATATGAATGCCACACTATGTGAAGGAAGTAAAGGTTATACCATACTATACATTTGTTGATGATCCCATGACATTAAAGCGGTTCGGTCACGATCACAAGTTGTGGAGCATATAGTCGTATATGAATGCTGAATTATGAGAAGATGCTGTGAAGAGATGAAATGGTATATCATGATATATGCATACATATATAGTCGTAGGAACTGACGATGCCATGTTAAGGAGACGGTTCGGTAACAGCAGAATCAAGCATTCTACCACAATAGCCGATTTCTTGTAGAGCATAAAACTCACTTACAGAACGCTCCGTCGAGCGTCTATCTGTCTGTCTGGTTGTCTGTCCGTCCGTCCGTCTGTCTGTCTGTCTGTCTGATCTCTAGCTATCTGGCTGTCTGTCTCCGGGGCGCCCATTTACTCGCACTTACTTTACAATGACCATTATTCATAAGTATTGTATTTTAACTGATTTGTGATTTGTGTGTTTTTTTTCCTTTTTCGTTTGTCTGTCGCGTTTTCGTTGTTGCCGCCGCTTTGTTTGCACAGCGTAAACGTTCGATTGGTCGTGATCGATTATGTATTAGCATCCGCGAAACGTTTACAGCAAAAGTCAAAGCCACAGTCGGAGCCAAAGCCAAAGCCAAAGCCACAGCCAGATTGGGAGTAAGAATTTAAATAAAAGTTCAGAGTCGACGAGGCACAGTGGGAGGGCCTTTAGAACTAGAGAAATTTGCATAAATTTTTTTCTAAATATTTATAATTGTTGTTATTAATTTTATTTACAGGGTCGCACATTTGGCTCCATGATTAAGAACTTTTTGGTTTTATCGTCGCCGTTGAACGACAGCTATTTACCGTTATATGGCACGCCCCAAGGCAGTGAGTGCGAAAACAACAAAAAAAAAAAAAAAGAAATAATAATAGTGCTTATCTATGTGGGTTAATATTTGTTTCATTTTTATTTTCTATTATTGCAGAGCAAGTGTATAACGAGACCTTGGAGTCGGTGAAGCGCTCCTTTCCGCAGTATGTGCGCGAGCTGGAGGGCGTGGCAGATGGGGCGGAGGTGGAGTTCCATAAGGTGAGTGCGAAATAGCAAGTGGAGGTGGAGATGGAGGTGGAGGTGCGGGGAGGGGGAGGGGGCAATAGGCAGTGCCAATTAACACTGAATGCTATGCAACAAGACAAGCAAACAACTGGCGATTTGATTGTTTAAGCAAATAAAACGCCTCAGCTGTCAACAATTAAATGCCTATTAAAACGAAAACACATAATTGCCTCAGTCGCAGTCGCAAGTGCAGTTGCAAATGCAGTTGTATTAGCATTGGTATTGGACTTAAATATTGTGAGGAGAAAAAAAGCAAGCATAAAATGGAATTAAAAAATTATAGTTAAATTAAATCAAATAAAATTCTGATCGCCTGCCATACGCGTCGTATGCGCAATCTCAGCTCTCCAAAGGTGTGTCTGTGTGTGCAACAAACGGTAAAAACATGTTGCATGTCTCGTTGCCACGGCAGTTGCAAGCCAATCAATGACAACTCTAAATGCAATTGAATACAATAATACGAGCCACAACAATACAGTCCACACTCACTAAACGCGACACTCGACTCCACTCCTCTGCAGTCAAGTCGTCGAAAAACCTAGAAGAAGCCGAGTTATTTATACAGCAACACTGTGTTTGACGATCTGTTCGATCGAGTATAACTCTACAAGTATGTTCTGTATTATGTCAAAAGCTATAACTCGCAGGAACCACAACAGCTCTCCTCTTCCTTGCGAAGATCATGGAAATTGCTAGAAGAACTAAAATGATTCTCCTTCTAACTTGATGTCCAAAATGTGAGGTCATCAATATCTAATGTGACCATTTAATAGGCCAACCAATAAAAGCAGCTTAAACTCATTTTCCTTTAAGAGACGAAAAAGCGGTCAATAGAGATGATGGAGAAGACTGCTTCATTTCTAAGATCTCCGCCTATTTCTTCTACCTCTAGATCCATTCAATATGAAAGACGAAGAAGTAGCAGGCGGAGATGATGGGGAAGACTGCTGTATTTATAAATTCGTCGCTTGTGTAACCCTTCCCAAGTAATTTAAAATAGTTCTCTCTAGAAAGACGAAAAAGTGGTCAATAGAGATGATGGAGAAGACTGCTTCATTTCTAAGATCTCCGCCTATTTCTTCTACCTCTAGATCCATTCAATATGAAAGACGAAGAAGTAGCAGGCGGAGATGATGGGGAAGACTGCTGTATTTATAAATTCGTCGCTTGTGTAACCCTTCCCAAGTCATTTAAAATAGTTCTCTCTAGAAAGACGAGAAAGTGGTCATAAAAGATGATGGGAAAGACTAGTTCTTCTACCCTTAGATGCATCTAATATGATCGTTCAATTTGGAAGAAGTCGCAATAGCTTTCCATTAGTCTCCTGTGAAAGACAAAGAAGAAGCAGGCAGAAATAATAGGGAAGACTTTTTTATTTATAATTTCTTCCCTTATGTATAGCTTCTACCCTTAAGTGTAACCAAGTAGCTTAAAATCATATGCCCTTAAAAGGTGAAGAAGAGGTAAGTAGAGAAAATGGGAAAAGATTTCTTTATTTCTAAGTTCTTCTTTCTTTTTCCTTCCATTTAGATTTATATTTTGAGAAACACAAAAGAAGTAGGCAGAGATGATAGGGCAGATGTTTTATTTATAAATTGTGCTCTTGCGAATATTCTTCAGAGACGATGGGAAAACACTTCCTCATTTCTAAGTTCTTCTTCCTGTCCTCCAGTTAGATTTGGGATTAAAAGAGTCGGCGGGAAAACTGAAATCATTAGTGGGTTAGCAGCGAATTGTTCGTCTTTAAGGAACTTCCACTGTAGTTCAGTTATAAATAAGTTAACGCTAACAATTGTCGTGCACCGTGCGGCGCAGACATTGAACTAGTTCCGTTAGCTGTTAATTTGTTGTTATTGTTGTTGTAGTAGTTGTTGATTTACGGTCTTCCAACACGCAGACGCGTCAAATAATAAAGAGAATTAGAAAAAACAATTTAAAAAAATAAAAGAAACCAAAAAATTGGCAAGCTAGCTAATTTGACGTTCTTGACTGGATTGGCTTTTAAGCCAATTTGTAATTGCCAGTGTTGGCCAAAATTGTGAGAAAAAGCACAAATAACAACAACAACTACAACAACAGCACGCAATAATTATAAAACGGCAGCAGCCAAAAGAGAGAGAGAGAGAAAGAGTGAAAAAGAAGCCAAAAAAAAATGCCAATGTCAGCCGCCTCTATGGTTTCTTATTCTTCTGCTTTGGCGACTTCTTGTACAGCAGCCGCGCAGAGACGAGTGGCTGGGTGGGGGCCGGGAGGGGGATATTAGATAGACAGACAGACACAAACACACATACACACATACTTAGATATGGACTTATGTATTTGCATATCTAGAAGCGAATTCTTCTAGCAGCTGCGGCTAATATGTAATAATATTTACGTTCAAATTAGTTGTTCATTATTTTTCAGTCCAATTAATTGAACGCATAAGCAAGTTCGCCCCCCAGCCTTCCTCTTCCGCCCCTCTTCACACCCACCTTTGAGAGTGTCTGTTAACCTTGGCCCCAGCGAGTATACGGCATTAGCTCGAAATTAGCATTTCAAGTACTGCCAATAGATGCCACAAATCAACTCTCTCGTTCACAGACTTATGCTGCTTCAGTATATCGATCAGTTAAGTAGTAAGTATATTTGTATATTAGCCAAGTGGGGATTGATCTTCAAATTGAATAGTTAGCAACAATGGCTTAAGGCGAGTCTCCTTTTAAGCAGAGCAGAGATGATGGAAATTCTTAATTCTACGCTCATTTCTTACCTAACCCTTATATCTTAGGCATTATTCAAGTGATCATCCAAAGTGGTTATCCGAACAAAAAGATATCACAACAACGGCTGAAGATGAACCTCCTTGGAAAAATACAGTGGAGCTTAGCAGAGATGATGGAAAAGCTAGCTTTTTTTCTTAATTCTTCGCATATTTCTTCCCTTACCCTTATGCAATATTCAAGTGATCATCCAAAGTGGTTATCCGAAAAGAGAAGAGATCACAACAACGGCTGAAGATGAGTCTCCTTGAAAAAATACAGAGGAGCTTAGCAGAGATGATGGAAAAGCTAGCTTTATTTCCTAATTCTTCGCTTATTTCTTCCCTTACCCTTATATCTTATGCAATATTCAAGTGATCATCCAAAGTTGTTATCCGAAAAGAGAAGAGATCACAACAACGGCTGAAGATGAGTCTCCTTGAAAAAATACAGTGGAGCTTAGCAGAGATGATGGAAAAGCTAGCTTTATTTCCTAATTCTTCGCTTATTTCTTCCCTTACCCTTATGCAATATTCAAGTGATCATCCAAAGTGGTTATCCGAAAAGAGAAGAGATCACAACAACGGCTGAAGATGAGCCTCCTTGAAAAAATACAGTGGAGCTTAGCAGAGATGATGGAAAAGCTACCTTTTTTTCTTAATTCTTCGCTTTTTTCTTCCCTTACCCTTATATGTTATGAAGTATTCAAGTGTCATCCAAAGAAGACGTGACGACAATGGTTGGACATGAGTTTTCTTCGAAAAATATAGAGGAGCTTAGCATAGATGATGGAAAAGCCTGCTATATATTTAAATTCTTCGCTTATGCCTTTTATACGATTCTCCTTTGACAGGCAAAGGAGAGCCTAGAAAAGGTGATGGGAGAGCATTCGAGAATAGGAACAGGCTGACTAGCTAGGAAGGCAGAAAGCAAGCTAGTTAGTGACGGGTTAACACACCTGGCACGTGACATTTGAAAGTGCCTCGGGGTCACATTACCTCCAAAAGATTCATAAAATCCTGTAGATGGAAAACGCAGATTCCCGGCATAGCAGAGATTCTACCATCCTCTGCCTATCCATAATGTAAACGTCATTCTTAGACATTAAGTGAATAGTTTAATTTCGATTTCAGCTCTTTCTTTTACATCTGGACGAGATTTTGCCGCAGGCCTTGAAACATCAGTCCGGCAGCAAGGAGAAGACGGCTTGCAAGGTGACGAATTGCAAAAAACAGCCAACCGGCTGTTCATCAATCATTGTCAATCATGAGAATTGTGTGAGTATTGAAATTTGTTTCCGGCATTCAATGTTCTAAGCCATCTCGGCCTCCAGCGTCTGTTGGGCCACACTGAGGACGCACTCACGGAGACCCTCAATCATTACTATTTCGTTGTCGCTCACATCATCAGCGACAAGCCGCAGGGGAAATATAATGTTAAGGAGGAGCGCTTCATGTCCCTCTGCTATGCGGGCCATCTGCCCGGCTATACGATGAGCTACAATCATCATGGACTCGTCTTCAGCATCAATACGATCAGTGCCGAGCATTTGGTTAGCGGCAAGACACGTGAGTTCAGAAATAAATTTCAATCAATTTATGCGACCAGTATCAGAGAAAATACTCTCTAACGCTTCAAACCAATTATGATTGTCCAGTAAGATCAGAAATAAAAGTGTTCCATTAACTTGAAGCATAGCTGTGTACATCATCATGATATCAAACAGCATTATATAACGCATCAATCTTATTGCGATCAGCTCTGTAAAAAAGGCACCTTCAACGCATCAATCTTATTGCGATTATATGGAAACATTCCATTATTAGTAGTATAGCATTCTAGAAAGGCCCCGATGTTGATCACTCAATGTCGCCTCATAGTCGACGATCACGCAAACATTATGCTCCAAATCATGCTTTTATCTTGATCGCGTGGTCACGCATACATGTTTAACGATTGCGATCAGATCGGCAGCGTATATGACAAGCATAAGTTAATAGTTGGGGGCTGGAAAATAAGAGATCGACAGTTGTGTTCGGTTGTTCGTAGTTGCTTGAAAGAAGGTTGTTGCACTACAAGTCGATTCTACCTCCATTGGGGTTCAAGTACAAGTACCGCTTATGGCCTGTCTTCTAGTCACATTGCAATGAGTTTAATCTTAAATTTTGGTGACCCCGATGTCCCAAATAAGGGGAGTGCAGTCTGTGACTTTTTTAGTCGAGTCTCTTCGTTCTTTATTTCTGTGTTCGTGTTCTTCCGAATTTATTTGCTGTCTGAGTACAGCCTCAGTTATTCAAGAAAGTGAAAGAGAGAGCAACTCATTCGTCTTCTGTTACCCTCCAAGAGGTAAGATGTCGTATAAATTCCTCAACTTTTGGTGACCCACAGACACAAGCTCTCTTTTTGACAATCTCTCATATATAGGTCTCTTAATTAGAAAGCTGGATTTGTTTGTTTCTGAGCTGTTCTTTCGTCTATTATTACCTCTTGAGCTTCTGCAAGTATTCAATAAATATGTGAAGAAATCAAAAACTTCTACATGACAGCAAAAGTAATATATATTTATATGCTCCATATACGTATAGTATTGTATTGAGAAACTGTCATGATTTTTTAACCTTCCCCAAAGTTTAACTGGCATTTGTGATCGAAAGCTTGTTTCAATAGAAATGGAGTAACAATTATTCAGAAGAAATTTACAAAAGACTAAAAAAAAACTATTATACTTGTACATCACATCTAGATGTAACATGGCATCTAAATTCTTCTTTAATAAACCATACAGGGTCTGATCTGTATGTGATGTCTTATAATTTTAATTAGCATTTGAGGGTTTTTGTATTTTGTTCTCCTAATGCTAACTAAACAGTATCTGTAGGATTTCCTGACACCCAATTGGGGCTTTAATTTTTGAAAAAAAGAGGAAACAACAGTCACGTTAAATTACATTAAAGTTTTAGTTTTCCAACAAAACTCAACAGGATTAGAATATTTCTTCAATTGAGGGTTGAATTTTCAAAGTTTTACTCGTAGGTTTACAATAACTCAAGTTCCCTGACACCCAATAGGGGGTTTAATTTTTGAAAAAAGGAGGGCAACAACAGTCAACAAAAATGACATTAAAATTTTAGCTTAAATCACAATTACATTTTCAGCAAATCACAACAGGATAAGAATATTTTCATAATTGAGGGTTGAATTTTCAAAGTTTTACTCGTAGGTTCACAATAACTCAAGTTCCCTGACACCCAATAGGGGGTTTAATTTTTGAAAAAAGGAGGGCAACAACAAAAATTACATCAACAAAAATGACATTAAAATTTTAGCTTAAATCACAATTACATTTTCAGCAAATCACAACAGGATAAGAATATTTTCATAATTGAGGGTTGAATTTTCAAAGTTTTACTCGTAGGTTTACAATAACTCAAGTTCCCTGACACCCAATAGGGGGTTTAATTTTTGAAAAAAGGAGGGCAACAACAGTCAACAAAAATGACATTAAAATTTTAGCTTAAATCACAATTACATTTTCAGCAAATCACAACAGGATAAGAATATTTCTTCAATTGAGGGTTGAATTTTCCAAGTAGGGGTTGCATTGTCGCAGCAACAAAATATTGGAACATTGGCATCAAAATGCAGTTCTCTAGCATTTCGCTTAAGATGAATTACAAGTAGTTCGCCAGTCAATAAGAATCAATCATATACATATGTATGTATAAGAACCACTTTTCCGATCATTTCCAGCACGACATTTTGTGACGCGGGCATTGCTCTCGGCTGAAAATGTGGACGCTGCCTTCCGGGTGCTTAAGGATTGTGGCGTGGGTGCGGCCGATGCCTGTTCCATAAACTTTACACTACTGTCGTAAGTATTGTCCGATACTGACACTGACACTGACCCTGATCTGAAAGCTCAACTCTCCGATCTTTGGTCTCTGAATCCAGGGATCCCAAGCAAATGTTTTACAATGTGGAAATGGCGCCCTCGGTCGAGGGGAAAGACGAGTCGCAGCTGAACATCAAGGAAATACCCATCGGTGGTCACAATTACCACACCAATCAGTCAGTTATATTGGTTATATGCATATGTATAGTGTGATGATATATTTAAATTAAATTATATATAGGTTTGATCGGATTGAGGCGGAACAGGCCAATGCGGATATGGTTGAGTCGAGCGTTTCGCGAATGAAGACGTTCAATAACCACCACGAGCCGAAGGATGCGAAGGATGTGTGTGCCATGCTGGGGGATGTGAGCGGCGGATATCATTGCGTTTATCGGGAGAATGGCCGTTGCGATGAGTTGGTGAAGACAATTTCCATTGGAATATTCGATTTGAACGCGAAAACGATCTCGCTCTATTCGGACAATCCGCACTTGACGCAGGCACACTGCACATTACCCTTAATACTCAAGTAGTTCTTTACATCAAATCTATAGAAATTGTACTTAAATTCGAACAAATTCAAAATAAAGTTTTAATTTTGGAATAATATTCGTGGCGCCACCTGTTGCAATTCTTTCACAATTAATTTTATCTGATGGCAAAAGTTTCCGCTAGTCGCTGACATAAGCACTTAACAAAAGTTACCTGCTACAACACCTGTGTGCCACTTTACAGCACTACTGCGTAACTTAAACTGTGCTGCCAATGCGCTTGCTGGTCTGCATGCAGTGCTACCATTCAAACAAATCAGAGCCTTTGCTTTTTTGGCAAACGCTCCTTCTAATAAATGGTGTATTTCGTGTATTTGGAGCACATGTTATCAAAATTAAATTAAATGTGTAACGTAAAAGCAATCCAGCAAACACACACGCGCATTGCCAACGAACCAGCACTTGCGACTACAGGCCGCTGTGCCAAGCAACAGAATTACCACGTCGCCATCGTCGTAGCTTCCATTTCCATTAGCAAATGTTAATGCTGGTCCCACACCTGTGCCTGATGTGTTTGTTGGCTTAGTGTTGTATTGTTCGTATTCTAGGCACTTCACACAATGTACACACTACTGCACGGTTTCTACAAATATCTCACACAAAAGGATGAGTACTGCGTTGTTATTTTGGGTTTGGACAATGCAGGCAAAACAGTAAGTCCACCAATTTTTCCTATAAGCGGACACGTCTGTAGACGACATTTCTTGCAGACATACCTGGAGGCGGCCAAAACAAAATTCACCAAGAATTACAAGGGCCTGAATCCAACGAAAATAACCACAACGGTTGGCCTCAACATCGGCACGATTGATGTGCAGGGCGTGCGCCTAAATTTCTGGGACTTGGGCGGTCAGCAGGAGTTGCAATCGTTGTGGGACAAATACTATCAGGAGTCGCATGGTGTTATTTATGTGATAGACTCCAATGACCGCGAACGCATGGAGGAGTCCAAACTTATTTTTGGTTTGTCCGCAACACCTCAAGTAACTAATTAGATTGTCAAGAATTAATCAAATCGGTCTTTGCTTGCAGACAAAATGATAAAGAACGAACTGCTTTCCGGCGTGCCGCTTCTCATATTGGCTAACAAGCAGGATTTGCCCGATGTTATGGGCGTGCGTGAGATCAAGCCGGTGTTCCAGCAGGCGGGCGCATTGATAGGACGAAGGGATTGTCTAACAATACCCGTGTCGGCACTTAACGGGTAAGATAGCTTTGCATTTTTTATGTTTCACATCGAATTGTAAGCAATTCATCCAATTCCAGCGAAGGCGTCGATGAGGGCATCAAATGGTTGGTGGAGGCAATCAAGCGACACGCACTTGTGCGACCGCCCCGTGAAAACGATTGAGCCAACGAATTCTGTTCCAGTTTAAGAGATCCAGCAACGTGTACACCAGCTCCTCGGCTTTAAGTAGGATAATTTTGTATAAAATACATAGACACACATATATATTTTTTATTAAAGCATAATAATATGTAAATACTAATGTAACCACCATTCACAATGTTCCTCCGTACCCGCTTATCGATGACGCTTATCCAAACAAAGAGAGCCACAGCGGCGGTCGCTGTTCAGTTCTTGTTATTATTCTTGTTGCTTTTTTGTTGTTGTCACTGAGTTGTTATCAGTGAGTCGGCCGTAGAGCAGATAAAACACAATTTGGTTGTTCTCTGTGGTCTATGAATGGTTTCTCCCGCATTCCCGACGATAACTCTATCTATTGCCGCCCACTGCAAACGTTCGGTCGACTGCTGGAATCGCTATTTGGTTGGTTGGTTGGTATGGCCGCCGTCATTCAACTGCCTGGCTTATAAATATCGTTAGGAAGGTGAGTGTTTCATTGCAATTGATGGCCCGGGGAGCCATGATTTCAGTCTTTTGCCAGAGCCGTACGAACACGGGACGCTTCGAGCTCTTTCTTTTTACCAACAATTAATCATAGTTTAACAAGAAACATTTGATTTACAAACATACCTACGAAGTATATACAAATTGTGCATTGTCGCCGTTTAAGAAATGAGTGTGATCGACCTCAGCGGTTAAGGCGTCGCGTTTAGAGAGTAACGTAACTCTTCTATATGGTATTACCTTTACATGTATGTATGTTTGTATGTACACACATATTAGATAAGGTGGCGTACGTATTTGGAGCATTGGGCCTGCTTATCATTTTTCCAGTGTCAGCGCCTCTTCAATATCTAGTGAGTGCCGTGCGGAGTGTGTGTGTGTTTAGTTACTTTATAAAGTGTTTTGTATTTGGTGCCTTCGTCTAAACTGCCGTGCAAGAAAAACAAGAAAAATTTGATTAAAAACGCATAATTAATCATGTATCCATACTATGAGCAAGATTGGAGCGTTTTACCGCCGGAAAATAATCGCAGGTAAGTTTCGCATAATGTAAACTCTGTAAACCTATTAGAAACACTTCCTCCACAAATATTTGAATAATGACGTTACATTTTTGTCTGCATCGATGGGGACTTCATTTAGTATCGATACATCGATGTGAATGGGGGCAAGTACTTCCGCAACGGAAATATGGTATTGCGTAAGAAGGTCAAATTTAATTGCAGCATTTAGATAGAAAGAATACAAGTGTGGAGCTATATTAAAATAAATGCTTTCCAATGCCGGCCAATACATACGTCGATAAGCGGTCGATACATGAAATAAGCACACTGGCTGAGCACTATCGATAGCGACACGATAGCACTGCTATCGCTGTCACCGAAATGTCAACCGCAAGGTGGGCCCTCTCGCTTGCACCTCTACTACTACTGTTGCTGCTGTTACTGCTCAAACCTTTCGCTCTTCTTCATCGCCAACACTTCACGAACTGTTTTTTTTACGTTAATTTTTGTGGCAAAAAGACGGCAATTAAAAAAGAGTGCATACGCAAAAGTCCACGAGAAAGTGTTCAAAACGAAGCTGAAAAGTTGAACCGCCTAATCGAAAGCATTCCCAAACAAAACGGAACGACTAAGCTGTAATTTTTTGTCGCGTTGTTAAAATTTGCATTGGAAGAGGACGGCTCAGGCAGGTGGCTAAAGAGCCTGCAAGCGCGCAAAGCCAATAAACGAAAGGTGGAAACTGAAGTGCGCAAGTGGCACGAGTATGAAAGTGTTGAAAACGATTCAATTGTACAATTAAATTAAATGCAATTTCGTTATTAAAGACAAAGATCTGGCTAAAAGGAGCATACGCTTAGTTGTGTATGTGTGCATATTTATGCATATGTTGCGTGTATGTGCGTGTGTGTGTATGCTTTCCAGTGAGTCGCATAATTAGCAAAGAAAAAATTACAATGGACAATAAGTTCTGACAACAGAACGTGTTAAGTTGCAGTGCAAACAATTGTCACATACACGTACATACATATATGTATGTAGAGTTTTTTAATATATATTTTTTTTGCAACGCATGCAGTGTCGTCGGTCTCGATACCCGACAAAACGTAGTTATCTATCGTATATCGATACGCGTACGCTGTGGCCTGTAATGACGGCAGCTGTTTTGGTTTTGACCGTGGTTAGCTGGCTTTTAGGCAACGGTTGTGTGTAGTTAAAACTTTTAAACATACGGACATTTATTAAGTGTGGCTTTCGGCCGTAAGCCTCTCCGACTTCTACAACAAATTTACAGTTGCGCTGATATTGTTGTTATTTGTTGTGTCCGAACGGCAGCTCTTTTCAAAGGCACAGGCACACACATGACTGTTCCAATTGGATTTTCATAGTGTTTTTTAGCGTGCGCGTGTGCATGAATGTGTGTGTGTGTGCTTGTGTGCGTGGTCAAGCATTAACATTTGTGTCACAGTGTTTAAATATATGAACATACATATGTACATAAGTAATGTTTGAATCTATGCATGTGTGTGTGTGTGCACTTAAACTGCGGTTTTCGTATTATTCACGTAGCTATATTAATCATTTCAGCAGCTTTAGCTTAGGCTTAGCGGCAAGCATCAGCAATAACAACAACAATTACATTTACTTGACATTTGAGTGTTGTTGCCTCCCACTTTTGTCATCTTAATTAACGGCCAACACCAACAACACCGACACCTCCTCGGCTCGGCACGGCCCAGTTTCTCAAGCCCCTCTCCCTCTCTGCTTCTAAGCTACGATTTTTGCCATTTATGTGTATGGCTCTTTGTACACACACACATACACGCAAATATATGGCTATTGTTTTGCGCTCTGTTGGCCAGCCAACAAAAGCCCTTTTTATAGTTTGTACCAGAAGGGTGAAAGGCTATACTATATAGCTTAAGCGCCCCTAATGTGTGTAACAGATAGAAGAAGGCGTGGCACACCTCAGCACGACGAGACGAATCGAAATAGACATGTCCTTCTGTTCGACTGTATGAACATCGAGAACTTTTGAGCCATACCAGCTAGGGACACCAAACTTGGCGGGCAGTCTTTATTATTATTATTATATTATGTGGGGATTAGGCGGTACAAAAATCACATTCAAATGAATAACTTGTTTTGTTCTTGAAAAATGAGGTATTTGTAAGTTTTTTATATGCTGTACCGTATCTGAAGTTTCATTGAAATTGATGCACTGGCATTGGAACGAATGGTTTATTTTGATTGAAAGACTGCTGTGGAGAGAGGGGCGGGTGCAGAGCATTCCAAATTCGGGCTGGCGCGACTTCAAGGATCTAATCAAGACTAAATCCACGCACAATTCAGTTCTGTTTGCATTTGGCATCGACCCTCAAACTGCTGCTCTGATCATTAGTATATACATATGTATGTATCTGTATACACACTAATATACATATGTGTGTAAGTGTATCATTGCGGGGCCACAGATTCAGATTGCGTTTCATAACCATACAAACAAACAAAACGACAAAGATCAGAGAATACGGCAATTTGTTGCTGTTGCTAACTCTTCTTAATATTTCAGCCCTCTCTGTTTGCATTGTGTGTGTGTGTATAAACAAATTAGACGATTAAGATACATCTGTATATTGTTATTGTAGGCAGCGACAACAACAAATGCAAATGCGCCGGCTAGACTAGAAATACTTTAAAGCGGTCAAAAGTGCAATAATAATAAGAACTATTAACAATATTGAGGCCGGTTGTCGAGAACAACAAGAGCAACAACTACGCTTAGCTTGTTGTGTGTGCCACAAGTGAGTGTGTAACGATACATACACACACCTACTATATACATATATATATAAATATATATCTATATAGATATATAGAGAAGGAGATAGCGAGAGGAAGAGAGACAGTCGTTGAATTGCTAATTTGCGGCCGTTCCACAGACCGAAACCGGCTAAAAAACGTTGAGAAAAAAATTCGCTACAAAGCTACAAAAAACTGTTGTTGCCGACATCGCCAACGCATCAGCAACAACAGCTGTAACAACAGCAACTGAACAACAACAGCAGCAACAAAAAAAGACACAGAGAGAAAAACAAAACGCGTAGGCGAACGCATACAAGCATCCGTAGACAAAAAACAACAACAAAAAAGCAATAATAATAACAACAATAACAACAACAGCAGTTAACAGCAAAAAGCAGTCAATCAGACTGCCAGCGTGATTCACAGCAGCAGCAGCTAAAACAACAACAACAACGTCGTCGCCGTCGTCTCAAAATGAATTCTGAGCATGGGTAAATGCATTTTGAATAAAAAAAAAAAAAAAAAAACTATGCATAAATGCACATAAAACTTTACCTTTAATAGTCCAGTAAGGGCTATAGAGAAATTCTGCTGAGCTGTCACTAAACCTTTTGTAATTGTTGTTGTTGGCTCGTTACAGATTTAATCCAGCCTTCAATATGGCCACCATACGCCAGGCATTCACAGAGGCCGTTGAAAGAGGTAAGCCCATAATGCCAATGCCATTCTATCTTGTCCATTCTTCAGCCTCCTTTTCACTCACATTCTCACCCTCTTTTCGCTTCTCTCCCCCGCCGTCCCTTTATAGTCAGAATGCCGACACCCACACGCCTACGCGATCTCATAAGACAGATACGCGCCGCACGCACCGCCGCCGAGGAGCGGGCGGTGGTTAACAAGGAATGCGCCTACATACGCAGCACATTTCGTGAGGAGGACTCGGTCTGGCGGTAAGAAGAAGAACTCCACATCCATGCAAGAGAAAATCAAATCGCAACATACTCAGACAGCTTCCCATTGCCGAACATCGAAATTCGTAAATGTATTTAATTCCGTAGAACTGTTGAGCTATTCGGCCTGAAAAGTTTTCCATTTGAAGCCCCATAGCTCAATCCGTTTTTTGAATACAAGTATGAAAGCATTCACCAATTTCGATTCCGCACAATTGCATCGAATTCGGAAAGGGGAACAGGGAATTAATACGCAAAGTTTTCGTGGATACTACTTAGTTTTGATGTGCGAAAATATCCTTAAAAAAAAGTTGAACAAGTACTTAGCTTATAGTAATAGAATATTTACCGTTACAGTCCGCTTCGACAAACAACCTTTTCAATTTCGTATGTATAGTAGTTCTTTATATTCCGATCCCACTTAAACCTTGTAACAATATTCAGAAACAAAAAGGTTTCTCATACAAAGATTTTTAAAATTTCTGTTCATTGCCATGGCTGCTGTAAGGAACCATTATCCTTATCTAATTTGATTGCTATAGCATTCATCGATCGCTATACATATGTTCAGCTTGAAAGCCTCTGCGAAAGTGTTTAGCTTTAAGGAAGAAACTGACTTCTGCCTCCAACCCAATTACAATAGAACTCCAATAAAAATGTAAACGAAATTGTTGTTAGAAGCAATAGCAGAACAACTATTAAAATTGGAAAACTTCATCTTATATGAAGATGCTTCAGGAATTATCGGTTTGTAGAATTGCAGCCAACAGTATTGAAGAAAAACACTAAATAGGGAAGATATTAAGACAAATGCTAACCAATAATTAACTCTGATATAACAGAGCCCCTTCGGTGCTTCAAAACGAAATGTTGGAAGCATCTTTCCACGAAAATTATTCACTCTATTGTTTTATTTATGAGTTCGGTTTGATTTTCTTGCTTACGAACTACAATCAATTGTAGACAACAACCTATGAATCAATTGCCTTTCCCCCCACAGCTGCCGGAATATTGCCAAGTTGCTTTACATACACATGCTCGGCTATCCGGCGCACTTCGGTCAATTGGAATGCCTGAAGTTAACTGCCAGCACGCGTTTCACAGACAAGCGAATTGGATATTTGGGCGCTATGTTGTTGCTTGACGAGCGGCAAGATGTGCATCTGCTGATTACGAATTGTTTGAAAAAGTGAGTGATTTACAACCTCATTTAATATTCTGAAGTCGAAATTGCAGTCGAAACTTGAACTAATCATAATTCAGGAACAGTAAAAAAAAGATAAAAATTCATAAAGATTTATAAAGATTCATAATATAAAAAATAGTTTTAATGTAACGATTCGGTTAAGAGCTTGTTATAAATAATTGATACCAGATATGTGGTCTTAAATACGTTTTTATAAATCGCATAAAGTGTGAAATCATTACTTATTAGTCAACAATAATAATAAAGATTAGAAGGATAAGATAAGACTAGGGTATACTAACAATTTTAATTAAGTGCTAAGAGAAACTTTTATGCAAAATCAAATTTCAACAATGTTTCATAGACCTCGAGGCTTTTAAGGATTAAATAAGAGGGATTAGAGATGAACGATTAATTACAATGGACACATGGATTTCTTTACACAAGTGATAACTTGTTTGCACAAACTACTTACGTAAAACCATAAACCATCAATTGGAATACGTGTGTGCAATTATTTTTCTGCTCTCTCTATAAAATTGAGTTCCATGTTAAATATTTAAGCAGTTAATCTTCACCGGCCAGATAAACATTGATTAAAATGCGAGTATTAGAAATGATTCTCTAATATATATAATTACATTTTTATTTATAATTAACATTTCAGCAGTTAATCAGAAACTATTCTCTCTGTGAAATTATTATCAGCAGTTTTGAGTTAAATGCGACTATTAAAATAGTCTCTCTATAAAATTATTCGTAGCACTACTTATACTTAATGTGTAAGCAGTTAATCAGCATTTGTGTATTAAAATATTACTTCTATACAAGTTCTCTCTCAATTAGCTTTAATTTTTCAAATATAATTTAATATCTAAGCAGTTAATTAGCGTCTGTCGGATAATATTAGATTTAAATGCGAGTATTAAATTATTCTCCCTATGAAATGATTCTCTAATATAGCTTTGAGTTTATACATACATTTAATATTTTGGCAGTTAACCAGAATCTGTTCTCTTGCTTCACTTAAACAGCATTTGCCAGACAAGTTTCATTTAAACCTGTAAATTTCAGAGACAATAACAATTTAATCACGAACTAAACCATTGGCCTATAGATGATATTAATTTTATTTCTTTCATATTTGTTATTGCAGCGATTTGAACAGCTCAACGCAATTTGTTGTGGGTCTGGCGCTTTGCACTCTGGGCGCGATTGCCTCGCCGGAGATGGCACGCGATCTGGCCAGCGAGGTGGAGCGTCTGATGAAGTCCCCGAACACGTATATACGGAAAAAAGCGACGCTGTGCGCCTTCCGCGTCATACGTAGAGTGCCAGAGCTGATGGAAATATTTTTACCGGCCACGCGCTCCCTGCTCAGCGAGAAGAATCATGGTGAGTTGGAGAATACCTGTAAAGCCGGGTCTGCCTTCGATCGATAGCTCTTACATCTCTGCTTCTTTTAATTCAGGCATTCTGATTACTGGCGTTACGCTCATTACGGAGATGTGCGAGAATAGTGCGGACACTTTATTGCATTTCAAAAAGGTAAGTTGTGGGGAATTGGACCTCATTTGTTTATGCGATACGAAAGCCATTGGAGGTTCGTTCTACAAACGAGTGCGTGTCCTTCGCTCTCTGTAAAGCTCAATTTTAGACAACAACAAAGATAATGTGTATCTATCTACCTACCGCTGCTAAATTGAACGCTTGCGGTGCTTTAAATGTATTTTTTCGAGTAGCATTTGGGTCCCCAAAGGCTGCCAACTGCCCGAACCCAAAGCGCTCTACTGCTCTATTTCCTGCACTTTTACACTTATATTTAAAGCGGCTATACATATACATATGTATGTATGTATATTGTATATTGTAGTACATGTGTATGTATGTACATAAGAACCTTTTTAGCCCACTTTTCTGGGCTGCCAGTTTGTATTTTGAAGAATATCGAGGCTATCGATTTAACTAGAACATACTATACGAGTACATTATGCTATCATCAATCGATTTATGTGACTCTTCCTTTGCGCTAATAGGGTTTTAGTTGAATTTAAATTGAATTTGTTTTTTTTTATAAACATCTCTGTTTTTTGTTCTATTTTCTGTTCTGTTTTGTTAACCACTTACATATGTATTTACTTACTTGAAAATAACGCTTTTTTGTTTTTGATCGAAATCGCCAAAACAAAATACGAAATACGAAAACACAAAATGAAATTTGTTGTAATTTGCTTGCCAGGATAGCGGAAATCGAGAGGTATGATTGTTGTGTATACATATAGTATATACCTTCTTCTATATGTCTACATATATTTGCATATTTGTTAAAACTTTCTTCTAAACACCCACAAACCACACAACTTTTTGGTTAGTTTTGTTTTTTCCAAGGGTATTCTCAAAACAGCTTCATGTCTGAACAGCTCTGAGAAGTGCGGAGAACGACTGTGAATATAGTTCTTTATCAATAATTCAAAATATATTGAGCATAAGACATAAAGCTTGAAGATAACCCAAAAACTTATATAATATGTAATCTTTTTCACACATCGAAATGATTGTACATAGATTTTGAGCTCTAGTAGTTGCCAAGTGCCCTTTAAAGGGTCCCACCTATGTACATATTTATACAACTTTTGTATTTAGTTCTTTTTTCTGCACTCTCTAACACCTTTTTATAAACTTTTATCTGCACAAACACACACACACATACATCCACTCGCTAGCTCTATCCCTTTCTGATATACCTATACGACTACACATAAGCCCTGAATACCCACAACTTTTACTTTTCACTTCTGCTGCTGCTGCTGTTAAGCCCACTATCTTCTACGTTTGCACTCTTAACTAAAAAGTCTATCCACATCCTCCCATCCATCGTTTAGATCGTGCCGAACCTCGTGCGCATACTGAAGAATCTGATACTCGGCGGCTATTCGCCTGAGCACGATGTGAGCGGAGTCAGTGATCCGTTCTTGCAAGTCAAAATTCTACGACTGCTGCGCATCCTCGGCCACAACGATCCAGATGCATCGGAAGCGATGAACGATATATTGGCACAGGTAGCCACCAATACAGAGACGAGCAAGAATGTCGGCAACACTATACTCTATGAGACAGTGCTATCCATCATGGATATACGGTGAGACACTATATTCGTGAATATATAATATTATTCGTTTAATATTTATCATCCCGAAATATAAGTGTAAATATTTAGTATATATGGAGAATTCTTCATTTCCATAAGATTAACTCAAATGTTTAATTCATGTTTGGAATAAATGGAGCTTCCATTTCATAGGAGGTTGAAATATTTTGAATCCTAAATTCTTCCAACATTATGATTCATTTTTGAAACAATTTCTGTTTAGATTTATTTCCTTTTTTAAATATTATTTTTTTTTTAATTAAAGTCAAGATAAGATGATTTGAAAATGCAATCGAAAATATACTTATCTATCTCGCTATCTCCCTTTCTTTTCTCACATCGGCTATAGCTCCGAGGGCGGTCTGCGTGTGCTGGCAGTTAATATTCTGGGGCGATTTCTACTCAACTCAGACAAGAATATACGATATGTGGCTCTGAACACGCTGCTGAGGACTGTGCATGCGGATACGTCGGCCGTTCAGCGACATCGTACGACCATATTGGAGTGTCTGAAGGACCCGGATGTGTCGATACGTCGTCGGGCCATGGAGCTGTCGTTTGCGCTGATCAATGCACAAAATATACGTACAATGACCAAAGAGTTGCTGCTCTTCCTCGAGAAGGCCGATGCAGAGTTTAAGGCGCAGTGCAGCTCGGGCATGATATTGGCCGCTGAGCGCTATTCGCCGAACACACGCTGGCACTTGGACACGCAGCTGAGTGTGCTGATTGCCGCCGGAAATTATGTGCGGGATGATGTGGTCTCCTCCACCATACAGCTGGTTTCGAGCAGCCCCGTGTCGGAACAGACGTACATCACGAATCGGTTCTGGGAGTCGTTGCAGGTGACCAATCATTGTGAGGACAAGCAGCCGTTGCTACAGGTTGCCGTTTGGGCCATAGGCGAGTACGGCGACTTGTTTATGTACGGCGCCAACGATGATGGTGAGTTACGGCTCTTACTTATTGAATTGTCTTACTTATACAATAATCGTTACTTGTTTTTCAATGCAGAGTTTGAACGTCCCACTGAGAGCGATTTAATCGCAGTGTATCATAAGTTTTTAACTTCTGCTCAAGTCTCTACCACAAGCAAACAATATGCGCTGGTCTCGTTGGCCAAGCTCAGCACACGTTTGCAGCAGTGTGTGGAGTAAGTAGATCCTATATTATATAATAACCATCTTCTAATCCTCATCATATTATAATTTTTTATTGGATTTAGTTAACTATCGTTTTCTAATCGTATAATCTTAATCTTTGAATCGGAGCTGTTGAACCAACTGCTTTAAATATTTATGTTTTCTTCCTCGTCTTTTAATTTTATAATTGCTATTTTCTAATCATCATCTTAAATCATTCAATCAATATCTTCTAATCAATCATAACGTTTTAATCGTCGTGTTTTAATATTCAGATTCTGTTCACTATCCTTATTATCATCTTCTATTTATCATATGCTTTTCATCATCTTTAAATCATCATCTTTCTATTTTAAACGTCATCTTCTAACTATCCTATTCAAATCGTCGACTCCTCACCATCATCTCAAATCATTCAATCAATATCTTCTAATCATCATCATTCTTATTGCAGAGAAGTGCAGGCGCTGATCACCTCGTTTGGCAGCCATCTGAATGTGGATTTGCAACAGCGCGGCGTGGAGTTCACACAACTGTTTGGTAACTATAAACACTTGCGTCCGCCGCTGCTGGAGAAGATGCCCGCCATGCAGATCAGTCGCATCAGCTCACAGAATGGCGAAAGCAGCGGCTCCTTCGATGACAACAGTCCCGATGTCATCGAAAATGGCATCGAGGGAAACAGCAGCGGTCATCAGTTAATCGAAAGCAATATGAACACCCTTGGCGACAATACGGTAAGCAATTCTACTTCCTCACATCAGTAACATACTCATAAATAATTTGGAATTGCAGAATATTTTACTCGACTTGCTGGGCAGTGCTGATCTATCGTCCGGCGTCAGTGATGCGGCCGTAGCCACAGATCTGTCCAATGCTGTGCATAAAAAGAATACACGCAATGCGAACGATGGTGGTGGCGGCGGTGGCACCACCACTACCAATAATTCCGTCGTCTCTAATAATCAGGATCTGCTCGACTTACTCGGCCTCGATATGTCGACGCCATCGAGCGGCAGTCTGGCAACAGATCCCAGCAGTGCCGCCAACATGAATAATATGCTCGACGGCCTAGACCTGGGCTTCGGCATTATGGATGGGCCCCCAAATCCCACAAATGGCAATGATTTGACGGGCATGTTGGGCGGTCTCGGCACTGCGCCTGCGCCAGTTGTGGCCGCAAGCGGACTGCTCGGCGACCTTAATCCCACAGCGGCATCAAATAACGTGGCAGCGGTGCGTTAAATTCCAAAAACTGCAACCCGATTGGTTTCCCTAATTTATAATCATAATTTTGCGATCATTTCGTGCAGCAACAGCAGCCACCAGCACCTCAGGCTCAACCAGCTCTCCAGATGACTGCGCTAAACAAGAATGGGCTGCTTGTTCAATTAGAGCCTGTGACGGGCAACGACTGCATGCAAATCTTTATGACAACCACAAATAGCTCAGACAATACATTGGAGCAGTATCTTCTGCAGGTAAGCTCTCAATCATTGGCTATATATATATATAGAGAGAATTAACACTAATAATCACAAACTCTCTGTCTTCTTGCAGGCGGCGGTGCAGAAGAGCTTTAGGCTGCAAATGTTAACGCCATCAGACTCAGTGTTACCCCCAGGCGGCGTTATAACGCAGGAAATGCGAGTCGTTGCCACGTCCAATGTGAGTTTCCAAAAAATACTAGGCTACTAGAGTAATACCAGGGCTGTACATTTTATGTACGAGTATAGGAGCATTCAGTCCAAATTGTAGACAATTTGACACCGATTTCTATTCTAGAGCCAGCCCGATTTTTCGACCAGTAGTCGATCGCCGTTTCTGTTCGTGTGGCGATTGATCTGGAGGGCGACCATCTTCAGATTTAGGTCGTAGTGTTGCGTAAAACTGCGAATGCAGCAGTCACAATTAGTGATGGGCTGTTTGGCTTTATTCTGAAGCATCTGGACCCGTTTGCGGTTCGACGTTGCAAATCAGGGCGTAGGGACGAATGTTTCACCTGCGAGCCCAGCTCTTAAGCTGCAGCTCATCTGCTCATCTGAAGAAATAGTTGTCATCTATTTATCTATATCAGGCAGGCAGTAATTTTCCCTCGACTGTTTCATGGTTCTCCTCTTCCTTTCTGCAGTAAAGAGCGACTTCAGAAGTGGGCCCAAGACGTAACATTATCTTTGGGTTTGTTGAGAAACTGCTTATTGCAAACAGTTTATAGTTTATAATTAGTTTCTGTGCAACAAATTAACATTTGTGAGCATTATAATTCGATTTACGGAATTTTCATTAATTATTATTACCTATTGAAAGTTTATGTTGATAAAAAGGTTGGGGATTTTTCAAAAATTCATTTCAGTTTTGATGATAGCAAGCATTTGAGGAATCTAGTACTTTTTAGGTGTGTTCTTGAGGTTCTTTTTTTTGTTTTCGATCGATAAAAGAAGTTCTTATTTTTAACCAACAATGTTGAGCCACAAATGCTGTTCATTTCATTGCATTTCCTAATATTGGCAGTGTTTGGACTGTTCGCCCATGTCTTAAGTTTTTATTTTAATTGTTAACCAATTGTTGTTATGTTTTTAAATTGAAATTTTAAATTTGTTTTTGCTTTGCAGGCTGTTCTGCGGATGCGTCTGCGCATATCATATGAACTGGATGGCCAGCAGGTGGTGGAGCAGACAGAGGTGAGCGGATTCCCGGAGCAGCAGCCATCGAACGAATAGAAGTGTATTAAAGCGAGTGATGCGAGCGTTAGTCTAATGTTTAAATACAACTACAACAACAAAAACAAGAAAACTTATACACACACACAGACACACAGCTTATGGTTCTGCATTGAACAGTCAAGAGGCGCAGTTTGGCACACAACTGTTTCGTTATCGTCAGTCGTCAGTCGTCAGTCTGAAGGTATAAATGCTTACATATGTACACCAACACACACACACACACACACACATACATACATAATATACCTTTAAATATTGTAAAATAGGTTAACAAATACACACACACACATTTACACTTGGTTAGAGTGCAGCAGAAAGAGAAACAGTTTGCCGTTTGCCGACCCACATTCTTAAGCAAGATATATAGTATAAATTAACGCCCTTTTATTTATAATTTATATACACACACATACATATACATATATATGCTTGCATAACTCTTGAAAGGTTTGTCCAACGATTAACAATTTTGTATCCATTAGTGACGCGTTCAATTCCTTCTACTATTTTATGGCAATTTTATTTATATTCTTAAAAATATGCCTCTTTTTCGTATCTTGTAACTTTGTGTTTAAAAGACAAGACATTGCGTTTTAATTGTAAGACAATAAAGTCATTTTTGAAGCCTATGTTAACTGCATTAAAATAATAATAATTATATACATTACGATTACAATAACAACAGCAACATTTTATTGTAAAACTAACAAATTTCGAAATTTGTATTAATTAGAGCGAGAAACGCGATTGCGTGGCATTTAAGTTTACAGTTTAGTTTAATGCAAGTTCCGAGAAACTATATTTGTTATATATACATACATTGTATTTATTCATACGATATGTGCGTGTGTGTGTGTTCGGCCACTCCCCCTCCAGCCCCAATTCCTACAACAATTTGCTTACACAGTGATTTTTAGAGCTCACTTTTCTGATATTTATTGAGGAGTCAAATTGTTTATTTTATACATAAATCGTACTTATTTCCTCAATGGCCTGTTAATTGTGAATCTTTTTTGTCAATTTAATGTGTCGACTCTGTTTTAAGTGCTTAACAGCGAACAGGCATTGAGTTCCGAAACTAAATTCTAGATCGAAATTTAATTTTCGTATTCATTTAGTTGAGAATTGTTTGAATAAAGAAGGAATGTCACATGTCCGCAAATCCCATCAAAACCCCTCATAATTTTCGGGTGCTTTCGATTTATGATATTTTCATCAACTTTACAATATTTTCTCATGCTATTTGGCTTTAATATTGAAATAATGCCTAAAACTTGGGGAATGGGTTGAAAGCTGCAGCATTACTTAGGTTTTATTGGTTGATAAACCTGTAGAATTATTGGTGCTCCGAAATACTATTCAAAAACTCTTTCAATTTCTGAAAATCTTATCAATTTGTCAACTCTTTAATATTGAAGTAAAATATTGGGGAATAAGTTGAAATTGTATGCTTTTATTTAATGATTATTCCGTAGATACTCGTATCTGAAAATTTAAGTTAGTTAGCTTCCTAATATTATCAAAATTGATATAAATATATCCATAAATCCCATATTAACCATTCTTAATTTGGAAGCGCTTTCAAATTCTGATATTATCAATTTCCAACTCTTCTCTTATCTTAATTGATCTTTAATTTTGAGAAAGGATAAGAAAATGTTACAAAATCGGAGCATTGGGGAAAGTAGAGGCGCTATGTTATGTTTTTATTGGTTTATAACACTGATTTCCTTTTTTAAAAATATTTCTGATATATATTGTAAAGTTGCTTTCTAATATTATCCCTAAATGTTCGCAAATATACATATAATTCCGTTTAGTTGCTATTAGTATCAAGAATCTTGTCTGGCACCAGTCTTTAAAAAAAAACTAATGTCTTGTTGCCCATTCTTTCCCATTTTGCTTTAATTATCTCCGAAAATGTTATTGTTTTTCATATAAATTTCTATCATCACATTAATTAGAGATGAAATTTAGAAAATGTATGTTTTCTAGCTAGGTTTGTTTGTGTTTGTATATTTTAAATTTCGTTAAGCTGGTCGAACCGACTCTCGACTCACGAAGGCTCACTCGGATTCTTAGCAACTTCCAGAACTACAACTTCGTAGGCAGTTATATGGTTGTTGACATATTTTAGCTATACTATATAGGCGGTTTACTTATATGATTTTAGGAATAAAATTTGTGTGTGTTCCGAAATCATTTTTCTTTATTTTTTTTTTCTGACAAAAACTAGATTTTTTTTAAAAATAGATATAGGACTTCTCGGCTTTCAGTTCCATTATGAGAGTTGGCTTTACTCATACATATATTGGCCAACGCAATCCGCTACGATTCAGGCAGGTCTGGTTGGAAGTTGAAAGTTTTTACCAATCTACTACTCTACATAAGTGTTTAGATATCATATTTTAGCTATACGAGTTCTAGCGGTTTGCTATCACATAATTTGTAATATATTTAGTATATTAAGGTATGTTTCGCCCTTGTTTGTAAACTATTTGTTAGTCTCATCCAAGTATGTTATGTTTTGTAAATTATAGTTTTCAAATCTGCATCGAAAAATCATTGAATACAAGCAAATTGGGGTGGCAAGTGGACAGTGCCGGCAACAGTGTTGCACAACGCATATATGTAATATACCGTTACGCTCTAACTGACATTTTGTGAAGTTCGCAATTCGATTTGCAAGTTTGTGGGCTTTTTGGTGTATTTTTTTTTATTTTAAAATTGTGGGCGCCTGAGTGCCTGGCTGTGAAATCAGCGCCAGACAGTTTCATTGAACAAACAAACTCACACACATGCAAAATAGTTGCTGCTGCTTATACACACACATATATACAAACATACATATTGTTATTCCATGTGCGCACGTACTTAAAACAAATGATTTTTAAAAAACGACTAAAAAACTGAAATCAACAAAAATTAAGCGTAAAGTATAATTTGTTTTTTTTTTTTATATACCAATATATGGTAACTGAAACAACAACAGCAACAAGACAACAAAAAACACATGCACTGTATGAAAAAGTTTAGATAATATATTAACATATGTATTATTATGATAAAAGAAATATATATATATAAAAGTACTAGTGTATCCGGCTTGCGTTGCTGTGCTTTTCAAGCTTTCCGACGTCACATCTCTCCCAAAATGTCCTTCACTATTTATGGCTTCGATTACGTCCACTGTCGTCCACATTCCTTCGTCTGAACAAGGGATATCCATCGCCTCCTGTTTGTCTTTCTTGGATCAGCTGTGGATGCCCTCTCGCGCAGTCCCATTCTTCTTTTGTTTCTATGGCTCGCAACGTAGATGCTCATTCGCGAAAATCTTGCAAACCTGATTCGCGTTCATCGGTATTTTGCTGCTCTTTTTTCGCTCATCTTCTTTGATATTGTGTTTTTTGTTTTTTACCAATAGATAATAAATCACTTACAGAGTAAAAATTGACTGCCGAACAAATGAAAATGAGCAGAAATAAGCCGGAAAACGATGGTTGATCGCGTCGACGAATCGGCACGAAACTTCACAGGTGCACCCATAGAAGTATTTTGATTATTGTCAAAAAATTTGATCAACATCGGTTGAGCGGTTTCGGGGTTTTTACTACTATTTAGATGGATTACCAACAATATATATAGTTGTTACTAAAAAAAAACAAAAAGTTCGTTTATGCATTAACTATATTCATTGTAAAAACTTTTTTTTTTCATTTCTTCGTTCAATTAATATAGTGGGATTCGGTAGACAGGGGTTTCAAGGCTTAGTTCGACTCTGTTTGGACTAGAATAGTTTAAGTTGGGCTTGCAGGGTCCTCGGCTTGGCGCGACCGTTTGCGTCGGCGAATATTTTTATTTTTACGCTTTCGCTTTGGCGATTGACGACATTTTAAGCCATTTGCTGCTTGGTAAGCCCTCCATCCTTTTATACTCAGTTTGTACTTGTGCATGGCAATATTTGCTAGCGTCTTCCAGACCGCCTTCTCCGCATCTGTCGTCCGAGCCCACTCCTCCCCACATTTTTTTGCGATTTCCGTAACCGTGGCGTTGGGATACCGTTCCTTCATCAGTTGTCGGCCACACGTTGTAAACCATTTCATATATGAAGAACCTGGGCGTTTGGGACGAGTTGCCATCACTGAATAACTGTAGACAGAACTCAAAGTTAATGGTGTATGCGCGATGATGTAGTTTCTTCTTATGCATTACCTATAAAATTTCGACCTCCTTATGGGAACGTAAAAGCACAAAGAATCTGAAATAATAACTATAAAGAGAAAGATGACTACTTTCAAAATAATTTAAAAAAATATATTTATGTTCCGAACGAACTAACGTGTACAACTCTCAAGACAGTACTGAGAAATAAAGGCTTTGTAAATGTGGAAAAGTTAAAAAGTAATATCAAAGCCTACTAGTTCAATTCGAAGGCCTGCTTTGTAATTTCAAAATTCGTCCAAACATAGATATTTACAAAGCATTGGGGTCCTACGTCTTGGCTGGGTTAAATATTTGTGCAAACAATTTTCTATTTATTTATTTATATACTTTTCGTATTCCAATTTCTCCAAAGGAAAACATTTACAATTTACGGCCTAGGGCAAAGCTTATTTTGTATATTTTTATGCGAAAATTTAGATACAAACATACAACATAAATAAATGTAGGCTTCCTTCGAGGGTTGTATTTATTAAATCGAACAAATATTTTGTATAATAAACGGCTGAGTGCTTCGTATGAGAACCGCGGAGAAGAGCTCTAAAATTCTCGCTAGCTTTATTGCTGTGAAAGAAATAATTTTATCAGACATTTCAAAGTATAGAAATATTGCGTAAAGAACTCTGGGAGATTTCGTTTTCGAACCCATTATTGTTTCGATGGCTTAAAGCTGAAAAGAAACATGCGCTGAATACAAAAATTCAATTAAAACTATTTATTGCCATTTGATGCATAAATAATAATAATAATATAATATTTTTGTGAAAGGAATGCTTTTATCAGACATTTCAAAGTATAGAAATATTGCGTAAAGAACTCGGGGAGATTTCGTTTTCGAACCCATTATTGTTTCTATGGACAGTTTTCGATGGCTTAAAGCTGAAAACAAACATGCGCTGAATACAAAAAATTCAATTAAAACTATGATTTATTGCCATTTAATGCATAAATAATAACTTGCAAAATCGTAGTTATGTTTATGAAAACAGAATATTACTATTTAGTATTACTATTAATATAGCTGCATACTATGCAGATCAATAACAAAAACAATATAACATGCATAGTTTTCCTATACTCGTATATCAACGCAACTTTTGACCTGAATTAATGAAGGCTCGTTCGTTCGTTCGGGCTTGTGGAGTTGGTGTCCTTTGAGTGCAGCCCTGGCCTGGACCTTTGCCGCTGACTCCACTCCAGTCCAGTCCACTCCACTCCACTCTACTCCACACAGCCATACGCACGCACAGCGCTTGCAGCTGTTGGGGTGAGGCGGGCGTTCAAAGACTTCAATGCTCTCTGTCTCTCGGATAACCTTTGGTAAGGTTAAATGTGAAGTTGTATGTACAAGTACATACATACATACATACATATATATTGGGCGCGTACTTCAAGTTCCTGCAAATCCAAATTCCCGAGCGTGGTCGGTGGGGGCGTTGTGGTGTTCGCCGCAACAAGGCAGGGCATTGTGTCGCTGGCTTTTTGCCTATTTCCTGCCTTTTGTTGCTGCTCCTTTGTTGCTCCGTCACAAGCTTTTAAACGAACCGCGACTGAGACCGCGACCGCTCGCTTCGAACATCATTGTCCAACATGTTCGCTCAATGATGTTTTCCCTTTTTGCCCCTTCGCTGTTACTCTTCTGTCACGTGCAACGTGCGCGCCATGTGAGTATATACAAGTATGTATGTGTGAGTGTGCGGGCGTGTGCGTGTGAGAGAGCTGTGCGGATTAGTTGATAGGAAACTAGTTCGGTGAGCGGATTTCAATTTCCACCAGCAAATAAACTTGCATGTAAGCTGTTCTTATTATTTATGTTAAAGAATCGAATGAAATGTGCATCAGCTGGCAGTAAATTATAATTATTATTTCTTGTATAATTGTGGTATAAAATATTTTAATTTTGTTTTATTTTTTCAAAGTAAGTCTGTTTAAAGATTTATTAGGTTTACAATCTAGTAATAAATCATAATTTTAATTGAATTTTTTGTATTCAGCGCATGTTTCTTTTCAGCTTTAAGCCATCGAAAACTGCCCATAGAAACAATTATGGGTTCGAATACGAAATCTCCCAGAGTTCTTTACGCAATATTTCTATATTTTGAAATGTCTGATAAAAGCATTCCTTTCACAGCAATAAAGCTAGCGAGAATTTTAGAGCCTTTCTCCACGCTTCTCATACAAAGCACTCAGCCGTTTTAATCATTATACTTATTATACAAACTATTTTTTTTCGATTTAATAAATACAACCCTCAAAGCACTTAATTTATTCAAGTATATTAAATTACAAATTTGGTTACTTTTTAATAAAAAAGGCATCTATTAAAATATATATTTTTTATAAACGACACGAATGAAATGCTAAGCCGGTTATAATTTTTAAGTTTGGCAAACAGTTTCAAGAACTATGGGAGTTATAAAAAAATCCCTTACAGTGGGGGAGGACGATAGGCCGACATGGCTTGATGACGGAATCGACGATGCGCGGAATTGTTAGGGTAATAGGACTATTACTTGGATTAGTTATCATTTTGATTTTATTTTCTGGCACTTCTCTGCGTCGATAATCCCTGAATAATCTTACGTTGGTTCTTCAAATGGTAATAATTATATATATACCAATTCACTTGTAGTATTGTGTGAATTATTTTCCAATCAATTTTGTCAAGCTCTGCTCTTATCCTAAAAATACTTACTTGCTTTTTTTTATCACTTTTTATTCGCGATTCCTGAAAGGCTTTTTACGAATACAGCCATGAAATTTAGAACTGTTATATTCCAATGCAGCTTGGGAATCTTTGTTTTAGGTATAATTGGAATTGTGCTGAAAATACTTACTAGTTGAGCACAATTTATGTGACCCCAATGGGAAAACTTTAACTTCTATTAGATATTGATTTGTTTAATCCTAAAGGGGCTTGTGCAGATAAAATACTTACGTATATACTTTAAATTGATATATTTCCATCGAAATTTGGTAGCCCCTGATCTAGATATAATTACGTCAGCTTCAAATCAGATATCAAGATGGAATACCTCGATCATTGTGCAGCTTAAGACTTACTTGGCCCACTTCTATTAATATGTGGGAGGCGAAGAGGCTGCGAGCCAGCAACACAGTTCTGTGCAGCTGCTGAACTGAACCGGTTCGCGTCCGGTTCGCACACCACTGTGCGCGCTGCGTGTGTTTTTGTTCCTTTTGTGCGATTGGGTTGGGTGTGTGGTTGGGTGGTGTGGGTGGTTGGTTGGCTGGCTGTTTGGCTGCCTAGCTGGCTGGCTGGCTGGCTATGTTTGTTTGTAGCATAGCTGGCTATAAACAGCATAAGCATCTATGTCAGCTATGCGTTGTTCGTGTTGGGCCCCCTCTGGGACCCCCTCTCGGCACTCTCTGCCACAAACTGCTTGTATATCAATCGCCCTTTGGGCGGCTGCCAGCCATTGCTTGTTGTTGCTGTCGAGTCCCGACCTACTCCCTCCCTCCCTCCCTGCCTCCCTCCATCTCTCCATGCCCCATCTACACCTACACCCACACCCACTCCCACGCCCAAATCCATTCAAAGAGAGCAAGCCAAGCCAACTCAGTCCAACCCAATCCAATCCAACCCACGCCGCCAGCGTCGCGCGTCCAACAAAAAAGTAATTTTGTGCAACGATGCGACGACCCTTGGCCAAAAATTGTAATGAGAAACCTTTTATGGCGCAAACACATGCTCGGTTTTTTTCTCAACTGCTCGACTTCTGCCACGGCCATAGCCTGGGATGCTGCTGCTTAGTGGATAGATGCCACACGTTCTGCTCTTTGTGGAGTTGTAATTTTATTTGTTGTTGCTTCTTCCTCTTCCTCTTCATCATCTGCTTCTTCTTCTTCTGCATTTTCGTCTACTTAAAAATAATAATTCTTGTAATACAATATGTTTGTAGGTACGCGCTATGCATTTTCATTTCTTTATCATTTTCTTGTTTTTTTTTTTTCTTCTCCCGTTTTACATTTCCATTTGTCTTACGATTTTGTTGTTGTTTTCTTTTTTTGAATATTTTTATTTACACGCGAACAAAATGTTGTTAGTTGAGCTCCAATTGCGGTTTGGGAACGGGGAATGGGGGATGGGGGTGGGGATGGGGCTGGGGCTGGTGTGGGGATGGTGACACGCCCCCGGGGGAGGCGGCGGCTGGCAGACAAATGATATGGGCGGCGACGACAGTTGTTGAAAACTACCGTTGCGTCAAGGTGTGGCTGATAAATTCAAAAACAAAAGATGGCAACAGCAACAAAAAAAACATTAAAAAACAACAAGAGAAAAAAAAAACAAAAACAAAGAACAGCCGGTGCCGAATTCCGGATCCCCCGAAGCCTCACGGGAGCATCGAAGTGCCATAACATTGTAATTGCTTTTTGATAAATGAAGCACGCGCCGCACAACTGACAGTTCCGGAACATAATACCAACATACACTCACACACACACACATATGTATATAATCATAAAACGCAGGGAGGTGGAGTATATATGTGTGTATGTGTGTGTGGATCGTAAAACGTCTCACTCAAGTGGCCGGGCGAGCTCGCCGGGCACGCACTTGAAGACAATTTAAAATGTTTTTGAAAAATGCTCGACTAATTGGCACATGACAGCGACTGTTGGGGCCACTGGAAAACTTAATTTTGTGCGCAAAGAGTGGAGGGGGAAAGCCAAATAGCCGGCAAGTGCAAGCAGCTGCTATCGAGTGGAGCTATGGATGGGTATGGAGGTGGGGATGGGGATGGGGCTGGGGCTGGTGCTGGGGATGGCAGCACTAATCCTTTAGCTTTCATCAGATTGAATCAGAGGTAAAAGCTTTGCGACTGTGGAGTGCCATGTTGTCAGCCATTAGAAAATTGTTTTCCATGGGCGAGAGATACGTTGGGATACTCTTTAATCAACAGGCCTTTAAACACAAACACACACACACACTCCGAGCCGAGCATTCGAGAACAACTATAAAGTCTCGCCAACTTTTGAAATGAAATTCCTATCAAGATTGAAGGGAACCAACCAACTGGGCAGAGCGAAGATTCCACTCAGATTGTGAACAAGGGAAGGGGGCCTAATTGAACACTCCAGCAGGGTTAGGAGGTCAAGCATTGAGAAGCAGTGCTTCAAAGGCATTAGATAGCGATTCCACTTGAGGGAAATTTGTTTCACTCGTCAAAGATAATGTCTTGGGGTTCTTAAATGCACCATTTCTTTCAATATCAACAAATAGTATTTAATTCCATAACAGACTGATTTGAGCTCAGTTTTCTGAGCTTCAGTCTAGCCCCAGCATTGCAATTAGTTCAAGTCCCACGAAAGAAAGAAAGCAAGAAAGGGGAAGACACTGCGACCATCTCTTGAAAAGATTATAAATGAGACGGAATAAGTGCCGACAAGTAGGCTTAGTTCGTCAAATGGATGCGCCATTACAATAAGCCTACGAATTTGAGTGTAGATTATGATCGAGTTGTGCAAAAGAAGAGGGCCTAGCAGCTCTTGAATGGAATGGAAGTGTTCAAAAGTATGGCTTATGGATCCTCCCCCTAATGTGGTTGTCGGGTGGAAGGTTGAAGAAAGAGAGTAACCAGAGAGAGCCTTTTATATGGGCCACCAGACATCTAAAGGTCTGTCTTAGTAGGGTAAATAAGGCCTCCGCTATTTAGGAAGCTGTTCCATTCTTTTCTTTCCTCTTCACCAATACACTCTCAATGCCTTAATTAATGGTAAGCCAAGCTCGCAGAAGGTATCTGGTTTTAGTTGCGGCTGAGCATTTGCAACGAAGTTGAAGCAAAGGGGGTTATCTTGTCTTCAAAACCATTTACAATTCCGCAAGTTTAGAATGGAGACTGGCTGTCTATATATAATAACTTTTTTGATCTCCTTTTTCAAGTGCTAATGTTCTCAAGAAATTGAATAATGTAAGAAAGCATCGAATTCTGAGAGAACTGTATATCTCCGGCTTGACTCGATAAACTACGAGGTCGCTATATCCATTCCATTGGTAAGTAAGTAGATAAGTAAAATATTCGATACATAACTCCGTAAGCTGATGATATTTCATGAGAAGCGAGATATTTCGAGTGCATTAGAAGCTTCAATTATATTTAATGTAACATCTTGAGTCTATATGAGGCTCTAGAAAAATTCAGTCTTAAAACAACTTCATTTGAAGCTATCTTCCAAGACCCTAGTTGAAGCCTAAGAAGTAGTCTAGGAAGTAACCTATAAAATGTCTTCCTTTCAAATGCAATTGCATATCTAGATTGTCTAGATATCGGCCTGAGGACGAGAGGGAATGGCCAAATGTTGGCTAAATGACAAACATCCGCATCCATTTCACTCCTAAACTATCTCTTAAAGGCTTAGGGGCAACAAATTCAATTTGATGTTGTTTAGTAAGGGGACGAACAACATCGAAGCAATTAAGGACACTCCAACCAAGTGGGGGTGGGGGAGGGATAGTGTTTTGGTTATTTAAGCGATTATCGGCGGTGTACCGTCTAGTACCTGTGCCTCCCTTTTCCGACACACCCACAAAGACAAACCGAAACCCCAGCCCGAATAAACAAAATTGCAGGAGCAAGGATGGGAAGGGGGGGGGGGGGTGTGTTGTGCCTGTTTTGCAAAAGCAAAATAAATAAATAAACAAAAACACGCCACGAATAACAAGCCATAATATATTTACATAATTAAATAAATAAACAATAAATTGTGATTCACATATACAAGCGAGTGTGTGTGTGTGTATTAAATCGAAGCGCCATCCAACTAACAAATATTGGCAGTCTAGTGTGGCACGCCCAAACGTTTTGCCCGTTCCGTTCCGCTCCGCCCCGCCCCCCAACTAGGATAACAAAATAAATAAATAAAGCGAGCAGGAAAAAAAAACACATAGATTTGTTGCTGGCCCCAATTGCGAGGGGGTGGAGGTGGGGGCGGGACGGGACGATACGGTACGGCTTACATATTTACAGGCATTTCTAGCGAAGCTTCTCCGATGCGCTCTCTCAAGTACATATGTCGTTATTCGATTTGTAATGCGATTTAGTTTTAGTTTTTGCAAATTTGAGTTTTTTAGCTAATTATGTATAAACATTTAAAAATTTTGAAAAATATTTCATTTTGATTTTTGTTTTTTGGTTTTTTTCAAAGACGACGAATTGAAAACGATTTCGATTTGTTGATATATGCATGCGATTTAAATTTGATTTCTCTTCTCTATGCTCGCCCTCTGCTCTTACTTTTAATTAATTATTCACTAGACTATTTGTTTAAATATCTCTGCTTTTTGTTTTTCCATTTGCGACTTGAAAAAAGCGACGCGACGACAATAATATACTATATTTATATATATATATATATATATATATATATGTATATAGTAAAAAAAAAAGATTTACGTAAAATTTGTAGCAATTTGTTGCATTTAGTTTGGTGTATGTAGTTGTTGGCCGCGGCCCCTAGTATATATGATATATGTATGTATGTATGTATATATAATGCATAGCTTGTATATATATATAGTTAGTTGTATGTGTATATTGTATAGCTAATGTGTATCTATATATCCATATATATATATATCTCAATATATATATATATATATATATATATATAGATGTATATGTATGACTGCTTGCTTGGCCTAATTGCTAAAAGGTAGAAGGTAAAACTTAATGTTACGAGTTGAGCGAACGCTTTGGTCACACAGGCAGACAATTTGCACGCAAATCTGGGAAATTAATACTGAAAATAACTTCGTTAAAGTTTTGTTAAAAAAAAAAACGACGTTTCTGTGCAACTTATTTGCGTGTCTGACCAAAGCTATGTTCAAACAAACAAATCATTTGCAGGCAAATTTTTAAATTTAAAGCAAAACAAATTCTAAACTTAAGAAAGCTTCTTTCTTGGGACTTAGTTTGAATGCTTGTTTGCAAAAATTGTTTGTGCAAATCGTTGATCTGTCTGTCTGACCAGAGCTATGTACAGACAGGCAAATAATTGCACGCGATTACTGTAATATTTCAAGCGTCTATTAAAATGGAAGCAAACTTTTTTTGAGGCTTACTTGTAAAAGCCTGTGTGTGTATAATGCCACAAATTTGTGTGCGAATTATTTGCTTGTCTGACCATAACATGACTTTTTTATATATTTACTTTAAATATTTGTTTTTGTTTTTGGACTTGATGTGAGATTAGTTTAGTTGTGGTTTAGTTTAGTTAATTGTAATAAACTGATGTAGTTGTTGCTGTTTTGTAGCCAACTGCGATTCTACAGAATCGAAAGGTGTCCTTTGCAGCCTTTGCAGCTTTAGTCAGTGTTTGTATGCATGTTTGTATGTACAATTTTGGGTGCAGAATATCACATAGTCAGACATATACGACTACTAGTTCTCATTGTTGTTGCTGAAGCGCCCATCCTCTTAGACATGAAGCGTCGAGTTGTTGTCCAAAACAGCACCGAGCAGTCGACGTCGATTGGGCATCACGGAGCCACCGCCACCGCCACCACCACCACCACCTCCACCTCCAGCAGCGCTGCTGAGCAGAGCAGCTGTGTCGGTATCGACATCGAGACGCTTACGCTGTGGACGCAGAAAGAGGAACAATACCAGGAGCGCCACAAAGAAGGCCAAAGCGCCAAAGGCCGGATAGATGACGCCGCTCAAATGGCCCGTCGCTGTCGGCAGGACACTAATGATGTACACCCGATCCGAGGGGCTAGGCGTTGTGGGTGCCATTGTTGGCATTGTTCGTATCGCATTCAAAGGCGACGCTTGAGTCGTCAGTGTTTGTGTTGTTGTGGGGATTGTCTTAATCGGGTTGTTGTTGCTGTTGCTGTTGCTATCGATGTTGCTGCTGTTGTTTCTGGCAGTGGAAGCATATGTTGCAGTCAATTGACGCGTATCCACATGCAGTTTGACGGAGCGACGCATCAAACCAGTTAGCTGTAAGAAGGGAGTGAGAGAAATCGAGAATACTTGTAGAAAATCTTAAATAGGTAACACGTATAGACCAGTGCTTAACTATTAAAAAACTAAACACACTTCTAAAACAAACAAAACGTTACAGTCGAGATAAACATCAGGCATGTTTCCCTTACTTATACTTAGCACTTCAACAATAATGCTGCTAGAAGAATATGTATACGAAGTTTGGCAATTCTATCTCCTTAACTCTCCAAGCTGCTTACGTTCATACAGACGAACAGACGGGGGCTGGATCCAGAGACAGCCAAAAGTGGTCAGAGATGCTTGTACTAAATAAGCAAGTGTGATCTTTATTTTGGACAAACCTGGATGATCGGTAAATGGGCCCGGGATCTTAAAGAATCTTTTCAAATCTTTGGCTACATCTATCATTTAATGAAAGAGATTATTAAGATGATTCGTCGTTTTAGTGTTTTATTTACTTCACTATATAATTATCTTACGAATTTATATTTTCCATAGAGAGGTTGACTTACAAGTCTGTTTAATTCTCTACAAACCAAGTTTACACTGTCCAGGTATTCTAGGAAGTTTTTACCCAAGCTCGGAATCAGCACTTCAGTGTGTTATTACTTCACTTTATAATTGTCTTACGAATTTATATTTTCCATAGAGAGGTTGACTTCCAAGTCTGTTTAATTCTCTACAAACCAAGTTTACACTGTCCAGGTATTCTAGGAAGTTTTTACCCAAGCTCGGAATCAGCACTTCAGTGTGTTATTACTTCACTTTATAATTGTCTTACGAATTTATATTTTCCATAGAGAGGTTGACTTCCAAGTCTGTTTAATTCTCTACCCACCAAGTTTTGCAAAGATCCGTATTCTAGGAAGTTTTTACCCAAGCTCGGAATACTACACGTATACAAGTAGTAGTGTCCTTCTTGTATTATTACAAGTGCGACTATTATGAGAAAGTCTTTAAGGTACCCTTAAGCTAACTCATTACCCTATTTAAAGTTCCATAAATGTGAAGTTAGACGTAAATCAACTCCATGAGATACGCGACTCCACTTCTAAAGACTCTCAGGCTCATTTTGAGATTGGGGGCAAGGGCAGGGACAGGGTCAGGGGGGCCTGATTTAATTGGAAAAGTGACGTTGCTCACCTTGTGCTTGCAGGTCACTTGTATGTTGTAGACCGTGTCCGGCCAGAGGGAGAGCTCGGCGCGTGCCGTGTCCGTCAGGAGGTTGCCCATCAGGCCGCCGCCCGAAACCTCCCAGGTAATGAGGCATTGCCGCGAGGCATTCGCGATTGTCTCGTCCCAGCCGATGTCGGTGAGGACCAAAGCCCCCTGGCGTTGTGCCGCGTGGACCCGCAGAGCAAAGGGCGTCAATTGTTGTTGGCAGTTTTGCCAGCACTGCGAATATAGAGATATAGATAGATAAGTATATAGTATGTACATACATATATATGTATATTTAGAGAGACAGTGAGAAAGGGGGGGGGGGAGGAAGTGTTTGTGAGGATTAGAGTGTGGGGTGTGGCAGGAGTGACAACAGTTCGGAATTATCGTTAAAGTGTCATGTGCGGCCTTCCCCGCTGCCGCTGCGCTTTGTGCTTAAACTGTAATTACTGCGCCCGCAAGTATGCTACACAATTTGCGAGCGCCCGCAGCGCCAAGACGAGCGCGCTCGTTAGCGATTGGATGAAAATTATCTCGCACACATTACAACAACAGCGATGCCAGCGATGCCAGAGATGCCAGTGATGCAAGGCAATGGCAGCAGAAAAGGGCAAAGGACAGGACAGGACAGCCTAGGACAGGACAGGACAGGACAAGATATAGAGCAGGGCAGGATAGGGCAGGACAGGGCAGGACAGGGCATTGGCAGCCAGCAATCAGCATAAAGCGTAGATAAAAAGCGACTGCTGTGATGGCCATCACTAACTGATGTTGATGCTGAAGCTGATACTCGTACTGATGTGGATGCCACAACCATAGCCGCAGTGATAGCCACAGCCACAGCCACTGCCCAATCCCATACCCCTGGTCATGCTTATGGTCTATTCAGTTATATGTGTACATATCTGTATAAATGTGTATGGTATGTATATGTGTGTACTTACGTCTCTGCAATCCGCAAAGTCCGTGCAGTAATGCCAATCCCGTGCGAACTGCAAAAGAGAATGAATAGACGCGCATATACAATAAACAGCAAATACTGGATAAAGAGTTTCTCAAGTACTAAGACTTTCCACACTAATTGGGCCCTAATAGCAATACACTTTGAAAAGGATTATATTTTAAATTTCTTAAATATTAGATAGTAAATCTACGGTCATACGTGCAAATAATTTACACACAAGTTCGTTCATATTTCTAGAAAAATGTTATCAAGTGCGTTTAAAAGTACATACTGTCATAATATTTTTGTTTTGTAAAACACTATTGGGAATTTTTTTTGCAATGGAACAGATTTGGATAGAAATACCAAAAATAACTTTCTATTAAAGGGTGTTAGAATTCTACTCTTCTACTTTTAGTTCCCGAATACACAATAAGAAAATGTGAATTTGAAAGAGCTTTCCCATCATCTTTCTTAGTCTTTAGGACAAGCAGTGTGAATGCTACCAAAATGTTTGAAAACCACTTCCCCCCATGCTCCACAGCCTTAACTAGGCTTCAGGCTTTCTACTTGTATATAAACTATTTGTGAAAAGAAAGTAAAATGAAGTGAACGGAGATTTTAATAAAACGTATGTTTGTGCCTAGAACTCAAAAGACCTAACAAATCTACCCAACCAACACAATATGATGGCAATTGTAAAAGGAGGCCCTGCAGTGAAGAAGCGCCTTTTCCCTAAGCGACTTAAAGAAAAACTGATAAGTCAAAAGCCTATTCCCTCATGCAATCTCTGTTATACACGTATATAGGGGTATTGGTATATCTTTCTCCGATAATATCAGTTTACTTCAATACCCCACACAGCTATAGCTTTCCGTCGGATAAGAGAGAGCAGTCCAAAAGAAAACATGGAACTGGACAATAACGCAGTCCTAACTAAGTTCGAAATGCAAATTCATTTATTCTCTGCTACTTATATACATCGGTCGGTTACCCTTTTCCCCCCATTGTGTACCTATTTTCGAGTTCAATCAAGTTATGTGGAATTGTGGAATTCATTTCAAAAAACTGTTTAGTTTGAAGGATTTTTTATCGGATGAAGAACAATACGCTTTTGAAGCCCAATAGCAATCTTTTTCACAAAAATATCGCTTTACTAATTCAGATACCGGATTGAGCAGGCTTCATTAACTTCGACTTTTCTCAAAAGCCCGTCGCAGCTTTTCAACGTAGAAGAAATAGAGCTGTCCCACGAAAAGCTGTCAATCGAAAAAGAGCTTAGTCCCAGCTGACTTGCTCAATCATTCAACTTTTAAACCGCTCGTTTAAAATCGGAAGCAAGTTATTTGGGCTGTCAAGCTGTACATTATCTGCGATAATATCTCAGTCAATATCAATAGTCAATGATTAAGCTATGCCAACGATTGTTTACTGTACACACACACAGACACACACATAAATAAAGCAGAGTGGGTGCAAAGTGTATGGGTGAGTTAGGGGTAGGGTGGGGGTGGGGGTAGGGGTAGGGGTAGTTCTAGGGAGTGGTAGATTGTGGGTTGTTTGGCAAACTGAGCGAGCACGCGGCCTAATCTCATTTTAAATAAGCAGCAAAAGTAATCAGCAACAGTGCCCCGAGCACGAGGCGTGCCGGTCGAGGTTCTCTGTTTTGTGCTGTGCTTGGCTGAGCGGTGTGGTGTGGTGTGCTGTGGTGCCTTGTCCTGTGCAGGACATGCCGAGCTGGGCCGAGCTGAGTCGAACGGGGATATGGATGGCCGAGTCACAATAGCGCAAATTTGTAACTGTAATAAAAGGCCCAAATAAATGACCGCAAAGTTGTATTGCGAATCGAAATTTTCACGCTCATCACAAAATGAGAAAATGCGAATGAGAATGGAAATGGGAATGGGCATGGGCATGGGCATGGGACTGTAAATGTGACTGTGAATGGAAACTAAGAATGGCACTAGAGAGATGATGGCGACAGGGACTGCCTGCTTAGCCTTTGTCAACTGTCGCTTTAGCTACGGCTGAGCGACAGCTGGACGACCTGACTGTCTCTTTAGTTTATGAATGAACACACAGAGACGGCCACGGACAGACATGAAGACCGACAGGCAAAACAGCCAGCTGGACAGACGACAGTGCTGGAAAAAAAGGGACGGCAAGGGATGGGATGGGATGGGACAGGCAGGCAGTCAGGCAGGCAGACAAATGAATGAATATGAATGTGTTGACGTTGATTCTGCTTGAGTCTTAGTCCCAGTCCCAGTCTCTGTTTCTGTTTCTGTCTCAGTTTCAATTCGAACCTCGGCCACAGTCTCAACCTCAACCTCAACCTCGATGATGCTTAGAGACTCCGCTCTGTCTCTGTCTCCGTCTTCGCATTCGTCTCCTTCTCGATCCGGCCCGGTCCGGTCCGGTCCAGTATGTCAAATGAAATATGTTAAGGCAAACGGCAAGTTGTGCCACCTTTTCACATTGCCAACGAGCAGCACTTTGTCATCATTACACAATAAGGCGCGCAGATAAGCGGGTAAGGGTAGGGTATACCACTGGTTCGGGTGAGCCAAAGGCAGCAGCAGCAGCAGCAGCAGCTGGTCGCCTCAACTCAGCTCAACTCAACTGAACCGAACCGAGCTGAACTGAACTGCCGGACAAATTGCGAGAGCGCAGGGAGAGGAGGGAAAACAGGGAAAGAGACCGATGGCCAGAGGAAAGGAAAATCGCAAAGACAACATATTTTCCGCTCAATTGAATTTTTGGCCTTTCGCAAAAATGGGAAACAACTTGGGCGATAAGTAACAACAATATGGCAAAAATTGAATGAATGGCCCGCTGTCGATTTAGACAGGACAGAACAGGACGGTGCCGGACGGCAGGGTATTACGACAACTTCCGCTGAATGAAAGAAAATGCTGAGCTCGCTCTACCTGCCCACAATTTCGCATGCTGAGCGTATAAATTAAGTGCAGGCGGCGGCGACTTTTACATGCAATTGCCCACAGAATTGCCGCAATGTGTAAATGTGTGTGTGTGAGAAATGGATGAGCCATTCCGATTCCATGCCCATTGAATGGGCGACCTGCGCCGACTTGGAAAGTGTCTGGAGACGCGTCAAGCCGCGACGCAGTTCACACTCACTGGCCACATAAATTGCCAGCAATGGCCAGTTTTGAGCATTTTTATGAGCCGTTCGAGTAGTTCGACTTCAGTTGGAGGCGTGCCACACAGCACTGGGACTCAATAAACGAACCCCTCGGCATCCGCACCAGCACCAGCACCTGCATCTGCACTTGAAAAAATTACACTTCAACCTAAGACGCCCTCCTGCATAGGCCCTAGACAAATTGATAGTTGGCCAGGTAAAGAGGTTAGCTTAGAGGGCCAGAGCAGAGGGCAGTAGAGAGTAGTAGACCACAAAGCACTTAGTTCACAGCCCCCTCCGAATTGGAGATAGTGAGACTTGTGTTTGAGTTGCTTATCATCAGAACACATAGCCAGACATACCAACTCTATATGCTTCTTTTAATGCATGGAAGACAATCTTTATTATTTTATTCTCAAGTTTTATGTTGCTTTGTGGGTCACGTTTCTATCATTTATAGCCTCTTTTCATTTCCGATCAGCTGCCCCATTTCGAACTGAAAATCTAGCTCCCTTTTAATGGGTTCGGCAACATTTTTGAAGGAAAAATTGGGAGCACAGACGATTATAGTCGATGATATAAACAGTCCTGAATCTGTAAAATAAGACATGCCAAAATTTTGAACTTAAAGTGCCAATTACAAAAAGGAAATTAAGGTCGTCTTAGTTAGTGGAATAATATTTAAAATTTCTTTACAAGTTTAAACATCAATTAGAAATTTGTTCAAGTTGGCTTACAACAGATTATTTTATCTGTAAAATAAGACAAGCAAGAGATGACAAGCCTTTGAAATCAAATGTAATTTCCGAAAGGAAGTGAACTAAGTTTGTTGAAATAATATTTCAAAATTTGTTGAAGATTAAGCTTTCGAACAACTTTTGACTTTTCATCAATTAAACCCACTTAGTAGGAGCATAGGCGGAAAGCTTTCAAACCTGTTTGTTTCAATATTTGAACAATTTTGGGGCTTTAGCTTAAATATGTAAAGTTTCGAATAATAACAGAATTGGGACAGATGTAAGAAAGTTACGCTTGTAAATGAAATATGTATTTTAGAAAGTTTTCATACATACTATCTAAGCTATACTAAGACGACTGAACTCTATAAATTAAAAGCCTACCGAGCTGAAGCTTTTTAGTATTGGAGAGAGTTTTTGTGTTACAATTTCTTTGATGGGTCGACTGTAAGACTTGTATTTTGAGATCTCAATTTTAATTTGTTGAATTCCACTAAAAACAGAAACTAACGCTTCGTAGTCAAATTGTAGTAAAAGGTTTCGAAATAGCTTTATTCTAAAGTCTTTATAGTCGATGGTTTTTTGAATGTCTTTATTTTTCGGCGCGTGTATAATCGAACGGAAGAAAAAGTTCAAACAAAGCCGCTCATCAGCAAGAAGAAAAGTTGTCAAAGTTATGGGTGTCATGGGTGTTGGGAGTGGGGGAATGGAAGGGGGGTCGGTCTTAGTAGTTGTCGCTGAAAAAAGCCAGGCACGTAGCCCCCAAATGCTTCGATTGTCAATTATTGAAGAGCTCAAACGCCTACTTCGTCCGCTTAGTGTTCATCTTGAGCCAACTAACGGCACATTTTAGTAAGCACCCACCACTCACCAACACCACCACCATCGCCAACACCACCACCACCACCACCACCATTACCATCACGAGCCAACAAAGTCAACAGTAAAGCCACCACTGCATTGGCAAAAAGCTACGTGCCTGGCATGAGCAACAAAGAAAGAAAGAAAGGAAAAAATCAGAGAAGCAAAATTTGTGCCGCTTTCTTAAGTTCTGGCTGTGCGATGCCCTTCGACCCTTGCCCCCCGCCCCCCACCCCCCAACCATCCTGCCAACGCCTTGACTTCTTATGGTGTTAATTTTGCGCTGATTGAGCGACGGGGACGCGTTCCGGTTTGGTCCGCTCTCGCTTTCGTTTTACTTAAATGCGAATTGCATGAAGCCTGAGAGGGTTGGGGGAAGGGGGGGAATGTTGGAAGTAAGGGGAGAAGTGTTAGGCCAGGGGTTGGGGGTTGCGCCCGGGATTAGGCAAGTGTGGCGTGAAATTAGCAGCATGCCGCTGCCGCTGCCCATGCCACAGCCACTGCCACTGTTTCTGCTGCAACAGCAACGGCAGCGGCAGCAACCCCCCATGTCCGGGCAATCCCCGATAATGCAACCGACTGAGGCGATGACGATGCCAACAATTTATGGACAGATCGCATTAGCGACGCTATGAAAAATGTCCACCAACTGCTCGGGTGGTCGAGCGCGCACGTTTCACATTGCAGCCCAAAATTGTCACTAAATTTTCAGTCGTTGTTATTGTTGTTGTTGCTGCTGTTGCTGCTGCTACCTGAGCAGCCAGCCAGCGATGTCAGCGAGCAGATAAAAAAAGGCGCAGCAGCATAAAAAACATGGCCCATTGTCATTTTCTTAACCTTGAGACGACGACTTCGTTGCGTCGTCTTCGTCTTCGTCGTCAGCGTCATCGTCGTCGTCGTCGACCTCGTCTAGACGCAGCAGGGATGCGAGCCACACGAAAAATACGTTTTTGGGCGCGGCACGGCACGGCACGGCCTCAGTGCTCAGCACACGTTTTCCCATTTTCCCAATTAAGGTTCATTTGCTGAACCTGTTCGAAACAATTTCCCACCCTCCCCACATGAGAGACCTTGAATGGCTTGGCTTGGCTTGGATATGTGAACATTTTTTCGAACATGTGCAGAACGAAACAATTCTACTTACTATAGTAGTATGTACTAGTTCAAGATTGTCTGCAGAGTGGTCATATGTTATCAAAATGTAACTCCCTTTATGGGATATGCTATTTAAATGCTTTGCAGTTTATAATATTTGCAAGCAAAATGTTCATTTTTCCCATTTCAACGGGTCCCTATAACTAGCTGGAAATGAACATCTATTTGTATTGCTTCAATAACTCTCTTAATTTATTTTCGGTGCGGACTTTCCCAATTGAGGTTTTTTTTGCTGAATCTGTTCGACAATATGTAGGCAAGGCCTTGAGGTTTCAGTAATTTTCAGTATAAAACGATTCTTCTGCTGAGATAGTCTGAAGTTTTTCAGGGAAATAATATGTAGCATTGAGATTTGATTTTTTTTTCTTGTGCTTGGATGGGAAGGCAGTAATTGAACGATAAGACTGCTAATAAATTGACCAAGCAAATAACTCCTTTACAGAATTGTTTCCTACCCAAGTATAAAGCAAGAAGAATAATTTTTTAAGTGCTAAGCATATTCGGCGTAATGATTACATTTTATTTTTCACTGCCAACAATGATTCGCAGATAAACTATTACTAGCCAAATTTCTCTAAATCTAAGCAAATATTGTATTTTTGTATAGCTTCTAAAGTTCTTTAAAACTATTTTAAGATTACTGTTTTCCGAATTTCGTAGCGATAGTTGTCTAAAAGGGAATATTTGGGGAATAGAGCGATTCTAGATTCAAAGATTTACTCAATTTAAAGGGGAAATTCAAAAGCTTCTTTTAATTTTTAATACCGTATCTTCTTTGAGATTTTAATTGCTTAGCTTGGACATTTGAAAACTTGTAAGCAGAAAGTATTTGCGGAATGGAACGATTCTAGTTTCAAGATAGTTTTCCAAATTAAATCGAATCTTTGCTTATATTTTAAAGGATTGTAAAAAAGCTTGTTTTAATTTAAAACCTTCTAAAAAATTTCAAACTCAAGATTTTAGATGTCGTAATTTCCAAAAATTTTAAATTCAAAGCCACAAAGTTGGTTCGTCAAGAATTTATTCAATATTATTCTGTAAACTATTCAAACCCAAACACATACAATTACGATTCTAATAAAGTGTTCTTAAATTGCATAATTTTCAATACCTTCTACAAGTATTATCAGAGACAGATGTAGTTTGTTTAACTAATACATATTGGGATACAATCAATAAATTTATTTGTACATTAAAAAAACAGATTGTTGTGGATTTGTTAGTGAATTTCTAAAAATTTTAATCTTCCAGATATGTTGACGTAACTATGAGGGATCCAACTTAGGTTTTGCGGACTTCACTTGATCCTCTAGGACTCTTGATTTAAGGCTAAATCGACTAAGTGTAGCTTTTAAACAAATAATCTTTCCTGCTTCAAACATTAAATAAAAACTACAAAAACCGTACATTACTTTTCTTTTAGAAACATTTATGTGTTTTGATTTCAAACGAATCAATAGATCTGTTAGGAATTATCTGCTTCTCCCTTTGCATAACATTTTTTATTCTGTTACTTCCTGTTCTCAAACATGGAAATAATAATTGAAAACTGGTTCTAAAATCAAATATTTAAATGCATTTTTTTGGGAAAACCCCTACGGGTACTATTCTATTACCTTGGGACTGACCTTAGAAAACTAATTGAAAATGAAATTGAAGTTGAAAAAAAACCGGTTCATTTGGTTTGCATCCCTGAGTTGCCAACGCACTTCAAGAGTTGGCGACCCTTCCCATACAACTGTCCATCAACAGCAATTGTTGAGGACAACCTTATCTCTAGGGTTCAGTGGCTTCCTGGCTCAATTGCTTACCTGATGATAGCAGCTTTGGCGGCATCTGTAGAGCTGTTTGCTGCCAAATGGTGCTGCTGCGCTCGTCGCCGGCTCGCTGACAATCTGAGGTGCAGGCGGTGTCGGATCCTGTAACTGAACCTGAGCCTGAGCCTCAGCCTGACAACCAACGCCTTGGATTACGGCAAGTGCGCAGGCAAGGAGTGCAATTGACATTGTTTGAACGGCCAACGATGTTGACGCCGCGGAAGAGGAGGAGGTTGAAGTGGAGGATGATGTGTGGGCGTGCATCCTGATGCTGGAGCAGATGCTGGAGTAAAAACTGTTGGAAGCCCTCCTGTTTAATGCTTAAATGTGCGTGCGATGACAATATGCTGGAGAGAGGGCGCGATAATGGGCACGTTGTTCAGATTGATTAATTGATTGATTTTTTTGTTGCTGTTGCTGTTTGTTTATTTTTGTATCAAGTGCTGTGTTTGCTTTGGCTTTGGCTATGGCTTTGGCCCATAATACTTAATACGCGATGACGCTGACGCTGACGTTGACGTTGACAGCAACAACAATAATAATGGAAGAATGTGAGAGCTTGACGCGCTGGCAGCGCTGTCACTGCATTTAGTGGAGCAGCAGGCGACGGCGACGACGACGTCGCTAGGCGGACGCGTTTATCGTTTATGTGAGAGTATTTACTTTAACGATTGCTTTATTTTCACAGCAGCAACAACAACATGCGAGTACATATCTGACAATTGGGAGCTCTAGTTACTCTTGCTGTTACTGTTACAGTTACTGTTGCTATTGATGTTGCTTTTGTTGTTGTTGTCGCTGAGCGCGTGTATCGGGCAAGGTATTGTTCTTGTTGTTGTTGGTGGTGGTGGAGGTGGTAGGGTAACGGCACATGCCTGCGGATGATGATACACGTTACTGGGCTGTTCTTGCTGTGATTGTTGTTGCATTCCTCCCCTCCTACCGCTTCTTCTTCTAGTATGTACTTGTCGTTGTTGTAACTTTTGTTGCTTTTCTTGTTCTTGTTGTTGTTGTTACTGTATCGTGCCTTGCCGTTTCGCTGCTTCTTCGGTTTTTCGACTTGGGTTTGGTTTATTTGTTAACTGAGCTGCCACTTTGTTTAGCTTTTGGCTCTTGCCTTATATTTTTTCCTGCATTTCTTTTATTTTGCTTGTTTTGTTGTTGTTGTTGATATATTTTGGGGCGGTGAGTTACATGCTGACTGGGGCTTGTTTGACTTTTTTATTTGAACGCCGCGCACACACACAGACACAGGTAACTTGCTGTCAGCATAACAAAAACAAAAACAACACACACACACGTTGACAACAATAAATAAAACGTGCACAGAGTGGGCGCAAAAAAAAAACAACACACAACAGGAAAAAAAAGACACGGTATAAGGAGCAGTATATGTGCCGCCTGGCCGGGTTAACAAGCAGCGCACCAGAATGCCAAGGCAATGCCAAAAGGCTCACACTGACGCTATCGTTGGCCAACACACGACGACAACGACGCCGACGACAGTGACTGTGACAATGACAATGACGACGACGACGACAACGACGAAAGGCAGCAGTTATCGCAGTAGAGCAGCTCAGGCTCAGTGTCTCAGACTCGGGTTAAGTGGAATTTCTGTGTGTGAACCGTACAACCAACGTCGTCGAGGATAAATGCTGCACTGAAATCGAAAACTGAAACGGAACCAAGCTGCCTGAGACTCTTAACTGAGATAACACGCAGCAGCGACAAAGGCAACGGCAAACGACGACAGCAGAAGCAGCAGCAGCAGAAGCAGCGGCAGCAGAGCCAGAGGCAGAGGCGGAGGCGAACTGCGACCGAAAAATCATGCAGATACACACACACACGCACAGAGGGAGAGACGCACATGTATAGGCAGTGGAACTTCGCTTTAACGAATTTTAAGGATCAACGCTTGCATGGACTCCCTGACAACAATTTGTAAAAAATGTTTATTTTTAAATATAAAAAATGTATAAGTACATTATATAGGTAATTATAACAAAATTCAAAGACATTCTTGAAATTTTGAAGCTAATCAACATTTTTATTTGCTTTTATTTATTTTATATTTACATTAAAAAGCAGCACATTTTTATCTCTTTAACTTTTTAAAAGAATATTTGAACACTTTTTTAAGCATTTCCAATGAAAAAGAAGTTTGTCTCTGATCTAGGATAATGGAGTTGCGATACTCAATGTTAGGTCTCACTGTATGCAGACACACACATGGTTGGCTGACGATAGACGACAGCGACAACGGCTACGGCAACGACAACGACAGTCGAGTCGGTGGTCGTCGTTCGGAATCATACGAACATGTTTGAAACGAATTCGAAAATTGTGGCGAAGTACGGACGCGGACACGGACACAGACCCGGAGTCTGTGTGCGCACTGTTGGTGGTTGCTGTTGCAGACCTGCTCGATGCGAACATGCACACACAAACACACACACACACACACACACACACACACACACACACACATGTACACAGTCACACCACCACCCAAATGGGTTGACTTTGGTGGTGGCTGCTGCTTCAGCTTTGGTTTGGTGGTGGCCGCCGCCTTTGCCGCGCATGCAGATGAATCAAAGCAGCCGCTGATTATAGCAACAATATGGAAATGCTGACTCTTTCTCTCTGTTCTATAGGGGCATTGTTATACCCTGTACACGAAGGGTGACAGGGTATGCTAGAAAGTCAAAGTGTCAAATATACTATGTTCATATGCAGAAGACCCGATCTTATAGGTGCACATATGATCGAAATGACAAGACATATTGCTGTAGGCATGTTTTTATTTATTTATTTATATAAAATAAGGTTAACAATTAATTGTTAACCTACTTAAAGTTTGGAGCACTAGCTGACAGGGCTCTCAGTTCGCCTATGTATGATTATGATCATATTTCTGAATAAATGTTAGAGGCATGTACATCGGCTGTTCGACAGTATGAGTTTCGAAAATTCTTGAATCAGAAGAGGTAGGGCCACTAAACCTATTGGTTAGACGTGTCTTACATAATTGCAGATTAAGTTTATTTTAAACCATACATATGTGGTTCTATTATTTCACTATATTCGTAAGATTCATGAAAAGCAGTGCATTATACAAGTAGAGCTGTCATTGCAACAATCTGCTCTAGCTGAAATAGGTTTTATGTTAGTTTCTATAACCAAACATTAAAGCCTCAACTTTATTTGAAGTTATTTTTTAATTTGATGGACTATGTGATATAGTATGTATATTTACGATCCGTATGGATGTTTGCAAAGATTGCTTTAAAACATCGTGGTTCTTTACATAATGCCGTAATATAATACACAGGAATGATTTGTGCAACAAATATTATTTTAGTTGAAGTCCTTTTTGAGAGGGGAACGGTTACAGGATATGCGAGAGTCGGTCTCGCGCGACTCGAACGCTTTACTCGTTTATTTATATGCCATGCTCCATATATGGACGTGTGTGTGTGTGTGCTTGTTTGTTTGTGTGTTTGCAAGCCTGTAGTTGGCACACACACATACATATGTACATACATACATACATGTACACACAGGGAGACACACATAAATACAAATATGCATATGTTTGTAGGCACGTGTGTGCGTTTGGTTTTTATAACTTCCATTTGCCAAAGTATAGTAAATTCTTTCAAAGCGTGTACTACATTTATTATTTAAGCCATGCGCTCGCTTCTGCTCCTGCCGCTGCTGCTGCTGCTGCCGCTGCCTTTTCTGTTCCTGCTCCTGCTTTTGCTTTTTTCTTTTTCATTATTTTCGTTTTCGGTTTGTTTCGTTTGCTACTGCTGCTTCTTCTTCTACTTTTCCAATGCGCATTGTTCTAGGCTGCTCTTATCTGTCTGTCTATCTGTTCGCTTGTCTGTCTATATGTGTCCCTGTGTGTGTGTGTGTGTGTATTAGCCGCCCTTATACAATACTGCGCCCCATAACAACAGCAAGAACAACAACAAGAACAACAACGAAAGTTATTTGCATATTTTGACTTTTATGCGGCAAAAATATTACAGGCTGCGCTGCCTGCTTGCCAGCCTGCCTGCCTGCAAGCCAACCACCCCCCTCCCCAATCCGACCATAAACAAAAAAGGCAGAGCTGCATGCAAAAAAAAAGAAGCAAAGAAAAGAAGGCAACGTTAATAAAGAGGAGAGCCAAAATAAGTGCCACTATCCATCCGCTAGAAAATAAATGTCGAAACGACGCGCCGGTTCCATACAAAACGTAAACAAACCTACATACATACTCGTACTACATACATATACATATCTGCAGAATATCGGTTGGCAGTCCCGAGCTCGATCAAATTTGTGGACCGAATTTATCAAATTCATTTCTAAGTAATCAAAAATCCCTCATAAAATGAATCCGAAAAAATTCGCTCATGCTGCCAAAATCGGTCGATCAAAGCAAATGGATTTTGAAAAAATTTATCACTTTCCAAAACTAAAAAAAGATGTATTTATTCGATTAGCTATCTATCGCTTTCGCTTAAATATTGCCTATTGCAAACAAATTGACATTTCCAATTGCAAATGCTAAAAGTAACTTTTAAATAGACCAATCTGAATTACCCCTAATTGTTAATCGACTTCAAAAGAGGATGAGGTTTTCAATTCGACTGTAATTTGTTTTTTTTAGGCTTATTACCTCAGAACTTTCGAGAAAGCTGGTGCTTTCCAAAGTAATGTGGTCCAGTTCTGACAATGCTATCCATAAGAAAAACCATATACTTGTACATACATAAGACTTAAATTACCGATTTCGAGTTATTATTGGAAAGAAGTTGCGGAACTTATTCCCATTGGAGTGTGTGTTTTTGAATGTGGGAAGGGTATTTAAACACAAGTTCAAAGCCTGTATGCAGAGTTCAAAAACGTATTTCAGCAAACATTTGCCACAACATCAGAGAATTATAATATATCTGATCCTTTTCAATATGTTGGATACTTAGATGCAAATTTTTGGCGCAAAAATTTGGCTCTTTTGCTATAATTATTATTAATAATTGGATAATATTTTTCCAAATAAATAATTAATATATACATACTGAGTATATATAAAACAATTTGCCCCAATTAATTGCAAGTAGGGGGAAATTTCAAACAAGCTTTCTCTAATGCTGAGCAATAAAAGCTGTTTTGGAAAATTCGAAGTTCAAAAGAGGAAAAACAGACTTCAAAGTTTGTATAAAAAATCGGAATTTTTTTTAACTGATCGCCTTCAAATTTGTTTTTTTGTTTTTTTTTTTAAGAATGCCTGATTTATCAGGGGTTTCTTATAAGCAGAGGTTTACAAATTACACACGTTTTAATTTCAACTTTAAAGATATATCTTAATCTGTCTAAAGCGTTCTAGCAGCTAGGGCCGTGGACGTGACAATTTCAACACGTTAGACAGATTACAGAATTCTATAAATCGATGTATTGCATTAAGGTTTGCTATTGCCGCTTTGCAGAGCAGTTCTGTATGGTGTAGAGAGGAAAAGGGTATACTATATATGTACAAATGTATGTAACAGATTCCACGTTTAGGGTACAATTAAGATCGTCAAGCTGTCGATACAAATGAATAGAGACAAGTTCGACGTCTGTTCGACTGTATGAACTTTAATATCTCTTGAACCATAACAGTTGGGGACAACAAATCTGGTATGTAGACGTGGTTTATATATATGCGGATGAAGTTTATTTTAAGCCATGTATGGAATTAATTCTTTTTAAGAACTATCGGTGGAACAATCACCCTTACTAAGTAGGAAACTTTTTGCTTTGCAAAGGTATTTTAAGAAAATTTGTTAGCTATGTGACTTAAATATTCTCACATATTCTGAAGTTTCAACAATAACGGCTTACTATATCCAAATAGCTGTCATAGGAACGATGGGTGCAGAAATCAATCGGAATACCAAAACTGGTTTGCTTATAGAGATATCTCAAGAAAATGTTGTATTTATGACCTCACCATGGCCTGAACGTTTATCACAATTGATACACTATATATCTGCCATAGGAACGATCCGTGCAGAAATCAAGCTGGTTGGTTTAATCGAAATTTTAACCAAAACTGGAAAGTTGTATCCAAATTATTATTGGCTCATAAGATAAGAATGGGCGCAAAGTATTCAAGAGTCGGACTGGGACGAACTTAATGTTCTACGCTTTTGTTATACAAACCCCCCCTCGGGTAAGTCGTGTGAAAAGTTTGAGTTTTTGGGAGGCTGGCCTATAACTTCATTGCAACATGTTGCATGTTTGAAAAATAGAAAAATGAAAACAAACGAAAAAATGAGAAACAACATTCAAATTTATGCGCCTATTGCGAGCCATTTTCAGCATCCTGCGTATATTTCTATTCCTGGGCCAAATATTCCTTTTTGCCCATGCATGCATACTATATGTATGTAAATGTTTACACACATGCTCCATGCGTGTGTGTGTGGGTGTGGGTGTGTGTGTTGAAAGGGATATATGTGTGTGCTCTGTGGCCGAAATTGACTTTGTTGCAACAAAGTGATGTTGGATGCTGGGCAGCAACAACAACAGCAACATTATATATGCGGGCTGCCTC